GGATGTGACAAACCAAGGCTTTGTATTAGCTCTATGTAAGAGTTCGATTCAGCTGCTTTTTCTATGTCTGTTACCTCTTAATTACCTGCTTACATTTGTCAAAATAATTTCTTTTCATCAGTTGCAATCAGAACGATTAAAAAGATCTGGAGGGTGGGGGGGTGGATTTGGTTGTTTCCCTATGTGCTTCATTCTGTGTTTATCAGGTGTAGTCTAGAGGAATGAATCTAAAATTAGTCAGTAAATGAGGGGTTTTATTTCCTTTTCTCTATTTCAATTTGCATAAAGAATGTGCTTTCCTGTACAGTACATACACACTTCCATATCTCAAAACCTCATCTTGTGGGTTCATTAACATCACTGCACTGGTGCTGCAAAGTTCCAAAGTGCTCAACGTAAGTAGAATTTTACTTTTATCAATATCCTGAGAAATAAAACAGGACTGCCTAAACAGCTACACTCAAAAAGGACCTCTTGTATGTTCAAGAATCCAGTCCTTTTTGCCTGCTGCTTCCAAGCTGCTCCCTGCAGCCATAAAGCAAAAGACCCAACAATAAACTGCCTTTCCCTGACCTGCTTTTTTCAGCATATGCTGTGAACAAAGCCTACAAAAAGGAAGGAAGAAGAAAGGGAACCAAGTAGCGTTTGTGATTATTTTCAACTACAGATGTTGCTATCTGAATCATCAGATAATATGCATGCTAAGATAGTATGAAGTAATCAATTCAAGTGAGGAACTAAAGATACAAGGAAGACTTAAAGGAGCTAATAGAAGAAAAAGTAACACTGAGATAAGCTTCCTTCCAGGAAATGTCCTTCACTTCTGGTCAAATGCAGTTTATTCTGCAGATGGAGTGTTTTTTTTGTGTATAATCTGATGAATTAACTCAGTTTTAAAATTTAATTTAAAAAAAAAAAAAAAAAGCGCAAAACCAACAAAAAACCTCAATGCAATCTCCAGCAATTTATTCTGAATGCTTTTTTGTTTGGGTTTTTAGGAGAAAATATTTATTTTGTGATTTTGACCAGTAAAATAGGAATAAATGTCCTGTTTAAAAAGATCTGTTTCTGTTGGACTTTGGGGGAAGCATAAGGCTTTTGCATATTTCAAACAAATGTTTGTAATATACATCACATAAAAATATTAGGGTTTGGGACTGTGAATGCTGACCTGGTTGTTTACCTATGTTTACTTCATACATCACAGACTAACAGAACTGAAAGAAGCAAGGGCAAAACAATTTCAGTGCTATATTTAACAGTGCTCTCAGCATCCCTGTATTAGCATCTCCTTTCGTTAGTCCCACATCAACAGGACACCAAAGCGTTCTTTCCTGAAGCGGGAAACGTTGTGAACTTCTCCATGTTCAAGCACCCCTGGGGCTTCTTAGTGGATGGAATATTGTAGCTTAACATTTTACAGCTCATGCACCTTTTAAAAAAGAACAACAAAATCCCCTAAAAACGCTGCCCTGGAGTTACGTGTTCTCTGCTTGCACAGCGGTGCTTGCCTTCCTCCATCCTGCTCTTCTCCCTTGGTGTCACTCTTCTTCCTTACCCCACCTCCCCTCCAGCCTGCTTTTTCCACTCCACATCCACCTTTCTTTCAGGCATTCCTGATGGTTGTGTGCACGTTTGGGATTTGTCTGTCTCTCTATTGGGTGTTTTCTGCAAGTGAGGGTGATGAGCTGAGATTTTCATGGGCTCACCCTCACCTTGCCTGCCAGAACCTGTCCCCAAATCTTCCTGGTGCTCTGGGTGACCATGTGGTGTCCTCCCCAACCTGCTCAGTGTTTCCACTTTTCTTACTCTTTTTTCCTGGAAATGGATGATGCAGGGTGTCAGGGTTTCAAATATATTGTGTGGACAGAGAGGAGGAAGGGCATGGAATTGTTGGGCTGGGAAGTGATAACAGCACCATTTAAACTAGGTTTTTGATGCATACTGAGTGTTCAAAGAAATTGCCAAGAATTTCCTTCCCCTCTTCTATTTCTTTCTCCTCCAGTTCAATTGTGCTTAAAAGTGTCCTCTGAAATGTTAGAATTGAACTACTCTATCAAAATCTGACATTCCAGAAGATGTTCAACTGGTCTGTCAAAAAAAGAGATTCCGTGGAGCATGGGTTCCAGCTTTGTTAGGTGGCATGCTTAATGGGATGTTTAAATATTTTACAAGCAATGGAAGATTAGCTGGAAACCAGGCTTCTGTTGTGAAGAGGCCTGTTTCTCCATATTTGTTGTTTCAAGACTTCCATTCTTAGGCATATATTCCTGACTTTCCAAGCCTGTGACGTTCTCATGAAAGGATCAGTGTACTTTTTTGGACACGTCATCTGTAGCTAAGAGAGCAATTTTGGCATAATTTGAGGTGAATCTACTGGTGAGATGATGTTTTCAGAGAAAAAAAAGTATTTTTTTTTGTTAAAAGTGACTTCAAATTTTAAATGTCTCAGTAAATTGCCGTGGTGTTTATTTCGGTGTCAGATTCCTCACAGAGATCTGAATTGTGTTTGGAGCGCAGGGATGCAGAACGGTGTTCTGCCAGCTTCCTACTTGAAGGAAGTGTTCTTGCCAGCCTTTTAGAGACGGTAACTGGAGAAGTACACTTCTAATGTAGATGGGCCTGTCTCTTTCTCTGTACAGTGATGCACTTCAAAGTGCGTCCTAGTTGTTTGAGTGTCAAGAGCAGAATGTTCTCCTGCCCGTTCCCTTTATTCCAACCTGTCATCTTTTCCCTTGGGGGAAGAAAACCAACCCAAAGCAGTGGCAGTTCTCTTTCCACCAGTTCTGTTGTTGAAGAGTCAGCTCTCAGGTTATGTTTTGGCACTGCTTCGGCGCCACTGATAAGCGGTGCAGACGCCCTGGAGCTGGACAGTGGGCTGGGTGATGGGCAAGATGCCACAGGAATGTGGCTGTTCTCCTTTTGGGGCCAGGCTGGAGCCTGAAGTGATTTGACAGCTTTTGTGGGGTGCAAAGCAGAAGCTGGATGTCTTGTAATCACAGACCATTCCTGGTCAAGCAGGGATGCTCCAAAGTTGTCTCCATGCTCAGGAGCCAGCTCGGAGCCTGCACAGGTCATTAACTGAGTCTTGGCTTCAGCCATGCAAGATCCAGGCTGCCTTCTCCAGAAGGAATAAATGGCACCCTTGGGATCCTCCTGCTGCTACTCATAGGGCTTTTCGTATTTTTTGACTAGTAGAGGGTTGGTTGAACAGCAATACAGTACATTTTTAAGAACCAGTGCTACAGGAAAGCCATATTCACCTAGAACAAATGAAATGCAGTCTCCTACATCCACTGCTGGATTTGCACCCAGCTGGTGCATTTGGTACCTGTTGGAAAGAGCGAGAATTGAGAGGAAAAGAGCTGACGCTGCTAGAATTCCTCAGACTGAGGGTAAGTCTTGGAGAGCTACTGCCAATTACATGAATTGGCAGAAAGAGGCACTCAACTTCTTGCTGTTGTCAGCAGAAATTTTTCTGGTGAGAAAAGGTAATTCAGCAGTACCTGTAAGATGCTAGAAACTTAAGCAGTGGTGAGGTTCATGGTCATGTTGCAGTGCATTAACCAGTGGCTTAACTTTTGTTCTGCTGTTTATGTGTATGCATATAATAAAAGGATCTGAGATCCTTTAAGAGACATGTGTTTCTCAAATATCTGTGGCTTTTATAGTAGTAATCTCAATTTGCATGTGATTACAGAAGTACTCAGACTTAACTTCAGGGTATGTACCTGAGGCTGAGTTTTGGAAGGGGAAAAAGGTGCTTGTTGCAATGAAGGTGCAATGTTTCTAGGAATGGAGCAAGAGCTGACTGCTGCAGAGACAAGGTGGTTGGAAGGACACTGTCACTAGCAGCTCCTCAGGAATGCTATGTGGATATATTGCATTCCACCTGCTATGACAGTGAGAGAGTTCTCTCCCTTCTGTGATTCTATGTTTTCGTAAGAGTTGTTGGTTTTCATGGTAATAGGCATTGTTTTTCCTGACTGGTAATATATTATTATTATTATTATTATTATTATTATTATTATTATTATTATTATTATTATTATTATTACTACTACTACTACTACTACTACTACTATGTCTGTTGCTTTGGAATACAACTAAGAGATAGTAAAGGTATAATGTCACAAAGCTACATTTTAAAATTGGGAACCAATTGACTTACTACCACAAATTATGCAAAGCAGACAGATAACTAATGAGACTACAGTCCATCCCTCGCTTCTAGGACTCATCCTTGCTAGGATGCTTATTAGCATTATCCAGTAAAGCTTAAACTTTCTACTCTTGGTAGGTTCTGGCTACTCAATGTGCAGACTGCTTCTGGGGAAGCTTTTAACAGAGTAGCACTGGGTATGCAAATAAAATAAACAAAATGCTGGGCTTTTCTTTTACCACTGTGGTTTTTGAGACTTGTGGAGGACAAGTCTTAATCGAGAAAATGGTGAAGATGTAATGTAATTTTCTGTTACAGGGTATTGAGTCATGTTGAAATAATCTAAAAATGTGCTAGAACTGATAGGAACTTTATTGTTACTTTTTGTAGGGCAAAGGAAAGATGGTGATGTATGTGCTTCAGAGTATTTCTTACTCTCTTCTGTGCAGAAGAAATGAGCTGGCTGCTGCATTAAAGCCACAGCTATACAAGCACTTATTTTGATCTCTGCTTTTGCCCAAGCTGCTGTTTACTCTTCTACCTCTGCATCTCTGTGTGCTCGTACCAGTGCTTGTATAGATATCTAATTGGTGAGCCTGAGGATCTGCTCCATGCTGATGTAGTTCTCATTCCTCAAGACTCTTCTCAGTTGTTTTCCCTCTGTACTCCACTGCACAGCCCCATAAACAGACGTGCCAGCATGACTGTGGAGACCTGTGCAGGGAAGGGAGGTTCAGAATAGAAGGAGTTAACAGCCTGTAATGTGTCTTCCTTCCCTGCAGATTGTAGCATCGTGCCCACTAAATATTAATTGTGGCTTCTTTTCCCTTCTTTTCAGCTTCTCAGCAAAGATGCCTCCAAATGGGAAGGCCTTACATTTTCACCCATCAGTTCTGCATTTTGGAATGCAGTGAGTATCTTATGTTATTTTTATTTTGGTTAATAATGAAGTGTGGAGGAACAGTTATACTGGGCTCCATTTGGGTGAGAAACATTAGCTGGGATCATGCCGTCATCTCAAAAATAGAGAAGCAGTAATTGCCACAGAGCTGGAAGTGCATTTCTTGCCTTGCAATGTTTTGTAGGTTAAAATCAGAGTAGTTCTGAGAAGGAGGAAAAGCTAATAGGGAATATAATGCATTCTGGGTGTACATTTCAGGTGATTCTGCATGGATGTCAAATAATTGTTTCATGGTGGCTGTTCATTTTTTGAAAGATTGCCTTTCTAGTGGAGGAAGAGCTTGCTGTTTCCTTGAAATTCTGATAACAAAATCCAGAGAGTCCCAAGCAAAACATACTGGTAGAATAAATTAGATTTTTCTTTGTTCAATTTTAAGGAAACTTAAAAAAATCATTCTTAAGTGATAATTAGCCTTCAATCTATCAATAACCAAAAAGAAACACAGTCTCCTTGTGAGTTAAAGGAGTATTTCAGAGGATGCACTGGAGGAATATCTAAGATGTTGGGGTTTAGGATGTAGTAGCTTAAGCAAAAGCCTTGAGACAATTGTTGCTTTAGCTGACAAAACAAGACTTCAGTTATAGAAGTCTTTTTATCCAAAACTTTGTGCTTTGTAAGAGTAGTTTTTTTCTTTTACTCCTAGTTACTCCAATGGGTTTTGGCTAAGTGTACCTCACATCACAGTGTTACATATTTGCCTTTGTACACTAAATGCAAAATTTATTTGGTGTGTTTCCAAAGATTAATTACAACTAGGTAATTGTCACCATGTTTTAGGGTGATTTGTGTTGCTTCTTTCCTGTGTTGCCTGTGCTTATAAAGTGAATAACGATTTCTCTTTTTTTTCTCCCTGCTTTAGGTTGCTGGGGTTACCCAGAGCTAAAATGCTGCATGCCTACAACCCTAGTAGGGATAGAGATGTTGTAGTCAATTCAGTGTTTACAGCTACTAGACAGTTTCATGTGTCTCCTGCTCATAGCCGGGTGAGTGTTGATGTACTTTTGGAAACTATGTAATGGCCCAGAGCCAAGCCTTCGTGCTTCCTTTGGCATAAGCTCTTCATTCTGTGCATTAGTGCTTTTTTGTAGGACCTCCAACTCTTTTTCTGTTTTGCTAGTGTTTTTTTTTTGTTCACTTCTACTTAGACTTGTTTGGGAGAAGCCATCCAAAACTTACAGGAGGAAATGTGTTTGACAGTAACAGAGGAAGAGAAGAATTTTTCAGTGTTAGAGAGGCTGTTTAAATCTCATTCTGCTTTAAACAGTGTTATGCAGTAATCCACGGGCATGTGGGTGTTCTACAGCCATGAATTTTCAGTCTTTTGAATGGTCTTGCATATTCGTCAGGAAAACCTGCAGTGAAATGTTTTATGTATTTTGTATTGCAATTATGGGCATAATTGCCTTTTATGATCTGAGACCATTATTTTAACTCTGATTTTTTTTAACAATGTACAGCAATATAATAGGTGTTAAGTGATCTCAGTTGGATGAAGCCCGGTTTTTATCCTCCGCTGATGTGCAAAGGGGTTCTATTATGTTTCTGTCTTATTTTTGCTTTTACTATAGCTGAATGGGTATTACTGTGCAGACATAAATGTCATTGTTCCTCCAGCCAGACTATTTAGTTACTGAGAGCACTGCCCAAGTTCAGCTTTGACTGGTTGGCCTGTGTATCACAGGGGCACTGATTCCCTTTGCAAGAGCTGTCTCTCTCTGTGCAGGGAAGTGTTTCTGTGCGCTCACAGGCTGTCGGTGCTGCGTGGTTAAGATCTTGGGCAAAAAGAAGCCTTGAGTGGTGAGGCCCCATGCTAGCTGAGAAACTCCAGCCATAACTTGGCAAGCTGCTGTGTGATCTCAGCTCTTTGTAGTAAAAGTTGAGAGCTGTGCACAGATGAAACTTCTGAGCGCTGAGGTTCTGCATAGTGGGATTTACAGGCAGGGATGTACCTGTGGAAGTATCCTCTGGGGCCTGTGACGGAGTGGTGAGTGTGTGATCGCTGGCACAAAGCAAGCAAGCTTCTTTGTGGTCTCTGCAGGTGATTCCAGCGATGGGAAAGATGTCTTTCAGAGTACTCTTCCTGCCCACAGAAGAAGGCAGTATTGAAAGCTCATTATTTATAAATACCTCATCTCATGGAGTACTTTCATATCAGGTAACTGCTTTTATTTTTCATATCAAGGCATTACTCCTATTTTTAGCTTGGGTTTTGAATTTACTTGTGTTTTAAAAATTGATTTTCATAATTTTAGGGTATCAGTAATCAATAATATTTGAATTCCTGATACAGATCAGGTGGGGCAATGTTAACAGTTCATCCCTTTTACTAGACAGTGCTAGTGTCATGATCACATGCCTGTCTGAGGTTAAAATTAGTGCTGTTAGTGGGGCTAGTTGTGGTAGTAAAACCAAGTGTATTTGTATGTGTGTACTTAAAAGATCATGGTCTAATTAGTTTTATATATTAGTGTAATGTAGACTGCACTGTGCTGAAATGCATTTGTTGGGGAAAACCCACTAGGAAATATTTTAGGTGGTTTTCAGCTACTCTTCAGGATTTTATGTAAACACATTGGGTAATGAGAGGGACACAGGGTGAGAGGTTTAGGCCCTTAAAACATAAAAGTTGAAGTAATGGTTACCTTAAAGTAATGGTACCTTAAAGCTGTCTGTTTTCTGACTAACTGCTGAATTCAAGCAGATCTTTAGCTTTTAAAATTTTTATAAGGGACACTATATATTCCAAATTCTTGGCTTTTATTTTGATGAAGACATTTCTTTACTCTGAATTTAGTGATTTAAAAAGAGTGATGGCTTTGTTCAATCATCAAACGATTTCATTCCTATGCTTTGATATTGTGCTGGAAAACAAACCTAACCTTTTATTAAAGAAGCTAAGTTCAATTGAAATACATAGGATTTTAATACAAATGTTGCATTTTTCTAGTATTTATCAGCGCTATTGCCACATTTGGCAGGAACATTTCATCAAGGATGAGGAAAAAGCGCATTGTAGAACGATTGACCATTTCTTTTTGACATCTCACCCCTCCCTGTGCTGTTCATTTATTGCCCAGTCAGCTCAGCCTTCTATCAAGAGGTTTCAGGGAAGCAGTTGGCACTGCCACCTCAAAATTGGTTTGTTTCCTGTTGGACTGATGCAAAAATCAGTAGCAGACAGGTTTACATGGACATTTTCACCAGCCACCTGAGACAGAGGAAGTAGCTGTCCATGTTTTCAGCTCACATTAGGTTTAAGAGTTTCAAAAGGAGGCATGACTTGAGTGTTTTATGCACAGTTACAGTCCTCTTGAGAGCCCCAAAGCCTTGAAACATCTGATGTTTCTAATGTATTTATGTAAGAGAAGAATCACCCAAATGGAGATCAGGTACCATTGTATTAAAATGTACTTTATAAAATACCTGCATGAAAAAAAATAAATATGTATATATTCCCTTTGTTCTGGTATTTCCTATATGTAGTCAGAGATGTTCAGGAACATAGAATGCATTTTGTTATCCTCTTAATTAAAAAGATGTGGATTTTTCCTATTAAAAACAATAAATCTTTGCATATAAGTGAAAAGTCCAAAGTAATTTTAATTAGCCTCTAATGATCTTTTGTCACCTTGATCCCTCCTGGCTCCAAAGCCCCCACTTGTTGTGGATCTCATTGTCATAAACTAATCTTGATGGAGCAAAATATGAATATAGTGGAGCCATCAAAATTGCAAATCTTAGTGTTCTGAAAACCAAAATAATGAGAAAATATTTTACTCAATTTTTAAGGCAGAGCCACTGAATTCAGTATTCAGTGGGACAAGTAACAAAATTTTCTCAGAAATTACCATGCTTCCAAATGGTGATACGTGTATTGTCATTGCCTGGAGAATAGTAGGAGAGTGTAGATACTTGGTTTTTGGGATAACCTGATGCTCTGCTGGTGAGTGCTTTGTTTTTTGTAATAGTGCCTGAAAGAGTGATGTTTCTTGGGTGCCATTTTATGTCTATGATAACTTTCTACATTGGAACTTTATTGTCTTTTAAAAGAATTTAGCGTGAAAAACGGATTTGGTTTTTGGGAAGCTTGTGGTTATTAGCAATATAGTTTTGGAAGTTGCTGTTATAACTGAAATTCTAGATGTTGGTGTAATGACCTTTTTTTTGATACCAGGTTTTTGGAACAGGAACTCCGATGTCTTCTCCAGAAGAACCTAAAGTGCAGCTAGCAAATGCCTACTTACTGCTTCCACACATTCAGAGCATCCAGGCATCACACACACTGGTACAGTATACATTTCAAGGGGAGAAACCTAGGTCTGTTTAACCACAACAGGTTTTTGACCTTAGGTTTTTGGGATGCAAGAAACATTAGCAAAAACTCCAAGTACCAGTGACTGCAGGAGAGAGATTGCAAAATACAGGGTTACTGTGATCAGCTGCTTTTGTGAGACAGTCTTTGGCATTTAAACTATTCACACTTGTTCTTCCTCCTGCCCCTGTGGCGGGGTGCCCTCTAAATTTTGCTGGCAAAACCATTTGTCAGGTGGCTGTGATCTGACTGAACTTGAGAATTGGTCTGCCCTAAACAAAAAAAATAAGCTTTATACCATAAAATTGAGAAGGGCAGGAAGCTGTATTGGTTTGTTCTGTTTTTTACTTGCGGCCAACTCCCCATGTGAGTTTACAGCAGGGCTGCACCAACAATTAGCCACAGTTAAAAAGCATGGCTTGCTGCATGGATGAGATTGGGAGCTGGGAGTCAGGCTGCAGCATCCCCTCCTGCCCCTGTCAGTGCTGAATATACCATCTTTGCTTACCTCATCTTCACAAGGAGCTCTGGAGAACACAGCAAGTTGAATTTATGAAGAGTAAATATTTGAGTTGAAAGAAGTTAATGATTGCTGTCATTTGTTTGCAGTTGCAGATATTTTCGTAGTCTTCCAGTCCATACGGAACCTCTCAAGTGAATAACTAATTTGAAAGATTGATCTTTCAGATTTCCTGTTGTATTGTGCACAGACATTGTTTTTCTAAAAACGTAATACCTTAGCATGTAACAGAATTTAATACTTTATCTAAATGTAAGCTGCATTAATTGCCTTTGTGATGCCTTCTGTTCTACCTGAGAAAAATACCAGCATAGATTGTATTTTCCAGTGTGCTATGTATATGTTAGGTTACTCTTACCTCTATCCAATGTTAATGCACAATTTCCTTCTCTCCCTTTCTTTTCCTCCATACCAGTTCCTTGCCTGTAGTCAAACAGTTGAGCTTACTTGTGGACATACAAAGACAGACTTGGAAAGGAAGCAAAAATATTCAGGTTTTGTAATTTGGGGTGCTAGAGGTAGAACTGACAAGGGTTTTTTTGATGCTGTTTATGTCTGCATTTTCCCATCTAGCTTAATGGGTTGTTGTCAGGTAATATCTGAAAATTGCAGACATGCTTTTTTGCAGTTCAGTCTGAATTCTTGAGTGGAGAAGTTTTGGGGAACATTTGACGTTTTCCTCACTAGAGTGACAGACGTTATCCTAAGCTTTATTTGTGTGGAGTACATGTTTGAGGTCATGTTAGCAGGGCAGCATGGTACCACCTGGCACTAATCTTGTAGGACATGAGGTGGGAGAGGGTGTTGACTCAATTCTCCAAGCTCTGGGTGTAATTTTTTCTGTGCTGTGCTGTAATTGAGGAAACACTCTTCATTGCATGCTATCAGTTTGAGCAGAAATGCTTCAGCAGTGGGATGGGCTTCTCAGCTGTTGAAGGTGATAGACAAGATCTAAATACTGGAGAGGAGTTTACGGTTTGAGTTTGGGTTCCTCTCAGAAGAATGTTTCTCTGCAGCTAGCTGTCCTCTCCAGAAGTGCCTTCTTCAATTCATCTTCCTTATGTTCTAATTCAGATCTCATTAAAAAAATGGTATCATTCTGTGTTGTCCAGTTTCTGTTTTAAGCTCAGAAGATGTTGAATTCTGTTGAAGATGTAAAAGGAAGTGAGGTTGATGAGGTTAAAGCGAGTGACTACACAAGGGCAAACTGAAGGATACATAGCTATTACGCATAGAATGGAGTCTTGTAGTGAAGAAGCATTTAAAACGAACCAGTCATACTCACTTAGCTCTGCACATTTCTTTTCCCCTGTTTATTTTTAACTGACATAAAATACCAGGATAAAGTCAGGATAGCATGAGCCTCATTTGTGCATCCATTTTCACCTTGGGACGATTGAGTTCTAACCTTGGGCAACAGCTTTTAGTTTGAAACACAGAAGGTGTCCTTCCCTGTGAAGTCCACTGATACTGCTTGCAAACCTCAGACAGAGAGCTACATGCTGTGTGTCTATTTTTTGCCTCCTGTTTTAAAGGTGGTTGTGTTTAAATTGTTCAGTAATACTGACATCCTTGGTCGACAAGGCCAGAAGAGCTTTGTCATCATTTAGCCCCATCATGTGCCAGTAAAGTGACTTAACAGAATTGCTGGAGGCCTTGTTACCCCAAATACTTACTCTTACTACTTTGATGGTTGGAAACCTACACCTGACTTCCAATTTAAATTGCTTTGTGGCCATTTTATATATTGAGATTTAATTTATGTAACTCTTCCTGCTTCTGATGCTTATACTCAGAAGCATTTGTAGGTGGCATCAGAACTTTCAACTTCCACTTTGCCAAGCTGAAGACTCCATGCTCTGTAGTATCTATGGTAAAGGGCTGTCCTTTTCTTAACCAAACTGACCACCCCTTTTTGTAACTTCTTCAGTTTGCAAACATTTATTTGGCTAGAAATGTAAATAGGAGTTTGGGTAAAATTGTGCCACTGTAGGCTATTTGTGTTGGAAATATAACATTTACCTGGGGATTATAGATGGAAGTTTACTGTAGTGCTTCCACTGGAAATGTAATATACAACACGTTTGTGTTTGAATTTTTTGTGGAAAATTAACTCCCGTGGATTTTGTGTGTTGTTTTTATCTTTTAATGAGCAAAGCACAAAAGCCTTTCTTTTTTCTCCTTCATTCCCGCATGTTTTTAAGCAGAAACTTTCATGCTTAATAAGAAAAGAATAAGGCAAACCTGCCTTTCTTACTGTTAAATGTGTCTATCTTTGTTACCCTTTTCAACATTTCATCTTTTGAAGGGTTGGGATTGGTGTGCTCTCTCTCTGCCTGTGGTCCTGGATCCCAGGATTTCTGGGCTCGTGGCTCGCTCGTTGGGAGGAAAGAAGAGCTGTGTTGCACACTGTGAATTCGTAGTACGTCCACATGGCCACTCATCTGTGGCTAGTTACCACTAAGCCGTAACAGATGGTGGAGCCCATATAGGTCATCTTTGTTTACCCAGCTTCTGGGTGTAGTCTTCACTATAGTTGCCTGGTTTTTGGCATTGTTTAGTATTTGGGCAGCTACATCACTGCCTCGCTGTGTTCAGGATGGTGGAAATGTCAGTGGAGGAGTGGCGTGCAGGGTGGAGGGTCTTATCATAGGAGACACAGATACTGCTTTGCTGACTTCCCAGAGGAGTTCAAAGTCTGTGAACTGATAGCTTGGGAAATACTGCAAGTACTGGCAGGAATGTAACACTCCTGAAGCTATGCACTGGTGGGCAGAGGATCAGAGAAGCCAATGTGCCCAAGTGTGGTGCTTGAGTGTGGAGAAGGAAAGAAGACAGTAGAGCTTTCTTGGTGTTCTATCCTGATAACTGCCTGAAAAGAACCTGATGAAACTCTGCTGAATCATTATTACAGGGACAGCTTATTAACAGCACTCAGTGTGGAAGTACCACTTTAGGGCCAGGGACTGTCCAGGACAGGAGCTTTGAGGGATCAGCCTACAGAAAGAAGAGGAGGAGGCTTGTTCAGTGTTGTTCTTTTTCAGTCATACTGTAGCCAAACTCCAGGAACTGATTTGAGCTCTAAAGTCCTGGTAATAATGCAAGAATATATCCAAAAATCTTTTAGAGAGCCATGTATGATTGAGACCTCATTGATGGATGAATTGTTTTCTAAAAAATTGCCTACTCTGCTGTCTCCAGTGAGCCCTTTTTCAGGAGTGGAGCTCCTTGCAGACTAGATGGATGGTTCAGGATTTTATGGTTTCGTTGAAAGAGGCCTCTTATTTCTTTAAAATTTAAACTTGAGAACTTACCGAAGCTGTCAAGAATTTAATTTGCGTGGTTTCTATCAGTTGTCTTTGTTCAGGTCAAAGAGGATTTATGACTGCTGAGTGCATGTGTACATTCAAGTATGTATGCCTGAGTACTTAATACAAAATAGAGGCACCAGGTAATTAAGTGGCAATGCTTTGCAGAGCTCTTTCTGAGATTTCCCTGCTGTGCCTCTCCTTTTTAATTTGCCTCTGGTTCAAACATTGGCTGCATAACTCCGCCCTCTGCTCTGATTCATTAGCAGTGATATTTACAGTATAAACGGAGTGCTTGCACTGCTGGGAGATGGTCCTGGATTTGTCTGATTGGAAACTCTGCTTCTGACAGTATTTTCTTCACAGATGCATTATCTTGTCTTTAGGGTTAACTCAGAGCCATCCTGCTGGCACTGTAAGATATTGGGCATGACAGTTACGCATTATTGTCTGCCTTAGAGAAATGCAAATGTGTTTCCTGTTCTGAAGATAGCTTCACAAAGAAATAAAAATTTCCCCTAGAAAACAGATCAACACCAAATACACCCCACTAGCATTTTTTTCCCCCCCTTCTGTACATTAGAAGCTTCAATTTTAACATGACAGTAGTTCCCATGTTAGATCTATGCCAGGTCAAGAAAAACAAAGGCTGAAAAAAAACCACATAGCGGATTTCTTTTAATAGGGATGTAGGGTCTTAAATTTAAATTACTTTAAATGACAGTGGTGTTAGATAAGGGCTAACAAATCCTTATTTAGGACCGTGAAAGCAGTAGTGTTCTTCAAGAAGTGCTGAGAAGGGAAGCCTAAGCAGCAAGTTTTATCTGATCAGAAAATGACCTCAAAAGTTGTAATCTTACTGCCTTGTTAAAACTCCACTAGCAGTCACGTGGTTTTCTTTTTTGCTCTCACAATTTGATACAGACAAAAACATCTGTAAAAAAAGGAAGGACTTTGCAGGGGTTTGAGTCCCCCAGAAAGCTGTGTTGGGGACAGTGTTTGAGTTGCCACTAACCACCTTTGCAGGGCTTACATCGCCCTCTTGCGTGAAGCCTCTGTCATTTTGGTGTGAAATCCAGCTGAATTGGGAATGCAAGTATTGTCTTCCTTTTGGCAGTGCTTTTATAAAACTGGACCCCCTGAAATGCCACACATGTGCTAAATCTCTCTACTCACATGCCCCTGCCTCTCCCCTTTTTCTTGTCCTAAAAAGGTATGAAATAGCTAGATACCTTCCAAAGTTTCTTCAGTTTTGCTTTTCAGCATTGAATTATTGCAATTGTTCAAAGCCAGTTTCATCAACACCTTCAAAAACCTGAACCTACTGATTCCCTACTCAGGTATTTCAGTATCACAAGCAAAATGGAGGGCAGGGGTTCCACATCAGTCTTAAAATTAGCATGAAATTTGGCTGTAAGAAAGGCACTGGCAGAGTGACAGGTCTGCCATTCTGATGCTGGCTGGCTTTTGTTTTTAATTTTTTTTTTTTTTTAAATTTAATTCAGAACTGAGATATCCTGGCTGTGCAGTTTGTGCCAGTAATTTGGCAGTGCAGATTTCCAGATAGCTTTAATGAACTATACTTGGCTTTGTCAGTGCTGTTGCCCCATTAGATTTATGAGTGCTTTACAAGCTGGCACAGTCAATGTCATCTTTTCTTTTCTTTTCCCATTCTAGTCGATAAAAAGGCAAAACAAGTATTTTCTGTCTGTCCATTTTGGCATGAAGCCTATGTATCAGACCATGTCCAAGAAGCATTATGTTCTTGGCCTAGATACTGTATTTCAGTATCCAATCAGCAAAGAAAATACACAGAAAACAAGGAAATAAGCTTTTATACTGCACACAAAGGCTCTGCTGAATACAGTTTTTTTGGCATAATTTGTTACAGTTCTCATGCTGATGCTGTATAAATATTTAATAATCATGTGTAATAATAGTTTGTTAAGTAGGTAGATACTGATGGAGTCCTGAGATTCAGAGATTGATTACTGGAGTAATTGTATGAAGTAAAAAAATTCCTTATATTGCTGTGTTATGTATATGAAGAAGCAGATTATCTTTATAAATCATGGAGTGTGAATTGGATTTATATAACATTTAAAGCAATGTATTTGATGTTTTCTTCACTGTTCTTTCTTACAGACAGAAACAATGAATGCCAGTCTATTACGGGTTCACCTTGAATGCAGTTTACCTAATGACACATATCAGCTAGTTAAGGTATGCTTATTATCATTTAATACCTATGTAAGTCTTCTTATTTTAAACCAAGCATAGAGGGACACCTTCCACAGCTCTAAAAGCTTTAGGAAAAAATGTGGTTTTAAGTGTGTCAGTTTAATGGGGAATTGTGCTTTTATAAAACTGTACCATATCACACTAAAATCTTCAGGAGAGAAGGAGGTGAAGAAAGATACCCAGCACCCCATAAACCTCCCAAGGAAACAAACAAAAACCAGTCCCTCAGGCTACGCATTCTGACGTGTAGGTGTTGCACTACTGACCTGGGGCACAAGAATGATAGATTTCTCAAATATCTTTCCTCCAGAAACTTCTCAGGAGTGTCTGGTTTGCAGTGAGAAGTGATCAGTGAGCTGACAGGCTGAAGCCTGGGCTGTTTCTCAGGGGGGTGTGAGAGCAGCCATGGTGCTGGGCAGAGCTGAGGTGGGGCAAGTGTCTTGGCAGAAATGCCCCTCCGAAAGCACTGAGCCTTCAGGACTGTAGGTTATCTTCTTGACCTGGGTGGTGCCATCCGAGTCCTCGTGCCATTTGTTCTCCGCTGTCCTTACACAGGGGGTGGGTGTTGCTCTGTGGTCACTCCGTGGGCGCGGCGCTGTGTCAGACTCAGACGGCGCTGTGGCTGGCGGCACCTCTTTCCCCAGGAGTGATGAGGGCCAGGCTCCATAGCTGGATTCCTGTATGGAATACATGTTGCACACAGCAGCATTCCTGCGCTGCTTCGCGTCCCCGGTTGGTTCTTGCAGTGTGTTGAGGTGCTTGAGGTGAACATTGGTGGCTGCGTGGAGTGCGGCTGTCTGCCCTTTGGCCTGAGCTTCCCAAGGGCACACCGTGCCTGTGCTCCAGGCTGCATGGCAGCCTCCTCTCCTGCTCCTGGCAGCCATTTCAAGTGCTGAACGTCTCTGATGGTATGGGAGCTGGCATCCCATCCTCAGGCTCTTCCCCACTCCTGCTGTACTTGCTTGTGTGACTTGAGATTAGCTGGAAGTGTTTTGCTGCACTTCAGTTATGTGACAGTTTTCTCATCTTCCATCCTGGGCAAATTAGTCCCCCTCATAGGGCATTGGAGCCTGAATTTAGTGACTTTTGTGGTTTGATGCAGAACTAATTTATGTTATTTGCTGTTGATTGTCTAGTTCTATTTTGCTTTGTTGGCTTTAATTTTTTTTGTGAAACGGTGTCTGTGTCTTTGTAGTTGCTATGACTTAGCTGTGTTAACAGGAGCCATTACTTAACAGACAGAAATAAGATCCTATTTGTATTTTTCTGAAGTATTCTAGCCAGACAACAGTGTTTTCTATTAAGAATTGTACATGTATGTTTGTTTTTTTAAAATTACTTCAGTGAGAAATGGAGACAAAAACACAGGATTTGGAAAAATTAACTATAAACAGATCAGTGAACATGAACTGTCTTCCTACCATTAAGACACATGCATCAGTCTGTTTATGGCACATTTTATTGAAGGCAGAGGATTTAACAAAGGAAACTGTTTTACAGTCCCTGAGGTGAGACTGACTAAGACAGTATATAAATTTGCATTCTCTCAAGGTTCAGTGTCATTTTTAGTTGTTTTTGTCTTTGTTTTTTCTGTGCTTTCTGTACCTGCACTGTGTTTGGTTTCTGCTGAGATTTTAGCAAAGGTCCTAATTACTTCTGTTTTGCCAGCACTTTGGTGCTGGAAACCTTGTCTCTTAGATAATACCTTTGATTAATTTCTCAAAGTTCCTTAGTGTAATGAATTTTTTCTGTTCTGTCCCCCATCACACACACACCATATCTCTTTGTCTTGCTCCAGAGTTGCTGTTTTATGTCTGATGACCCAATGCTGCTAGAAATGAGCTTAACAGTAAGAGTGGAAAATGCCCAGGAAGATTTTGTGGAACACAGACAATACTTACTGGATAATCTTTTTATAGTTTATGTAGCAATGGAAAGAACAAAGACCTCAGGTAAGTCCTAAATCTACCTGTTAAATGTAAACAAACTTTTTATACGTGTATAATACATAATTTGTAATTTGACATCCTAAATTGAATCAAATTCAGTGGCAGCTTAATTTCACAAGTAAGGGAAACCAAGTAAGTTCAGTTAAACACAGCTTGCAGAGAATTTGTGTTGGGCAGAGTTACCATAAACAGTTTTCTTCATAAAGGTAACAATTGTAAAGTCGTAAACTAGATCTCTTTCATTCTTTAGTTCTCCATGCTTTCGCATCTGCTTAAACAGTATGGAAAGATGACATGGTCCTTTGAATTCTACAACTGCATTTGTGGTGGTTTCCCATTAATTAAATTGACCGTGATGGGATTGTGAAGGCAGAGTGGTTTATACAGTACTGGGGATAGTGGCCATTATGGAAAGTAGGGTAATGAGGTAATACAGATGTGCACATTATTTGTTCTTGTAAGCTAGAATTCCACAGGCAAAACAACCAATTCCTTGCAGTTTCTTTATGCTGCAAATCCTCGAAATCCAGGGGATTTTAAGTTATTTATAGAGCCTTGCAGTCTCTTAGAACAGCTTTTTTTAGACACTTCTGCCAGTTTTCCTTTCTGATTGGAGAAGAAACTGCTTAAGAATCCAGATTAAAATAATATTTCTTAACATACTTGTTGAAAAGGAACATGACAATTTTGTCTTTCGAGAAATGCATTTCAGAATCTAGTCACAAAACAATAGGTAGGATATACACAAAACAATATCTACAATATGTACTGTTTCCCTTGTGCCTGTTCTGTGATTTGGTATTTCAGAGCTGAAACTGAAATACCAACTGTAAACCTAGCTTCCCTGCCAGTGAGATGCCAGGGCTTTGTTATGCTGAGTTGTGGATGTACATTTATTCTGAGGCTGGTAGAAAATTGTTCCCATCTGTTCTGTCAAGGGTGCTTGCTGTTAACACTTTCGATGGTTGAAGTACTAGAGTATCTTTTAGGACTGTTTTCTGTTAATTATAGTGCAGTTGTAAGTCCTGTGCTAGAGGTTGGTCCTATAAGCCTTTTGGATTAGCTGCTGGTGGGAAGTTAGCACCTAGAGTGGGACAGGCAGGGTCTGCACAGGGGAACTAACTAGCTGGAAAGGCTGAGGAGAAGTCTGTGCTTTAATCAGCTGTGGGGTATATGGAGCTCATAATCAACACCTTGAACCCACTTTTGGGAGTGAGCAAAGCACACATGTTATTAGAAATCGTGGCTGGTCAGGTGGGAGAATGTCCTTTCATGTCAGCCTGCATACATTGATTTAATACAAGCATAAGCAAGTGCAAAAACTCAAGTTATCTTCCTCGTGGGAGGACTGTAGTATGGTGGTCAATTCTTATTCTGTCCTGTTTATTTTGATCCTCTACATCTTCCTACTGCCCTGTGGGTGAGCACATAGCTTTGCCAGTGACCAAGGCTCCCCAACATAGCTGTACCACCTTACCAGCAGGTGAAAGCTGTGATTCCCCTGTCTCCCGTTGATTGAGGCAATGGTTTGCTACCTACCAGGTGACAAGACCATAACTGATTCAGCCCTAAGTGCTGAATCTGGCTTCATATTATTTCCTGGGAATGCTTGCATTTTAAAGCAGGTGAGCCAGGATCTGGTTCAGCTGTGTGTGATACAGAACAGTTTTAACTGGAATCTCTCCTGCTATTGATAGCAGAGGCCCTTAGAAAGTTACTTCATAGTCAGCTGTTCTTCTTCCCTTCAGCTGTTAACTCCTGTCTCCCTGCCACTAGGAGGAGGAGTTGTGTGTGATCTATGATTTAGGGGATTATGAAGGTTCCCTGTTAAAGCTTGCCTTTTTGTTTGTGGCTAAAACTCTTGTTGAGTGGATTTTTACTCCTCTCTCAAATGTTTGCCAGCTCAAGATGTGAAAAGTTCCTCCTGTTTACAAGGGTATCTGTCACACAAAGATTTTAAAATTTAAATGGGGATTGCTTCTCCTATGAGGACGAAACAAGTGTTTCTGTCCTTGGTAAACTTACCTTGGTGTTTTTTCTTTTGGACAGGTCCTTCATCAGTAGATGTGTATATCATGCATTCTGGAAGCAGCCTTGTGCATATACAGGTAATTGTGGGCTTCAGGAAATCATAATTTAGGGTGGTGAATTTGATTAGAGAATTATCTTTCTCTAATGGCAGATTGATTTTGCTGGTGGCAAATGTCACACTTCTAAGTTTTTAAAGTGTGCCCAAATGTCTAATAGATCCTTGAGATGACATGTTGTAGTTCAGTGATGGATTTTTTTTTAAGATGTAAATGCTGCTAACTTGAATAAAAATTCATGTGTTGATTTAGAAGATATGAGAAAATGGCAGATGGTGGCATGCAAATTTGACAAGAAGATAGACTAATACAGGAGCTGCAACACTAATAATGGTAATACTGCTGTAAAGATCATTTGTCTTGTCTTTATGCAGGAAATACAGCAGTTGTCACAAAAGGACACATCAGCTGTGGAGTTTGAGCCAGTATTGTTATCCTCATCATCTACTAACTTCACAAAAGTTGCTTCTATTTCTTGTAAAGGTATGGGTTACACATATTTAGAGATAATATGATTAAATAGGATTTGATTGCTGAAAAAAGGGTATTTTTTTCAGCAGAGACCCTGAAAGATCTCAAAATCAAATTGTCTAGACTTTATTGAGAAAGAGGATGAATTCTTTTTGCTAATAGTTTCCACCCTTTTTGTATGTATGTGGTTCCTCTTATGCTGGTGAAGCCTCTAAGCTATACATGCTTGAAAAAGGGGAAAAAACAGTTGCTAAAACGTTAGCTGATTTTACAAAAAGCATAATTATTGAATATGCTTTTTCAACATCCTTTTATAGTTTATGGGTTTTTTTCTGTTTCAAATATGTTTTCTAAAAGGCTATTGTGCTTGGGTGGTCATTTTCTATGACATTTCTTGGCAGACCATTGAGGAGGTTTGCCTGAAACCAGACATGTTGTGGAACATCAGAGTGGCATTTAAGCATTCCTGACTCCAGCCTGTTTCCTATTCTGACCACTAGACTGCAGTGTACAGGCTTTTAAACATTAGTGAAACAGGCTGCTTTCACAATGATATTTTTTTCCTAGAGAAAATATGGATGAGTACAAAGAAAGAAGGGACTATTACGTTAAGTGATTCTCTTTTTCAGAGCAGTTTTTCATTTGTTAAAAGGAAGCAGCGTGCTCTGATTAGTAAGAATGCTGTGCCAATATCACATGGTTGATAAAATTGGTCAGGTTGCTCTTCACAGCCTTATTGTGTGTGTATTTTTTGAAGGTGTTCAGCATTAATGAATACTTCGTAAGGCAAGGTTTGAAACCTCTGAAAAGATTGAATCTTAGGATTCAATTAGATGCTTTACTCACCTGTGTGAGGATTGCACCAGGAAAGGTTCCCCTTTTTTCTTTCAAATCTGTAGATGAAAATAATTTTGGATATGCTTCTGGCTGATGTATTCCATGTGTCTACTCTTTTCCAGCTGCATCCTGTGACAGTGAAAGTCTTTATTCTGACAACAACAAGAACAATCTTTCGAAAGGCACTACAACACTCAAAGCCTGTCTTTTCTGTCCTGTGATGGAAGGGTAGGTTGACAGTGGAGTTTTGTTTGTTTGTTGACATTCACTGATACTGTAATGAAAATACTGTACCTTACTTCTAAGAGGTGAAGTTAACTTCCTTTGTCACTTTGTGATTCCAAGGTCAGTGAAGAGGCTTCTTCCTATTGTTGTGGTGTCATTTGCCGAAACAGACCTGTCACATTTAAAGCAATAATTCTGTATTTTATCTCAAGAAGAATTTTAGGAGTAAAAAGATAGCAGCTCATATTGTATTAATGTTGCTCAGTCTATGATAAGATTTCCAGCACCTTTGTTAATGCAACGCCAAAGGTGGATAGGCTTAGAAAAAATGTGAAGTCTTTTCTTGCTTCAGTCATCTTTTGCCAGTTTCATCCAGCCTGCTGTATCACAGAGCAAATGTTATGCTATAGCATAACATGAGGGTAGATACTTTTCCTGTCTCTTTTACATGGTTCTTAAGAATTTTTAATCTCATATGTAATTATTCCCAAATAAATAATTTGGTTTTTTCTCCGGAGACCTTTGAAGGGCCTCATCATACAAGAATGCTATGGTCTTGTGTACTCAAGGACAATAGAAGGTATATATACATTTTTTCTGTATTTACTTATAGGTATTTTGATGTAGATCCTTCTGCAGCACTGTTTCATATAGAACCACATCATAATACTTCAGGGTATTGGTCCATATGGTTTACAAATAATTTTTACTTCAGCATTGAATTGAACGAGGTCTTCATAGCCAGAGAAACAAAGAACGTAGTAAAGGTAAGCTTTATTTCTTCTTCGTACAATTTTTTGTCTTTGATTTGAAGATTTGGACCTTTGACATACAAAATAGGTTCTTTGAAGAACTCTGTGTTCTTAGAGCTGGCTGGAATCAGTTGAAAAGAAAGTTTTGTGTACATTTGTAACTATTAGGTTAATGTCTCAAGAGGCATTATTCGCTCTCCAGCTTACTTTTGTGTTGTTTCATTGACAGCTGCTCTTTCATTTGAGTTGCAGCTAAAGATGCATCAAATTACAGACCATTGCTCGGTTCTCAGAATTGTTGAATGTGTGTGTTTGTGCTCTCTAGGATTCAGCATTTCTTCATAGTGGAAGCCTTTAGTACATAGATGAACTTTAAAGCCAGTAGTTTACTGGCACAACTCCTTGGTTCAAATCAGGCAGGTCTGGTTTATGAATGAGCACATGATATAGGCATCTAAATGGCTCTTTTTATGTTTTGATATTGACATTTGCATAAGTGCACTGTATGGATTAGGAATGAGCGAAAATGACCATGTTGTAGTAACAGCAAAAACACGAAGGATGAGAAGGTTTGCATTTTTCAAGGTACCACCTGCATCAGCAAGTGCTGTACCAATTTTAATTCAGCTGTCATTTGATTCTTTTCAGATCCTGAACTTCGCTGAACCTCTGACACTACCTCCAGGCTGCTGGAATGTATTTTCTTTGAAGCTCAGTGTGAAAGACACTGTAACGAATGTGCTCTCTAGTATTTGTTTGTCCACAAATGTAGGAGTTATGTTTGAAATACCTCTGCAGATATATTCGACTGTGTCCAAGGTATTGTGTTCAATTGTGTGTGTTGAATTATTATTAGGCCAGAAATCTGTTCTTAGTCCTGAAAGAAAAGCTCAGTACCCGACCACTCTGTCAAACCATTGTGTAGCTTAAGTCCCCAGAGTTGAACAGCAATGTAATCACAGTTCTCTTGGAACTTAATTCTCTTAATTCAAGGCCTTAATTCTCTTATTTGACTCTATGAAATTATGCACTGGGAAACTGAAATTTGTTCTCTTGTTTTGTCATATTTTTATTTTGTTTTTCCAGCAAGGAGACCTTAATTTTGAAGCAATTGCCCACTGTGATATCCAGTGCTACTTGGGAAAGTCTGATTCAGGTAGGCCCATCTACATCTTTTTTTGGCTTCTGACAATAGTTTTATTGCAGAAAATTCATTTTATATAGCAGGACTTGTAATGAGAATATTGAGATTGTTCATGCAAATACTTAGTTTTATGTTTTTTTAAAAACATCCACTTCTCTGGAAGTGTATAAATGGCTGAGTGCACGGTGCAGTATTTCAGACATCTAATTCAATAGCACATGCTAAGCTATTGTTCTGTCTTGAAACATGTTTTTTTTAATTTTAGTATTAAAGACTCTCCTGTAAGTTCTTATTGGTGATGTATTGCCCTTTTCTTTCTTCATACGCAGTTCCTTGAGAGATATTGAGGTAGAATGGTAAAACTGTCCACTAACTCCAAGTTATTAGAAAATGTGCACAACCTGGGCCCAGATCCTGGGAATTCTTTGATGAAAAAGAAAATGTTGACCAATATCTGCCTGTATCCAGAGTTAAATTTGAAGGCCTTCTCTTTACCTCTTTTCCACAGCAATCATTCTATAGATTCCAGCAAAAGATGGTTTATTAGCTTGTAGAACAGCATCCTTTAAACTGTATCATATGAAACAGAAAGAAGGGGTCTCATTTTTTCTGGAACTGAGGAATCTATCTCCACATACTGTGACACTGGTAGCTCTTTTAAGTACCTGCTGGCATTTACCAAAATACAGTGAGATAGGTATCACATGGATGATACTGCCTAAAGAATGTTGAACCTGTTAAAAGCTGATTCAGAATAGTTTTTTTTTATTCTCTGCAGTAAGGAGTTTCAGAAGGCAGCTGGTATCATAGGCTTTAAATGTTTGAGTGCTCTCCTGGAAATGTTTTCAAGATGATGTTTCCTAAAATGTATTTTTGTGTGAGGATATGAAGAAGGCAGTGGTAGTCAGTCAGATATAAAAAGGAGAATTGAGGTGACATATAGAAACATGTGACTTGAACAGTTACTGAGACACTTGCATGCTAAGGTTATGTATCCTAGAAGGAAAAGTTTGCTTTTTTTTATTGTGTTTTGTTTTTTTTTTTTTTTTTAAATCTCAATGAAGGAGTATGGCTGATACAACCAAATAATTGTTGCTTACTTTATTTTCACTCTAATAATACACACAATGAGATCTGTACTTACAGGTATTCTGTCTTCTGCTTTAGGATACTAGTATTTGTTACACAGAAGTGTGTAATGCATGATTCTGAAAATACTGACGTAAAGAAATTGTAGTTGGAGTATTCCAATAATCACCAATCTCTATTCATTACTTTAAACATTAAGGATTATGTAAAATAAAGCATATACATTTTCAAATTAAGTAATTTTTGTTTCCTTTCTAAAGAAGTTTCCTTTTCTAACTACTTTCTGCTGTGTGAAAATACTTGAACCAATATGAGTGTAACTTCCTAAAATGCACTCGTCTTTAGACTGATGTAAAGCCTTGCAATTCACCATAAGAAAAATTTGAGGAAATTATCAGCATCTAGAAGAACAGCCAAAATTAAAAGACTGTTTTTGCCAAACTGTGGGAACTGTGGGAATTGTTCTGTTCCCTGCTGTGCCATGCTACTATATTTTTGTACCACTATGTAGTATATTATCTTGATGCTTTACTGCCATCAGTGGAAAGTACTGTGTAGACTACATGGGTACTCTTCAATGACATCTAGTAGAAATAACAGCAGTAAAAACAGCTTACTAGGGCATACACAGCCTGTGCAATACCCATTCTGTTGTTTGCATGTACAGTTACTTTGGTTTTGCAGATGTATTTCTTTAAGCAAATCTGATATGGAAAATAATATAGATATAAAATATAATATATAGAAGATATATATAATATATAGATATATGTAATATATATACTTTTGCATATTCTCACTTTGAAGGGGAAAAGTGGGTGGATGTTTTTATTTGGGGTCTGGACAATTTGCAGATACTGATTACTCATGTTCAGAAGTAGATTGATGGAAGGAGCAATTATTATCTATATAAAATATGAAAAAAATCTATTATCCTTTTAGCAAATCTGCTTTGGCAGAAGAGTCTCTCTCTGGACCGTTCTGCCTGGGATGTGGATTCTGAGCTTGCAAGTGACCTTTATGAAAGATGGCAAAAAATCAGACGTGGGGAAGCATGCAGGTCTGTACAGAATCTCTTGAGGTTCTTAGTTCAAGCCAGTACAGTGTTGTAAGAAAGACTGTTTCTGTTCTGAAGTATTCTTAATTAGAAAAAAATATCTTGGACCATTTTCTGCACTTTAGTTCTCTTGAGGTACATGGAGTTTCAGAGCACCCCAGACATCCTCAGCTTTCATTTCAAGGCACTGCCAGCCACGAGAAAGCTTTACAGACTAGAATATAAATAATATTCTGACTATAGTTATCTCACTGGGGCTACCTGGCATGAAAGCAGTCCAAGTATGTTTTACTAGCTCAATTATGGAGTTGCATGAATACTTCATCAACAGGTCGCATAGCAGTCTTCTCAGGGTCTTTGAATGGCTTTCAAGGTTTTTAGTCCCTGGCCTACACACATACACAAGTTATGCTGACTCTCTGCTATTAGGCTACAGCTTTATGGACTATTTTGTAGAGTCCATTTTCAAGGAAAGATAAGTTGATGGAATTGTAGGTCCTGGCAAATCATCTTGTTGTTGTTGTTCTTTGTTTGAAAGAAAAAAAAGAAACTAACTAATTTTTCTGTTTTTGTCAATAAAGCAGGAAAAGTATTTTAGGATCAGCTCGCTTTACTCAGCAGAAGAACTCTGAAGAGGAATCCTTTGCCTTTTACTTGCCACGATTGACTGCAGAGCCCAGCCTTACACTCAACTTTAATGCCACAGCTGTTAAAAGTAGTATGGTGAGGATGGTTGTTACTACACTTTTTTCTGAGTTTATATATAGTTTAACTGGTTTAAATATCAAAGTCTGTGGTTAGGATTTGGTGCTGCTTAGCATTTTCATACTGCTTATGAACTGGTGTTCTGATCTCAGTTAAGACACTAAATTTGTATCCCTTTGGTTAGTTGATAAATTTTCGAGCTTCCTAGTTGTAATACTTTAGTACAAGGAGAGGAGTAAAGCAGTGTAGATTTTAACCAACCATTTTTTGTAGTTGTTAAAACTTTCCTTGTGTTCATTGTATAAGTTACATGCTTGTGGTAAAATAATTGAACTCGGGACTAGGGGTAGGGTGTGTTGTCATTAGTGATGCACGTAGGGCTGCACAGGATGACCTTCCTCATGCCACTGCCTTGTGTAACAAGTGTGTAAAACGTTTATGACAAACAACACTTGCAGAGCAATGTATCTTCCAGCCACACTGACAGTAACTTCTTTCTTGTTTGTCAGATTTAGGTCTCTACTAACCAAGCCTAGGCCAAAACCAGTCATGTGGAAATAGTTTTCATATGCACATATTGTGAATTACCTTAATATTCCATCTGTCCAATGTAATTGTTAGTCATTTCAAAAATTTTTATAACCTGCTTGCATTCAGACTTCTCTGAGAAGGGATGGCATCTCACTAACTTCACTTTCTTCTGTGCAAGAGCTTTGTTCACATCCTCCTACATAAATCAAAATCCAAATGAAAGGGTTGTTTGGGGAGTGGGGGCAGTCTGTATTTTCGTACATGTGGTTCAAAATGCACTCTTAGCTGATTTTACAAATTATGACATTGTGGTGACATGTCCTGCTGTTACATGCAGTCATGTACAATTATGATTATCCTGCATTGAGACAGGAGCCAGATTGAAGTCCCTTGAAAATGCAGATTGTGTTGCCAGTGCTGAATTATTTTACCAACCAGTTCTCAAATATGTAGTTTTTAACTCTTTCTTTTCCCCTCCAAACTATTTAGGTAAAATATTTCGTACTAAGAAACCCTTCATCCTTCCCAGTTACGTTGCAGCTTCTGCCTCTTTCTTACTACCCTGATCCCAAAGCTTCACTGAGTCTGCTGAACAAATGGTAATAACTATCTCAGGATACTGTTTTCCCTTTTAAAAGGTCTTATTTGCTATGCCTTATGATTGTTACTTACTGGGTTTTATTTAGTTTTTCAAACTGTAACTTAGGTGGGGATTATGTTCTGACCCATTTTGGAAGATACAGCCGTGTTTGGGGCAGCTCCCTGTATGGTGCATGCCTTTGTAATGTACCTCATCATTGATAAAACACAAATTGAACATGTTTTAAGCAGGTTTGTGTCTTCCAGATATAAATTATAGTTGTTCATCTTCTAGGATCTGAGGCTTAGTGCAAGCTGCTCAGTTGAGGTGAACAACTTAGAGTTGGGGTTGTCCATCTCCTCACAGTGCTAGTTGGTACCTGTAGAGTCTGTAGGCAGAAAAGAAGGTATCTGAACCATTCCCACCTGGAATGGTTCTTAGCCTTTTCTTAGGTAATGACCCAGGTTGAAGAAGAAACAGGAACCAGAAAGAAAAATGCAGGTCCAGAGGGAGCCTCTGGACATTAAACATAAATGTTTAGAGTCAGCTAAACAAATGTTTTTGCGTTGTTTTAGACTTTCTATTTTAGAATTGAGATAACATAATGAGAATTCTAGAGAAGAGGTATTTGAACAACAGAGGGACCTGGTGAGTGAGCTGAAGTTCAACAAAATAAGGCTTGTCACACTTATCTTCGAAAAACTGTAGTTGGTAGGACTGTGTGGTTAGAGACAGTGGGATTACTCCTGTGGTTAGGTGTAACTTGCTTATTTGGGGTCCCAATCCCTGTGTAATTGCTTCCTTAACCTCATTTTTTTACATAGGTATATGCCTGTGCATATATATGTCTGTGTATATATATGCACGCTAGTAACTGCATCTGTTTGCATACTAAATATGATTTCCACATAGACTCTTTCTAGTGGTTTGCAATTACATTTTCTCTGTATTTGCACACTTTAATTTCTGCAGATCTTGTAAGTTCACCAGAAATCACATCCATTAACTTCATTTTAAGCTAATGTCATTGACAGTTGTGACAAGTGAGTTTTCAGTTCAGTGGCTGAAGGTCCATTAGTCCTCTATAATCTACATTTTACGTATTGGTTTTCTTACGTCACTTTTTAATACCTAATGTCAAATGCATATAATTTGCATTTGGGGAAAAAAAATCAATTGCTTTAAGTGAATTTGATTTGCAAATTTTGTGATGGAAATTAGGAACTTTTCCCAAATAAATCATGAGCAGAAAGAAGGATATTTGAATAAATTATGAGATTTAATAGTGATTATTTCCTAGCAGTTATGCGAGCAAAAAGAGCTTCAGGGAATCTGTGTTTGTGTGGCTTAGAAATTCTATTTCTTGATTGTGATCTTTTACAATAGTCTACACTGACCAGCCTAAAATGCCCAGCCATTTGTCTGTTTTACAAATGCGTGGAATCCACATAAAACTGATTTGCAGCATATTCTGTTGAAATGCAGACCCACATTTCCACCATATTTCACATTGCCAAAATGCAATTGTAAAAGTAGTTCTTTATTTAAGAACAGGTGCCAACATGTAAAACATGGATGAATGTCCTCATGGGGTAAGATGGCTAATTTTGGTAGACGTGGTCTGACACACTAGAGAAAGAGTTTCCTAGCTGTGCTACTTCTGGGTTCTTCCCAAACACATTTTAAAGCAGTTTCTTAGTGTTTTCTTGATTCTTCATCAGGTTTGTATCTTTGCAGTTAATTATTTTCAGAATTTGAGTCAGTTTTGAATACAGCTGTAGGGAGAAAGTGCATGCATGCCTGCAGGTGTGTGGGTGTGTTTTTGGGGCTTCACCCTTGGCTCCAGGCTGACCATGGAGTGTCAGGAGCTGGCTGGTTATCTTCTCAGTAGAGGGAAGTAGTGTTGGGTAGTTCAAGGGAGGAGGAGCCAGGATTTCTGCATCTCAGCTTCATGCCATTGCAACTTCTGGATTTGGATTGCCATGGTGCTCTCTGGTTCCCACTGCCTAATTTTTGCGTGAATGTGCTAATTCTTGACTGTGGCACACCAGTGCTGAGCTGTGCTTAAGGCCTGAGATGTTGTGTCCTGGATAACAGAGGAAATGCTGTATCAGAGAAGCTGGCATATTCTGGTGACCAGGGTACTATCCAGAATACCTGGAGAATTTCTTCTTAAGACTTCTGGTTTGTGCAAGAGCCCAGAATGAATGTATTTTTTTTGCTGTTGTGGCATGCTGCATCTTCATCTTTAATGTCCTGTGTAGATATATGTTTCTGCACATATACTTTAAGATCTTAATGAAATATTTGTACATTGTAAGAAGAAAAGATTGTTTGCTATGCTAATCAAAGCTGACCTTTCCTTTCTGGCAACAGTTGTAAGAGTTATTGTAAAAGAGAGGAGACAGCAGTTCATAAATCCTAGCCTGTAGGCACACTCTGAAAAAGGGAAGGTTAGCACAGGGCTGGGAGTGAGCTTCCATAATCTCACACACCATACTCTTGGCCAAATGGAGAAATAGCTGTAGATCTTCACTTTAATATGTGCAGTACATGTTTTTCATTAGATTTGAAGAGCTATGGGAAGCATGCATGGTTAGCTAAATTTTCATCCATATGAGATGGATCTTGCCTTGTTAACCAAATCAATAGATGTTACTATTTCAATTTCTGCTTGGTCATCATTTCCCTAATCAGTTTATGTGCAGTGAATTGTTTGTCTCTTTTATGTAGGGAGTGACATGGGGAAGTTTGCAAATGCCATACATGGCTTGCTTTTAATAAATGCTGACTATTAAATGCAGGTTCTGATAGTTTTTGTGTGTTATTTTTCGTAAAATAGACTAAGAATAAAAAAAATTTGAACTGCAAAAGATCAGAAAAGCTGTTAGTACAACACTCATAAACTGAGAAACAACCAAGTGAGAGCCCATTTTGGAATGTTTTTGGGTGTTTTGACTGCTGTAGGTGTCTGATCACCCTTTTCTAAGAGGGGACCCCCACTTCTGGAAGAGCAAGTTATAGGACTATTTTCATTTTTCAGAGGCAGAAAGAATAAACAACAGTATTAAAAAAAAAATTACATTATTTCCAGACTAAGTGAACTTCTGGTAGTTCTGGTTTTCAATTAATGTAGTAGAGAATTCTCTTTGGCTTCTTTCCAGTGGCTCAAATGATCAGCGTATTTGCCAGCAGTCCCTTTCTCACTTCAATCAAGTTGTAAGTCATACTCTGAGGCTATAATGGTTGCCACATTTCCCTGTGCAATCAGTGCACTGTCAGTTCTTGTCTTCTGAAGTGTTTCAGGATTCCTTGAATATGAAAGACGCTATATAATTTCATTTCCATCTGAGCAAATAAAAGCTGTTTTGAATAATGAAGTAATACATTCCTCATAATAAGTGCAGTAATATGAACTTTTGTTCAAATAAACAATTTTATCTGATGTTTTATGTTGTCAAAAGGAAAAACTATGGTATAACAAGTTAGTTAGCAGTTTCTGCAAAAATGTTTCTTGCCAAAAATATTCTACATGGTGCTAAGTAGTGGTACAGTGCTTTCTTTACTGACATCTTTAAACACACATGTTTTCTGTGAGTAAGATGTGCATTTTTTGTTCAACAGAATGCACATCAAGAGGACCTCATCAGCAAAAAATGCAGTTCTGAGATGCTTTGGTTAAGTTTACAGCCACTGGAAACCAGGAAAGTTGGTGTAATTTTTACACCTCTTGACTACAAAAGAGTAGCTTCCCTTATTTTAATCAGGTAAGCCAAGTTCTAGCTGTAAGTGAGAATCAAGCAACTCAGTGTAAAAATGAATTTGCAAAGTCCTGGCACATAGACAAATGGTCAAAATTTGGAAGACATAATATGTCTGGTTTAATAAAGAATGTTTGTGCCTTGTTTCTCAGTCATTAATTTTCTTGATATGTGGTCAGAGGGTTATAAAATGCATGTAGCTGCACTGAGGCTACATGCATTTTAAGAGAGAAACACATTGCGTGGCTTTGCTGTTTTCAGTCTGACTTCATAACGATAGGAGTTATGGATCCATCCAGTGGGTCTTTTAGGCAGCCAAACATTGGTTACCTTTGTAGGAAAAGGGGGAGTTCATTGAAGAAGCAGCCATTCTAGGCTGCTTCTAGAAGCAACTAAGTGGCACAGTTGTTATCTAGTGGCACTGGTTGCTAAACTCGCCTCCTTCACTGTGTGAAATTCACTATTGTCTGGTCCTGGAGCAATCCTGTCTCTGTTTAGGGGAAACCTGTCCAGGTTTGGCCACTGAATTCTGTTCCTGAAGCATTTTTGTCTTGGTTTGGCACCTAGAGAGCAAAACCATGATTTTTAAACTTAATTTGTGCTTTAGTGGCTGATTGCTTGATTTTTATTTTATGGCAGAAACAACTTAACCGTTCTGGATGTGGTCAATGTAGAAGGCTTTGGAGCCAAGGAATTGCTTAAAGTAGGGGGAAGACTGCCTGGTGCCGGAGGATCCCTTCGATTTAAGGTGCCAGAAGCTACACTAATGGACTGCAGACGACGTGAGTAAGGAGTCACAGGTCTCTGGTTGTGCAGCTGGCTGCTTTGCTCTGCACTGGTAATGATACACAACATTAATGTTACATAAACAGAATGGTGAAAGCTGAAGAGCTTGGCCATGAGAAGTGTAGATTCTGTTTTGTCAAAACTCTGGAAATAATTAAAAGTTTTAGAAATACACTACTGCATAACAGTCTGTATTAAATCTTGGTCACTTACTTTTTTTTAAAAATTCAATTGAAAGTCAAAATATCAATTTATTTATGAATATAAGAAATCATTCTATGCAATGTAAAATAATTGCTCTCTTTTTTCCCTTTAAGAACGGAAAGACAGCAAACAAATTCTATCCATTACGAAGAACTTCAAAGTAGAGAATATTGGGCCTCTTCCTATAACAATTTCATCAATGAAAATCAATGGTTACAGTTGCCAAGGATATGGATTTGAAGTGTTAGACTGTCAAGAATTTTTCCTGGCTCAGAACTCATCACGAGAAATCAGCATTGTGTAAGCACTAACAAATTTGTTGACAAAATAACTGAAGTGGAAATTTGAAATAATTAATTTCAGAAACAGACACTCCAATAGCATACCACACACAAAATTTTGAATAGAAATTTAGTAAGCATTTCCCTCAGGATAATACTAACAAATGGATAATACAATACTGGTTCTTAATATGACCCATTATTTTTAAAAAGCAGCATTACATGCTTTTATCAGTGCATTATGAAGTAATAAATTAAAACAAAAGAGTTGGCACAAATTTTTATTTGCTTGTTATTCTCTAAGCTTGTTCCAAGTAGCCTGACCACAATCGAGTCATGTTTTCCCAACATTGCACATAGTCTAAAACTGATTATTTTTAAACTATCCTTGAGTGAAAGATACTGTGATGTAAACAAAAGTAATGTTACTGTATTCAAGTAACTGTGATTTCCCATACAACAAATTTCACCTCTACTGATTGGAAAGGCAAGTTATACTTTCTAGCAATCAAGTAGAATAATGAGATGGGTCAGGGAAGTGGAAGAAGAGATAAATTTGGTGTTTCTTCTGCTTTCTGTATCTTTCCAGTACCTTTTTGTATCCTAGTACCTAGCCCCTTCTGAAATCATGCTGGCTGTATGCTAGACAGCTGTACCTTTGTTACTTAACCTGAGTTGAAATGTGCATTTCCTTGATAAAAGAAAACCATGTCACAGAGTGTTGTGAGTAATAAGAGTATTGTGAAGAGTAACGATAAACCCACACATTTTGCCAATTTAAGATGACCTAATGCCACCTGCACAGTTTAAGCAGATAGGGGACTCTTTATTTAACTGTGCTTGAAAAAATATTTTAACATCATATTATTTCATGTAACTAAACTAACTAAATAGATTTATTATTAGATGAATAAATCAATAATTCATATTAATAATGAGGCAATATTTTAGTAATTTTAAGAATAAATTAAATTATTGGTAAATGTTATTAAATTAGTTTTCATACCTATTACTATTGTTGTCATACTTTTCGTATTTTTGGTATCAGTGTGACTTCAGAAAATAAAATATAGCCCAACAATGAAAAAGTAACACCACCTCTGTTTCTCCTGACAGATTCACCCCTGACTTTACATCTTCATGGGTAATTCGTGAGCTCACACTGGTGACTGCTGCTGATTTGGAGTTCCACTTCACGCTCAATGTGACTCTCCCTCACCATCTGTTGCCTCTGTGTGCAGATGTGGTGCCAGGACCCAGCTGGGAAGAGTCTTTCTGGAGGCTCACTGTCCTCTTCGTAAGGTAGGGCTTTCCTCACAGCACCCTGGAGTTTCCTGCAAGAGGCAGTGCATGTGAATGTTGTGGTGACAACGCACACGTGCTGATGCATCCCTAACTGAGATCCATCCCCATGCACACTGTGCTGCTGCTTCCGTGGTTTGGATGCTGGAAACAGGGCACAAGTGAAGCAACAGCAGTGACCACTTTGCCTGGTTCTAGATGCAACAGACGAAGACTACAGGGTTCTGAAAAACCAGGAATTTTTCATTCTGTTTTCCTGCTATCAAAATTTACACTGCATGATTGAGAAGGTGGTTTGATAAATAAGAAAGATTTTTGTTTTGATCCATATATGTTTGATGCAATTAATACACCATGGAGAGAGAGGATATTTTGCATCTACATTTTTAGTTCAGAAGTGTGATGGCATTGGTAGCTCATTTTATGCCAGCATTTTCCCTAGGAGAAGAGAGACAGTATTTAATAAATACCAAAATAAAGAAAATGACTATCATAAATGAGCAGCAGGCTGATAGGTATTATATTATGATATGATGTAAGACTCACTACAACAAAGTTACTTCTAAATTATCTTCAAATCAAGGATTATCTCTGTTAAAATGAAATTTTTCTTTGTTCTATTTCTTTTCTTTGTAAAGTTCATGACTGTATTATTTTAAAGAGCTAAGAACTAGTAAGGACTATAAAGAAAAACAAGAAAAGAAAATACCATTACAACTATAATTTTAAAAGCCGTATTTTGAGTTTCTTGTCTGTTTTTTTACTTAGAATTTACTAACAAAATATTTGAGAATTGTTTCTTGTTAAAAGCTTTTTACCTCTTTCACTGAATATTCTTGGAAGTGTAGAAACCAGTGTCTGTTGTTTTCTTTGGCAGTTTGTCCCTGCTTGGAGTGATTCTGATAGCCTTCCAGCAAGCCCAGTATATTCTAGCAGAGTTCATGAAATCAAGACAGAGGCCCAATCCTAGTGCTTCAGTGCCACAGCAGAACAGCAGCTCTGTTGACGTAATCAGCTCTGATTCCTACAAGTAAAAATACTTTTTTTTTCTTCTTTTCTACCCTGTTTATTATGGAGTGGTGCTTTCTGTCTGTATTCTGATATAACCTTCTGGTTTGAAGGAGACAGTGTTCCACGCAGCCTCTTTTAGAGAACTTCCACCTTAACTTAGGAGGAATGGAGGAACTCAGGGGTTTATTAATCTTGAATATTGCCAGTAATACATAAGGTAAAAAATTGTGTGATGAAGGTAAAGGATATACCACATGTGGTAGCCATGGAAAGAATGGAAAATACACTGATGGTTCTCAATCTGACCCTCTTGAGTGGTCAGTTAGGTGCTTTCTCACTGAAGCATGGAAGTGTGTTGAAAGTCTGGGCAAATATTAGTCTTGCTGCATTCTCACTGAAATCAGAATGTGCTTAGCTGGTATGGTAAATTGAAGACCTAAAGCAATTTCATGGCTTACGAATATGCCCCCCTTTCTTTCTTACAACAATATCTCATAAAACAATTCATGATGGCTTTGTGAAGAAGAGCAAATCCCAAATTATGATTTTTTTTTTTTTTCTCCAGGGGAAGCTGCAAGACATTTATGGATTCCTATAGTTCCTCAGATAAAGGTAAAGGGAAGGGCTTCCTATCTGTAGGCACTTCTTCCAGCCGAAGTCAGAGTGCGGCCAAGAGAAGTCCTGCGACCTACAGCCACTCTCAGAAGAAACACAAATGTTCAGTTTACTACAGTAAGCAGAAGCCAAACACAGCAGCTGGCAGTGCCATTGCAGCTGCTGATGAGAAGCAGAATCAGATTGCAGAGAACCAAATCTCAGCACCAAAAGAGGACATTTGCACTGATGTTGTCAGTGAGAACTGGGTAACTCTGAAATATGCAAATGGCATAAACGTTAACAAGAATTTAACTCTTCCAGAAGACTTTCTGGGTAAAGAAGAAAGTACACTGAAAAATACAGTTCTCATTAAAAATACTTCTTCAGAGTGTGATCTGAAGGAAGATCTTCAAACATGTATGTTTCCTAAGGAAACTAACCTTAAAACTTCAGAAAATCTAGCTGAGCTCAAAGAACAGGAGTTCTGTTCTGTGAAGATGTCCAAGAAGATACCTGAAAGTCACTTGTCCAGAAATTCACCTCAACAACAGTCGGAACTGCAAGAAATTTCTAGGAAAATTAGTGGTAATTTTTTCTCAAATTCTATCAGTCTAATTTACTAAGTGAAATCCTCTGATGAGTTCGCTGTGATCAAGGTTTTGTCTTTTTGTGTGGGACAAGGGAATGTGGTGTTTCTTATGTGTTCACTGTGATTTGTCTGTTTACATTCCAAAGGAAGCAGCTTACATTTAAAGTTGTTTCATAAATCATAAATTTGCTTGGTTTACAGATTTCAAGCTTGTTGCCGTAGCATTTTAGCTGTTAAAATAATTGATGTCATAGATCTGTCTAGAAGACACAAATTGCCCTTGTCAGATATTCAGAAGGATCCCAGTTTGCTGTTTTCAGGTCCACTGGAAATATGGTGCTTGAATCACTAAGCAAGCACATTCAGAAGCAGATATGTAGAACTCCTTTGATAAAACCACCCAAAATAACAAAAACCTGACATCAGGATGTGAATTTTTATTGTGCAGGAATCTGCAAATCAGTGTTTTCCTTAGTGATTGCATAGCTATATTTTTTTATCTTGTTTTCCTTTTTTTGAAATAGTGTGGGGCTAAGCTGCCTGGGAAGTCTCACCTCTTAGCTTCACAATTCAAAATTTTAAGAACAGTAGAACACCTTCTTTTGCTTGAGACTGAAGACTGAGATTTCTCTACTTTGAGAAATCAAAAGCAGGATAGGAGAATGTATCCTCTGGAAGCTTGGCTATACTGAGGCACTTGGCAAATTGAATGGTGAAAACTGGCATTTGCTGTAGCTGTGGCAGTATATTTACAGAGTGAGGCATCAGAGAGGGATTTCAGGCCCTGCTGTCTTGTGTAGTTGTTACCACAGGCTTGTTGCTTCTTGTGTTGCTATCTGTGAGCTATAGCAGGTACAAGTGTGCAATATCAGGTGAAGACAAGATAGTTTCACTCAGTCTCACAAGGTATTTTGAGATTCTTCATATGCTCCTAAAATGCACTGTTGCTTATTCTTTGCTTTGAATTAGATCATTCAGTGTATTTGGTAGTAAAGCACTAAATGTAATCTCCCTTGTTGTCTCTGGGCAGTTGTGGTTTTCTGTACTATCAGGCATGTGAGTATTTCTGTATTCAAAGATGTTTAGTAGGATATGATAAGCATAAAAAGTACCATGTTGCAGTGTTTGCATTTTGATTATAGTTATAGACCTGGTTTTGTGCAAACAGGGAGTTTTAGGACCTCTGGTACTCCCATGCTGGAGAGCAACACAGCGTTATTTAGAGCTATGGCTGTCTCACTTGCCTGGTGTTTCATTTTCATGTGCTCCTTTTGCAGTCCTCATGGCTGCCTGCTCCAGAGGGGGGACAGTGTCTGACTCAGAGCTGGGATGTTGTAGTTGGTTGGTAGGAAACTGTAAAATGTTTGGGCGTGCCTTTCCCCGTTGAGAAGGCCAGTTCAGTTCAGTAAGTGATGACATTTCTCACGCAGAGCAGCTGAGAGCTTCGGTAGCAGATCACTGTGGATGTAGTGTAGATCTTTGAGATACCTGGAACCTAATTAACAGAAGTTAATTCTGTCCTGGCCCAGGCAGAGGAATGTGACTCAGCTGAGCAACTGAGCTAGTTGTTGAGGCCGGATTCCTCTTGAAGCTTTTGTCTTTCAGACTCTTAGATCAAAATAATCCTTCTTCCTCACAAGCCTCTCAAGTAAAAGAACTTTTAGTGTGGAACCCGTGCTAAAGAAAGGCTGTCTTCCCTTTGTCTTCATAGTGAATGCAGAGGACACTTCAGAGGTGTCAAGCACCAAGTAAAGGCTGTCCTTTCTCCCCACCCAGATTGCAGGGTTTTTTTTCTCTTTGTTTTTTAGCCCAGTGTTCTCTAGCTTCAGACTTTACCTTACAGACCCGTGGCATTTGAGCCCCAAGTAGCTCAAATTCAGATGAGATGAGCAAGATTTGGGTAATCTGTGCATGTACTAGAAGTGGTGTGCTCATGACCATGAACCAGCACAAAGCTACTTTTTGCAACTGCTGTAAGAATTTTTACACAGCATTAGCTTTTGATTCTGAAATTTTCAGTATCATCAGCCTAAATGTTTCAGTATCATCAGCCTTTGTTTTAGAAAGCAACACAAGGCTGTTTTTAAAGAAAAGTATGTGGTTATGATTGGGATCCCCTTCTCTTCCCATGCAAACTGTTGTCACTGTTTAATTGTAGGGAACAGCCAGCAAGTGCCTCTCAGGAATGAAACAGAAAATTGTGAGACTTTAAAAAAGCAGATCAACCTTAAGCCTTCCACAGAGAAAAAGATTAATAAGGGACCTAAGGAAGAGACTCCATGCTGTGCAAAAGAGGAGATTACTTCTTCTGAGGTTGGTATTGTGATCTTTCTTCTTTTCAAAATTGAAATTATCTTTTTATACTTTATGTACATATATATACACATACAGGTATGTATATATATGTAGGGACTATTATGTAGAGTCACAGGTCTGAAATACCGTAAATCAGATGAATGAGGAAGTTGTACTGATGTATTAGTGCTGCTTTATGGAATGGTGAACAGTTTGGATAAAAATCAAGACAGCCATATCACAGCCAGAGATTGTTACTGTCAGAGCAGGCAGAAGCATAAAGATGTGGGAACATTCTCTGGAGGGGAGGTAGGCTTATCAGGCCTTCATTTGCAGGTCTGATCTCCAAACCCGGGGCTTTGCATCAGAACCTTGCATTTGAGAGTGCAGCAGGCAGAAGCTCTTTAGTAGATCTTTAAGTTGCTGAGAAGGATCATTCTTCACCCCTGGTTTCTGCACATGATAAACACATCGGACTGTACTTTTGTTGCAGGCAGCAACACTAAAAGAACTGCATCAGGCAATTAGTAAACCTGAGAATTTGGGTTATGTTTGTATTCTGTCAACTGGATAGAAATCCCATGGCAAAACAGTGTAAGGAAGGATTGCTTACATTGCTTGGTGAATATGTCAGAAAAGACAAGGTCTAATCTTGCTTTGGGAACTGTTGTTATAAACTTTCCATGTGTGGCTAATGGTGCTCAGTTTGTTTCTTGCATTTTTTGAAATGACTAGCATTTGTTGGGAACTTACTCCATAATTTCCTCAGCAGTAATTCAAATGAATGCCTTCCCCCACCTCCCCCAGCTGCTGAGGAAAGGGAGGATTTATTGCTGCTGAACTTGCACACCAGCTGATCATAAATCTGGCAGATGTTTTTTGTTTTTTAGCACATAGGGAATTTTATTGACTGCTTTACTTTTTCTCCCCCCATTTTTTTGTTTCCCTGAAAGTCAGAGCTAGATGTTGTGAAAGGGAAAATGCTAAGTTTGGGAATTCAAAAATTTCTCTCTCATCGTCTCTTGCTGTCTTGATGGGCAGTCTTGGAAAGGCTGGTTAAATTGATGGTGCTGGAAAGAGGATGTGCTGTGGAAAGTCACTAAATCATGAAGTAACTATGCATTTGGGTTGGGTCATTTTGTCCAGAGAAATTTAGCTAGGAAAATCCAGTGGAGTTCATTGACTAAGTTAAGTTCATTTTATAACGTATGTATTATCTCAGCTTGTATTTTTGCCTTTAGCAAGAAGATGCATATAGGAAGAAGAAACCTCAGGAGAAAAAGGAGGGAAATGTACCAAATATGAATTGGAATAGAAATAGAACATCCAGGAAAAATAAGAAGAAGAATGTAAATATATCTACAAGGTATGTATTGCCTCACTAAATAATGAAAAAAACCCAGAATTGCTGTAATTTTTCTGCATGTTTTGCATAGTACATTAGGCAGGATTGCTTTATCTATTTAAACAAACACACTTTAATCCTGGCTTGTGAATTTATTTTTAGGAATGTGCAGTACTAAGTATCACCAGCAAAACAAAGAATTTTAAAATATTCAGTTGGTAAATCTGCATGTGTACAGATGCAGCCCATTCTGCATAGCAGTGGTAGCTCACTGGTAGAGTCAGGAATGTGCTGTCTCTGAAGTTGGGATGGTTAGCTTCCTTCCCCTTGTGTATTGTCTGGAGAAGTTCCAATCGTGTATTCTCTTCAGTGAAAGAAGGAAAATAAAATTGTTGAAATGATTCCATCTTCAGGACAAGGCGAGTCATCTGCTATATTGAGTAACTGGGGGAATGTTGTCCTCTACCAGTTTTGGAAGAGAAATGTGTAGAAATGAGAGAGCAGTTTGCATTTTTGATGTAATGATTAAACAAAACTAGAGCAGCTCTAGATTCTAAAGAATATTGAGTGAACACTTTTTTTCCCCACCCTGAGAATTGTTTTAATGCATTTTAAAGTCAGTTGTAAATTAATTCTAAATATATATATATTTTTCATATATTTTAAATTTAAGTTGTTTGGATTGTTAAAAAATACCGGTTACAAACTGCTTCTAGAATACAAATACATCCAAGGAAGAAATCCTACTTCTTCCCTTCCCCCAGCCCTTTGAATTAAGGTCACAATCCTACAAAGCCTTCACAGACTTAATTTTTATTGCGAGTGCTTCTACTGAGGTCAGTGGACTTTAAAAGGAGATTGTAAATCTGAAAGGGCTGTTATAACTCATTGTGCACAAATTTCTGTTCATTTTGTGGGAAGTACCTGTGTAAATCTTGGCTGGATGCACACCTTTATAGGTAGGAAGGATAAAAAACAAGCAGTGGAATACTGAAGTTCAGGATCTATTCCTTGAACCAATTCAGCAGTTGCTACTTTCTGAGTTAAAATGGAACTGTTCATTTCTGCAGAAATTTGACTGCTGACTTTTGATCATTTTTCCTTAATACTCTCTGATTATGACATTGGATACTGACATTTCACTTATACTAGAAAAAATTTAAGATTGCTTCAGATTGTCATTTTACTCTAGTTATAATTATGCCAGTGAAATGAACACAGGACACATTTTTCTTTGTATATCAATCTTTGTACACTGCTAGACTGTGCTTATCACTGCAACATCTGATTTTCTTCTGCCAAGTGCATTAGAGAATGGATTTAAATATGCACATGTCATTTTGCCTCTCCCTCTGACAAGTAGTAGTCTGTGTGGTAGGATATTGCATTTTGGGAAAGATTTTTTAGGTTTCTGTAAAGTTGGGGAATAAGACTCCCAAACCTACTGCTTCCTCTGCACTTTGCCTTGATAGCTGTGCGAGTCAAAGTGTTTAATGCCTGAAAAGGAAAAATGCAGATGAAATGTAAAATGCAAACATGTTCTTTTGGGTATGGTTCTATTAGGGTCCCTGAGCAGAGTGAGTTGAAGCATATGTGCAGTGAATTTGAGAGGCCGGATCTGAGAACGAATATTGGAATAAGAGCTTGGTGTCCTCAGAGTAACGGGGAAAATTGTAAAGCAGACCAAAAAGCTGGGAGCTTGTCCATACAGGGAGAAACAGGTATGCTATCTTAACTGTCTTAAAATGGGGAAAGAAACACAATGTGGATTTTGTGGCAGTAGAGCATTCCTTACTTGAGAGACCTGTGCTTTTCTCTGTTTTGAACCCTGATGTGCAGATGACAGGACTGGTATGTTGCAGTGCCTGAAATAATAGCTGCTCACTTCTGAAGGGCTCTGCATGCTTCTCCATGGGATTGGATGGATTGTTTTCCCTGACTTCAGGAAAGAGGAGATCTGAAGAAAGATACCAATCTCTATAGGATTGTCCTTTGCATCTCTGATGAGATACTAAGAAAAGAGAATCTAACATTCATGAATTCATCACTTGCAACATTTTGTCATTGCTCTTAGTATGCATGTTTCTACAGCCAGGATATGTCTCATGTTTGAAGTATTAAGTGTATATTTCAAAGGACAGTGTGCTCATCCTCTTTCAACCTATTACCTATAGCAGCACTGTATCCTCACTTGCATTAATATTACTGGGATATCATGTAGGTCAGAAGCTCTGTGTGTTAGAGGCTGGTTTAGTTACTGAAGCTATCAGTAAATTCTTTCTCATTTCAGTAAATTCAGAGAATTCATGTAAATTCATGATTCAGATTACTTTTCCCTGACAAAACTTTCTTAAATGTTGTGTTGGTGTTTTTTTTGTTTGTTTTTGTTTTACCCAACTTCTCTAGAAAACTTTTATCAGCGGTCCAAAAAGAAGTGTTTGGAGAAGTTTTGTTCTGATTCAAGCTCAGATTGTGGAAGTTCGTCAGGAAGTGTTCGTGCAAGTCGTGGGAGCTGGGGTAGCTGGAGCAGTACCAGCAGTTCAGACGGAGATAAAAAGCCAATGATTACTACCAGGCATTTTCTTCCATCCAGTAAGTTTTGCAAACAGCACCTCCTCACAGTAGTGGGCAGAGTTTCAGCCTCCCTGCTGAACTGAAAGACCTACCATGGCATGGGGCACATAATTTGTCTTTTGTAGAGCAACTCTTAGACACACAAGGAGAGATGCAAAGAACTTGGTACTTGACAAGAAGTACCACACATTTCGTGGAGATGAAGATGACTGTGAGGCTCCTCAATGAGCAATATGCAGAGTTAGTTGTCTTGGAAGGATGGGAGAACTGAGAGTCGCTAGCCAAAGCAATTTTTGCCTTCAAATTTGTTCCATCACGTTTGGTTTTTTTTAAACATTGCACCAGTGAAGAATATGTGAAAACAGTAGAGATCTGAGGATGCTGGGTTTGCATTGGTGTATTTGAGGCATAGGTACCCAGAACACCTGGCCACTTGACTAGTATGAGAAATGTTATCTGTGGTTCGTTACTGCAATTCTTGAGTTACCTGAATATCGCTCAAGTACTTGAAAGTCACTACCATAATTATCTGGAGAGATGTGGCACTAGAAGAAAATTTTAAAGTGCTGAAGTGACACCAGCAAACTCAGCTTTGGGTACCTGCAAAAAGATGGCTTGAATTATTTAAAAATATGCAGAAACTTTAATGTGTATTTGTGTATGTATAAAACTTTACATTACTAAATGCTAGTGTGTGATCTCTCCAAACCTGTGATCTAACAGATAACAAATAGTGTGTGTATATGACTTTCCTGTGTGTTCAAATTATAATGCCTCTTAAAAAAATTAAAAGAAAAGAAGTAATTCTAAATTCAGACTTAATTCGATAGTAACAAGGAACCTCTCTGTTAAGACTCTGGTAATCCCTTCTAAATCATAAAATACATGTTAAGACTATGGACTAGTGATAATCCAGTGTGAGAGAAAACTTGATTAATACCGTTGCTGATTCTGTTTGTGTGTATGTATATTCTGTGCATACTTCTTTTTTTAAGGATCTTTGATTTTCACAGTCATTCTTTTCTTTAGGAGAGAATATTTCACAAAATGATTTTCCATCTGAAACTCCTATCACTCTAAATCTGTCTCATAACATCTGCAATACCAGGTAAAAAATTGAATCTACACCTGTAAGGCATTATAGAAACAGCATCAACTTGAAGTCTTGTCTCAGTTTGATAAATAATACCTACCTGTTACCTTGTAACTTTTTATGATCATCTGATTGTACTTACTAGTTGGAAGAAGAATCTTCTTCAGCACTTGAAAAGATATTAGCAAAATTGATTATGCTGCATAAGTACAATAAAAGCTGCCAAATGGAAAAAAATGGAAATTGGTTTTCCCCTTTCACTTCTTCCAGATCCTAGCAACTTACTACATTTACACTACTGTTTAGTTGTATTGCAGTAGTAATGTTTCGGGTTTTTTTAAAAGGTGAGAATAAGACTTTCAAGTTGATGTTATTCTTTTAATGGGAATAATGTTCTCCTACGATACACAGCATGAAAATTGATTCCTCCCTCCCCCATATTCTTTTCTTCCTCTTTACTGTAGTAGAGATAGCATCTACAATTTTTATTAGTATGAATCCTTGTTTCACTTCTCATTCACCACTCTCTGTTTCCACTAGGAGAAATAATCCAGTCCTTTTTCTTTAGGATTCTGGTGCTTGAAAATGTTTCCTTTTATTCATTTTTACTAGTTTTTTTGACGGGTTTTGATGAATATCAAATTCATGCTCATGTGTCTCTATGTGTCTTCATGGACATAAAAGTAACATAAAAGTAAACAACCTGAAAGTTTTTTAAACATTATAAGAGGTCCTACTTATCTTCATGGACTGTAGCTTGTTTTTCAGTTTTAGAGAAGTGCAGTTGAATTAATTTGCAATAGGTTGATACTTCAGTGATAAAAACAGGATAATTAAGGTGTATTAATTTTATTTATTTTGCATGTGTGATAAATAGCTGGCTTTTAATTGGGAAAAAAACTTAAAAAAATTGCACAGTGATAATTCAGAAATAGGAAAAATCAGGACAGTGGGAAAGCAATAGAATCATGATGGTTGTTAGAATATTTTTTACATCTCTGTATATTTCCTTTGAAATGGTTTGGATTATGAGATTTAAGAAATTAAATTTTCTTTTCATTCAGCAGAGACATGAACAGCATCCCCCAATATCCTGAAACCTTATGTCCCAATTTCACTGACATAGCTGCAGATCCTGACAAAAATAAAGGTCAGTATTAACAGCTGAAGCTGTTTCTTTCACATTTTGTCAAGCAGTTTTAGTGATGTTGCTAATAACCATGCACCAACTTGATAGACACATTGTTACTAGAACTTGATTTCCTTCGAAAAAAGGCACAAAGTTAGCAAATTTAAGCAAAATATAAGTTTATCTATATTACAAGCAAAACATAAGCAAAAACCTTGACAGTTTTTGCTTTATCTATATTACAAGCAAAACATAAGCAAAAACCTTGACAGTTTTTGCTTATTACCTTTATGATTTTTGCTGCATCTTCTCTTGTGTAAAGGCAGCATTTAGCTTTCAACTCATGTTCTAGGTATTCTTTCTTTTTTCATCTTCTTGCTTTGCACAGATTAATGTCCAGAAGCAATACAGCTGGGAGATCAAGAGCGCATGAAATCAAACATGACCATTTTTGTCTCTAAATTACCACAGTTGGGACTTGCTCTCTTTGAAAGTAATAATGAGTGAGGTTGTGTAGTGCTGTTAAAATTGTTGAATTTTCATAGTTTCCATCTCAGAGGGAAATAATACTAGTTTTTTGAGTGGGATTCATAAAGGCATCATGCTACACTGTGAGGTGGAGTTTGAAAGCTGGTCAGGACACATGATTCTTTGGGCAGCAGCACTCTGCCCTTCTGCTGCAAGTTTAACCTGTGTCTGATAGGATACAAATGCTGATTAACCTTCTTCCATGGTAGCAATATTAATATGTATTATGTGAAATAATGAAATAGAGCCAACTTTGCAACCCTTATCTCTTGGAAATTGCTAATTTGGAATTTGGATTTTTTCTTTTCTCCAGCTGCCAGTTCTCATAGAGTTGATAGGAGCCAAGCATCTGTGGGCAGTCAGGACACTCAGTCCATGAAGGGCAGCACAGTGAATATCTGCCATAGAGACTAAATACAGAATTTAATGAGTTCACTAATTATCTTGTCAGGAATGGCTCCAGTGTGTTAGAAACCTGACCCTGTTCCTGCTGGGTTTATGTAGTTGAACTTCTGAGGTGGTTACTGACTGAGGGATGGGGACAAGGAGGCCAGTGGGGATTGCATCCCTGCTGTCTGTCCTGCTTTGTGGAAGGATGCCACCTTGGCACTGGCAGCTGAGCACTTAAAGACCCTCAGCTGGAACTTCTTGCCCTGTTTAATTGAATTCCAGTTTATCAGTTCAAGTCTTATATGTATCTTTTTTAAAAAACAGAAATTTCGAGATGTGTTTAAAGAAGGGTCTTCACCACAAAAAAAATTGCTTAGTAACTCTGGATTTTTTGCTCTAGCAGACAGTCCTTACTGGGGACCTGAGAATTAAGTGTCAGTGTGACCGAATCTGCAGTCTCCTTCCTGTTACTCTGCATTTCATGCCCCTTTCCTTTTTTAGGTCTTTACCCAACAGGAGACCACATTTGTAAAGACAGATGATAATTAAAATAAAAATCTTTCTGCCGCTTCAGTCTTTAGTTGTTAATGCTCTTCCATGAGTACATTCCTGTTTAATTTTACTAAGACAAATCACTGCTCATGTATAGATATTCTAAAACTTTTTTCAAGTTTAATGAAATACTTTTTGGAAAGTTATTAATTCCTTTTACTTCTTTTGCAGGCAGAGGGCCTGGCTTTGAAACCAGTTGCCCTCTTGCTAAGTGCATAAAGTGCATAGCTTGTGTATGCTGCATGGTGTATTATGCAGTGTGTACTTGTGTTAATTAGCAGGAACAGACATTATTATAAAGACGAATATTCCAGTATAAAGGTGGTTTAGGGATACAAGTTGGTATGTTTCAGGCTCTTTGTATATCTGGGTTGATCTTCCCTTAGTAATGAACTTGATTAATTCTTCTATTTTACACCGCTCACACAGCAAATTTCAGTAATGAAAGATGTGCCACAAACTACTGAGCAGAAATACTCTGCCATCACATAGCAATGAAATATGGCCAGTTCTTCAGGTTGTATCCTGTCATCTAAAATGATGGGAGAAGGACCTGGGGGTCCTGGTGCACAGCAAGCTGTCTCTGAGCCAGCAGTGTCCTTGTGGCCAGGAAGGTCAGTGGTATCCTGGGGTGCATTAGGAAGAGCAATGCCAGCAGGGAAAGGGAGATGATCCTGACCCTCTGCACAGCCCTGGTGAGGCACATCTGGAGTGATGCAACAGAGATAGGAAGCTCATGGAGCCCATCCAGCAAAGAGCTACAAAGTTGTTTAAGGGTCTGTAGCATCTCCCTTACAAGGAAAGGCTGAGGGAGCTGGGTCCGCTCAGACTTGAGAAAGAAAGACTGAGAGGGGACAATATCAATGTCTGCAGGGAGGGTGCCAAGAGAATGGAGCCAGGCTCTGCTCAGTGATGCCAAGCAGTAGAACAGGAGGCAGTGGGCAGAACCTGATGCACAGGAAGTTCTGCCTGAACATGAGGAAGAACTGCTTTACTGTGCAGGTGGCCATGCACCAGAATGGATGGCCCAGAGAGGTTGTGGGGTCTCCTTCACTGGAGATACTCAAGAGCCCTCTGGACACAATCCTGTGCCAGGTGCCCTGGGATGGCCCTGCTTGAGGAGACTGGACCACTCTGGTCCCTTCCAGCCTTACCCATTCTGTGATTGCTTTCATACACCTATCTCAATTTGGATTTCATATGCAAAAATACACATCCATACAATTATTTATTGATATTTAATAGTGACAAGATAGCTGCTTAGCTGAATAGTAAAATTGAAGTAGGGCAGCTTCATATGAAATCCTTTTATGTACCTACCTTGTGCAGATTGATCCAAAGTTGGGCTACTTCAAACTTGATGTATAGCAGGTCCTGCTTTACTACGTGTCTTCAGGAAATACTTTTGAAAAAATCTTCTTGAAATTCTGAAATTATTTCAATTTGAGAAATATAACCCCTAGAAATCTATGTGTAGCTCAGAAAATGCACTGCTTAACTGAACTTTAGCACATTTGGTAGGGAAAACAGATATCTCCATTTTAATTGCTATGCTCAAGCAATTAAATATATTATGCCTTCTTCTGCCACTTCAAATCACATTATCCATGATTGTGTGGAAGAAGTACAGTTATTTTCTTTTTGCAGGGAAGAAAGTTGAACCCAGTTAGGCATTGCAGGATTCTGGTAGCGTCATTACAAGTTCATTTTCCCAGAGGAAAAAGAGCTCTATGAGAGAGATTGCTGTGGTTATGTAGTGGTACAGAGTAGATACTGGCAAAATTGACAAGTGGAGTGTGAAAAGCCTCATGATCAGTCACAGGCATTTTGCATGCAACAGCTCTACATTAAATAAGTATTTCTGAGTAATTTTCAGAAGTTCTGCAAGTTGTTTCAGACTTTTCTTTTTCTTGAGACAGCTTCATTGACTGGAATGCAGCTTGTGACAGCCAGTTTTCCAACATGTATTGTCCACTAGAGATGAATGAATATGGTGCTTTCCCAGAAGGTAAGATGAAATAAAGCTTATTAATTAGAACAGAGCATGGTTATTTTCCTCACCTTTTATAGAACAAAAGGCTGAGCTGGTCTATACACACACACACGGGTGTTCATTGCTTAAGTGGACTTTACGTTTTCCAGCTGAGTGCTCTGTTGTAATAAACAATGGCTGCATGTGGTGGATGAGAAGCTTGGCCTTTGTATAGACTTATTAAGCCTGAAAGGGCAGTATGCAGGACTCTCAGAGGGAATAGAGAGAAATGCTTGTGCCTACAGTATTACACATATCTTTTTGCACAATCTTCTTTGTTTCCCCTCTGGCAGGCTTCTGCCTTCCAGTGTGTGAAATACAAGGTCTCTTGTGACCAATTACCTTTCCAGGCTAGAGTTTCTTGGCTTGGGAAGCACACTGGCAGCAATCTAGAATTCTTTAGCATTACCTACCTAAGTAATAATGAAAGGTCAGACTGCAGTATCCCAGGCAGTGCACTGATCCCTTGGGTGCTTAGAGCTGAGACATGTTGGCGGTGAGGCCTGGGGAGGTTCTGCCGTGCATGTTCTGTCTAATAAAGACTCTGTTCTCCAGTAGAGGGATTGCCAAGTCTTTATCCTGTCCTCCTGGTAACAATTTATTAGTGGGTCCCTAATAGAGAGTGGTAGTCCTGTTGACAGAAATGGATACGCTTCGCTGCTGTGCTACCCTGACTCTGCATGAAGTCACTGAAGGATTAGGTCAGTCCCAGCCAGGCTCACTCTCAAGAAGATTCAGTGTTCCTCCACAGAAACGTTAGTAGTGTTTTATGTTGCAAAAGCCTTAGTTTGTCTTCCTGATTTTATAAATTGCAGAAAACATGAACTACCCCAGTGGCTTCCCAGGTACTGCAGCAGTGCAGAATACAGCCTTCATTGACCAGAACTGTCCCTCCACCTGGAATGCTCCTCCCAACATGCCACCTGCCTGGGAGCCTGCCAACTATGTCAACTCCACAGTGAGTATTGTCACTGTGAGGTGCTGCCTTTGCATGCTCTCAGAACCTTCCTAGTGTATTCCTGTCTTTTCCCTATGTGTTGCTTACATGAATCTTCTAAGTAGTGTGATGTATGTGTTTAATGCTGGCCTTGGTAGCCCAGGTTTTTCCCAGCTGTTTGTCAAGGATGTTACCAACTTTGTCTGCAAGATTTTAAGATGATCCTTTTGCCTGAAAATTGACTAAAATCAGCTAACATATGGAAAAATGTTTGGGGTTATGTTGTCTACTGAGACTCTTTTCTATCAAAATCAATGTGTCCAGTTGAGGGCTAAACCCGAAAAGTGCTGACAGGAAAACCCAGAGAAATTTGAAAATTGAAGAACTGAATGGGCAGCTGCTCTCAGTGACTTTGACAGGGATTTTTTTTTGGTAGGAAATCCAAGTGATTTAAGCTGGATTTGTGCAGATTTCAGAATCCAAACTTTGACCTGTTATATTCCAGACTAGCCATATTTATGTCATCCCATAGTGCAGTGTAGTAACTTCAGTTCAAGGTGGTCTTTAATTGTAACCATCTTCTTTCTGTTCATATTTCAAAATCCTCTATTTTAGAATTTTGATTTTTCTTTTCATTTACTGTAGGTTTATTTTGAATAAAACTAACCAAATAAAATCAGAAATATTTTCAACTGTTAAAATGAAAATTCTTCTGTGTTAAAAAGTGGCAAAACTGGTAGAAGACTTTTTCCTTAAATAAACATGGCTTTATTTCATGTTTTATTCAGGAATGCCAGGAAACACAGAAGGTAGAGATTGGAAAATGCATTAGATAATTCAGTTCATTTCCCTGGCGAGCTTTTCTCCACAATACATTTCAATGTTTGATTCAGTTTTAAAAGTCCCAAGACTTCCATGACCTTCGCTGGGAGATTTCCTTGCAGACTAACACATCTTGCCCTCCAGGAGGTTCTTTATAAGCTTTCAAAAATTTTCTAGCTAAATTCCCTAGCTCCCAATTATAGTCTCATTTTTCACACTGAATATCCCTTTCTGCTCCCAGCATGCACAGTCTTTCTGGACTGACACATAGTTCAGCCCTTTTCTTGTCATTTCTAGGCATCCTTCTCTTTTAATTTTAACTCTCAAAGTATGCATGGTGATCTTTGTGTGTCTTCCATTTCTCCTCTATTTTCCTCAAGTCTGACCAGAACTGAATAGTATATTGTTGTTAGAGTAATATCTGTGCTGTGCAGGGAGGGCTTCATTCAGTGAAGGGCCTTCTCTCACCCACACCCACACAAATTAATGCTGCTGTAATATTTTTGACAGCCATATTTCTTTGTAAACTCCTGTGTAATTTTCTACTTGTGGATTTCTCAAGTCTCTGCATAAATGCTGCTTCCTCCCGCCCATTTAGCACTTAGCATTTCCAGATTTCCCGTGGCAAATGGTCCATGTTGCAGTTTCCCATGCTGGTTTTATCTTGCTCTGCAGCCCTACCTCTCAAGCACCCGAAGCTTGTCTCCAATGTCTGGACTTTTTGGTTCCATCTGGGCACCTCAGAGTGATGTTTATGAAAGCTGCTGCCCCGTCAGTGCCACGACTCAGCATTCAACCCATGTGGAGAACCAGGCAGTTATGTGTAAGCAGGAATATTATCCGAGGTTTAACCCTTTCCGTGCCTACATGAACTTGGACATATGGACTACAGCAGCCAATCGAAATGCAAATTTCCCACTTTCGAGGGACTCGGGTTATTGTGGAAACGTGTGAAAGGAATTTGATTTAAAAATGTGAATAAAGATGCTTGCAATTTTGATTACTAGAGTAAGCTGGTTGCTGAATAGATTACAATGTTGGTGAATATTTTGGCACTTTTATATTGAAAATAAATTTTTTTTACTGAAGTCTGAGCATTCAGTGCATTTTAAAAAGCACAGCATATTCATAATGCTATTGTCAGGTGAAGGCTATAAATTTAAAATTAAATTTTTTTATTATGATTAAGGACAGTATTAGTTCTTAAGAGCATCCATGGTCTGCGCATGTTTCTTCTGAAGTTTACATTCTGTGATATAAACTAGGAGTGGTTTAGCAGTTGTATGTGCAAACTTACACCCATAAGTAATTGCATCTGTACCAGATAGTAACTGGGGACCTACCTGTTGATGCAGATCAGAGAGTTCCAAATGGTGCCACTTCTAGTGCTGATATAATTGTTTGTGAGTTCGCAGGCTTCTGGCAGTAGGAAAAAGGCTAAATTGTGGCTTGTTTATCTGACTTCAAAATGCAAGCTGTCACTTGAATGATGTTACGCTTGTGCAGTGTGGGTGAGTGGGCATTTCTTCCAGGAACTTTTCTTGTGAGTGACTCCTGGCATTTTGTGTTTTTATTTTTAGCCTTTGTGTTGCAGTAGCATTTTCAGTGCATTTAATTGCACTTGTTTAAAATGCCAAAGCTTGAACTGAATGAAGTGTTATTTTGAGAGAAGAGTTCACACCACTCTCCAAAACAGAATGATATTGTGCTGGCTCATGTTAGGAGACTAAAACTCTGTAGTGGGAAAGGTAGCTGAGGAAGTGCTGCCACCCATGTCAGGATTCAGTCCATCATGCAAGATGTCTCCGCTTACCCTTCCTGTAGAACTTTTTCTTCTGCATGGCAGAGCATGTCTGGACATCAAAAGGAGGGGGAGGCATCCCTTAGGTCAGAGATATCCTTGGCACAAGGGCACTTGTCAGGCCTGAATAGAAAGTGAAAGCGGTTCCAGTAGCAGTCTTGTACAGCTGCTTAAAGAACAGCCATAGAGATGGCAGAACCAAATTCTGTGTTGTGGTGGCCACAGGCATTAGGGCAAGTGGCAGTGGTCATGGATTGCCACATGGGAAGCTGAATGTGAAGAAAAATGTCATCCCTTGGAGGGTGATGCTGCAGGAGAGCAGGTACCTCAGCAGGTGAACAGATCTCTGCTTCATGTTCGTGGCGTGGCTGAATGAAGCCACACGTGATCTGCTGTAGTTGAGGTGACAGACCTTCTCCTCATGGGAGGTCAGACTGGAGACCATCCAGGTCCAGACACTATTTTGAGGATTCTGTGAGCTTCAGCAAGTTTCTTACTTTTTGCTACTTAATTTCCTCTTGCCCTTTGTTCACAGAGTGACTAGAAGTCAAAAGCTGTTTGACAATAAGAAATCAAGGCACTTTTTATTTATTTTTATTCAAAGGCAGAGGAGAAGAGGCACTGCAAGATAGTTCACAGACTGCATGATCGGTAATCTGAGCTCTCAGACCTAAATTCTGGCCCTGCTAGTCTCACCACATTGCTGAGCTATCGGACCTGCTCCCTTATCTTACTGGTTTCATCCAGAAATACCATTCCAGGGCTTGAAATATTTTAGCAGAAACAGTGCAAAAGGTTTGTTTCAGCAAATCAGCAGTTCCTGCAAAACAAGCTTTGCTGAAAGTTCCCCTGCCAGCTGTGCTTTCAAGTGTGTTTGGGTTAGCTCAGAAGGTGGCCAGGGACTGGGAAACTCAAAAGCTGCTACATTTACCTGCTCCAATTGCTCGGAAAGTGCTCCAAAGCCTTCCCTTGGTTTCAATGTCAGAAAAATGGGATCGTCACTGAATGCTTCTCTGAACTGTGTTGTTTTAATTGCTTGGTCAGGAATTAGCACCTGGAGTCTACGGCTGCTTTCCATGATGTGTTGTGCTGGGCAGGAATCTGTTTGACTTGAGTTTAATCGTAATTGCTCGTGATTCTGAAGGAAAGTTCACATGTTCCTATGAACTTTGATGCTCCTGAAAATGGTACTAAGCCATGAGAAGTAGTCATAACTACTGATGTGCTTTCTGTGCACCTCTTGCCTACGGTAGGAGACTTCAGGAGGAATAGAGTGGGAGTATAAACACAATAAATACAGATTTTAAAAAAAGTGATCCTTTGGTTTGAAATTGAATGAAGTTCTTTATTCCCTGGATAATATTGCTTGTTGTATAGCATGCATGGAATTTGGATAAAAAGGCACAGGAGAGGATATGAAAAGCTGTGCTTAGTTTTCTTAGTTTATTCTGTTAATTCCAGTCAATGTTTCAAGGAGATCCTTATTTTTTGTGCAGTGAAGGGAGGCTTTCCTCAAGTTCCAGTTTAAGGACGTGGATTTCTTATATCTGCAAACTGTAACAATAGCCTCAAAATCCCATGGAGTTCTGATGGGCTCCAAGTCCCTGTTGTAAGTAAAGTATATGTTCTAAACAGTGTCCATCACTGGGAGAGGAAAAAGTACGCAATAAACCAGGCAGAGGCACCGGAGAATTCAGGGAGAGCAAAACCAGATAGAAATGTTTGGAAAAGAAGACCTGTGTGAAAAATTCAGTCAGACTTGTTCAAAGTGCCAACAAAAGACAAGGGGAATAAGCCACAAAGAGCTTGAGAAATATTGCTAAGAAAGGAAATAATCATTCCCTTTAACTGAACCGGAACGGATCAAAAAGTTATTCCCTCAGGAGCTGTAGTATTAGGCAAAATTTTTCATGTAACTTTTCATAACAATAACTAAGGAATGTAACAAGCTTGTTAAGGTTACTAGAAATAATTGCTGCCATCAGGAGACATCTGTAGCTTAATTAGCAATCCCCTTGAAGCAAGTGGGATTTGGGTTTGGGATCAGTTAAAAATCTTTCCTCCTACAGTAAAGGGAAAGATGGAATAAATAATTGCTTTGTACTAAAGTGATTATAATTCTGCTGGAGTGAACTGGAGGGGCTGCTCTAAAGACATCCCACTGTCATGAGCAAAGTAATTTCTAACTTCTCCCCTTGTGTCTGTAGCAGCATTCAGAGCTTCATTGATCTCTCTGGAACTGGTACTGTTTTAAGAGACTTCAGCAAAAGTTCTACTTGGTTAACCAAAGAAATGCTTCAAATTGGAAAGGGAAGGCTAAAAATACCAGTATAAAAGAGCAGTAGCTTGCACAGTTCTCTAGAATGGCTGATGATGAAGTGGGGGAAAAAACCCTCATGGGTGCAATTCCAGGCATTCAGTATTGACTTCTGTCACCATGTGAACACTTCATAGTGTCCAGGCATTGACTGTTTTCCCAAGGAGAGAACTGGGAAGAAATGACAGCCACCCCTGCTTTCTGCTCCTGGCAGGTTTGTGGATTACATGTGGATTGTGAACTAGGGAGATACCACTTACCACTGTCCTTGATTTTCACAGGGTATATTGGCCTGTATTGGGCCAGTATTTCCATTATGGAGCCAGAGAATATTCCTGGCACATTTCCTGAAGGTTGGTACTGAGAGACAGCACTTGGACAAAGCCAGAATCTGGCAGGGCGTTTGCCTGCCCTAGCCTTGTTGGGCTGCAGCAAGCCCCTCACAGCATTACGCTGCAGAGCTGCAGGAAAGGGAACATCCAACGCAGCTTCCCTGTAGGAGAGAGGGGCAGTGCCCTGCTGGGACCCTCTTGGTGGTAGGTGGGGCTGGTACAGTGTTGAACTTGCAGGGTGGGATTTGGAGAGCCCAGCAGTCTGGCTGCCACAGGTCCAGCCTGGGAGCCTGGTTTGAAGTCCATGGGAGCAGCAGATGGGCTAGGCCAAGCTGCAAGTACCACCTGCGGGGTTCAGAGCTGCGGGGACACTGCTGTCCCTGAGGCAGGCCCAAATGAGGAGCACCATCGTTACTTGCTCGTCTGAATTTGTCACAAGCACGGTGGCAATTGGCAGATGTGGCCTGCAGCTGTTGCAGGTGGATCTGGGCGTGCAGCACTGCTCCAGCTGCTCGAAGAAGCCAGGACCAGCAACACTGGCAGAATGAGCCTGAAAGCTCAGAGGGCAGGTGAGACATCTGATTGCCGGGGGGCAGATGAGTTCATTGGAGATCTGTTAACTTAACCTTCTGAAGAGAGCGGAAGGGGAGGAAGGAAGGGAGGTTTCTGCCACTTACACTAGGGCTGGCAGTGCCTGCAGCTCCACCACCCAACTTCTTTCCGCCTCTGGAGAAGCCTTGGTGACTCCTGGGAAGTCGTGGCCTTCACAGCACCACAAGTCCCTGCAGAGCCGTCCTACCAGGTGAGCTCCTGGCTGATAGGTTGGTTTTCCTTTTTGGCATTTGTTTTCTTTACTTTCATCCTTGTGAAACACTATTGTTTGTTTTTCTTAGTCACTGAGTCACCTCCCTCTGCTTTTGCCCTTTTCACATATTTGCTGTGCTTTCAGCAATTACAGGAAGAAGTGCACAGTGGCACTTCCCTGTCACCATGGGCACGTTTTATTTCTGCCTTTGATTGCCCTGTCCTGTTGCTCAGTCTCTCTGACCACTTCTATGGAGAAAAAGGCTCAGGGCAGGGCTTATCAGGTCTGTAATACTCTGGGTGGAGCGAAGGCTGCCATGCTGCCATGGCCATACCCTGTTCCTATGGCAATGCAACACTCACCCTGCCTTTCTGACAGAGGTTGGTGTCCCAGCAGGAGGAGGAGGTCCCTGGTGTTGCTTAGAGCAGTTGCCCCATCCTGCACAGGAAGACTCGCTTTGCTGGGCAAGTCCCAGTGACGATTCCTGTCTCTGCAAGCTGAGGGATGTGGAGGAGTGGAAGACAGTGGGTGAGCTCTGCTCCACTCTGCTCTTTTGAGCAAATGACAGAACAGAGCAGGGGAGAGGATTTGTCATTCCAGCCCTATAAGGGGGCATTGTATCTGAGGCCCTGGGGGCTTGCACCCACCTCTGCAGCTCACTACTGATGTGTGGATGTAGGCACTCCTGGCCTGCTGCAAGCTGAATCTTGCTGTTTCTTCCTCCATCTCCAATGTGGGTTTCCCTGCAAAATCTGTCTGTGCCAGCTTGACAAAAACACCTCCTTTGTAAATGTGGGCCACACACTGTGCAGCTCACTTTTTCTGCTCTGCTGTATTCTATTTCCTACTGAGTCCTTCAGCAACGGCAGCAGCACAGTCCCTCAAACAACTTTACCCCTGGGATCGCTCTGAAGGATTTTTCTCCTGGTTGTATGTGGGAGTTACTCCTGGGCTGTTAGGGGTTTTAGCAGTCTTATTTAGAGGCAATGGAGGTCTGGGTGATTCCATATGGCCCCCTGCACCTCTCTGCAGGTTTTATTGCCAGCAGCCTGCACATGCAGGGACCATACTGGCTTGCAATGCAGAACCTGCCCAGTGTACAAGCTAGTGCCAGATGAACTTCTCTGACTTTTGTGGACTAGCTTCTCACCTAGCATGAACTGGTGATTTAGTCACTATTTTAGCTGTCAGCTAAATTGCCAGCAGCCAGGTTTGGCTTGCAACTGAGCACAAGTGTATGCATCTCTTGGAAGGACAATGTTACCCTCATGAGTGACCAAAAAGGCCCCATCCTCTTCAGTAAACTCAGCTCTTCTGCAGGGATTTTGAGAAGGCAACAGATCATACCCATGACTGTGCCTGCCATGTTCTGGGTTATGACTGCTGAGCCCAGGGGCTGACAGGCTGTGTTTGACAGACCTCTTCAACCACTCTGGAAAACCAGCTCCATTTGCTAGGAGCAATTTAGTTTTAATTTTGACTGGATGTCCAATTTGTGAAGGAAAGCTAGTGCTTTTACACGTCTTTGTTAGCACAGATGTGCGGGGAGCCTGCTCCAGCTCTCAGAGACAGCAACATGGAAGGTGGGCTGCCTTCCCTGGGCTGGGTGTCAGCAGGTGCTATTTCAGTATTAGAAATAATAATAGCAGTGCAGGGCTATTTCAAAACTGTAAATAACATTTTCATGCAGTGCTGGGGTGCTGCAACAGTGCACTTGTCCATCAGTGCCTTACAAGAACCTGCTACCATATCTGGTTGTGATTTAGTGAAAAATATTTCACTTCATTCACTGAACACAGCCTTGTTAGATAAAAGGTGATGTACAGTGTGGTGTAGGAAATGCTGAACAGTGCAAACCAGATGCTGGAGATGATAAGGGAAGCTTGCAGAAATGTCAGGAAATGCTGTACCATTCCCACCACTCTCCTCAGACCTGTGAGACAGTGGAGCTGTTTCCTCTCTTATCAGCTGCATTCATATGAGAAAGGAAGCATGCCAGAAGTGTTCTTCCAGCTGCTTGCAGGCAGGCTGGCTCATTCTGCCTCCAGCCCACCTCAGGACAGCACGTGCACGTCCTGGACAGGGCACATGGCACTTGTGAGGGAATGGAAAATTACCTCATTGCTGCCCTGTTTCCAAACCATAGTGGGAAGCCCTTGCTCCTCCTTGATTTCCACCACACTTCTCAGCCACGCAGCCCGCAGTCTGTGGTGTGAATGGCTTCTGGAGCTCAGTGGCAGTTTCGTATTGATCAGCTCTTTCCAGAGCTGCCTGCAGGTCGATCAGTCCCTCTGCAGACAAGCAAGCAGCTGTTAACAAGAGGAGATTACCACTGTTGGTAAAAGCCTCTGCTTAATCCCAGATTGTCTTCCTCCTTTGGTTATTAGCTTCAATTAGGCACCTTACAGTCCCACCTATTGGCTAAGGACATGGGGCATTCACTGTACTTTATTTCAGGCTCTCCCTGTTAGCACGGTGTACAGTTCAGGCATTTGCCAAATGCATACCAGGTTTCAGTTTTTCCCCTCTGTATGTCCCTGTAATGCACTGCACTTTCCAGGGTTGCTAGAAATCAGACCATAGATGTCTTTTGCTTAATCAAGGCTCAGCTGTCTAATTTTCCCACACCGGCCCTCTGGTGAGCACAGATGTGGCTGAGCCATTTTCTCCTGACACTTTGCTATCGCTTTCACCACTCACACCTCACAGCAAGTGCAGCTGATCTCCCTGTCTCAGCTTGCAGGGTTTGCTTTTGCTTTTGATTGCAGTCTGGAACATCACAGCTCGGCATGGCCTGGCCTGAGCCATCTGTGGCTGACAAGGTGGGATGCTCCTGATGGCAAGCAGAAACTTGGGACACAAAGACCTGATGGAAATGCCCAGGCTTTTCCATCCATCCACAGCCTGCTTAGCTCACAGTGACACAATCTTTTCTTGTCTGTAAGTACTTCTGCCTTCTGAGTGAAGTTCACAGGCAACATTGAGTTTCTCTTGTAGTAGGTGAATTTCATGACCCAGTTTGATACCTCACAGTAATGTGCAACGTGGGATTGCCCTTAATTCACAGTAGCATTAAGGAGAGGTATCTTTGTGCCTTTTATGGATGACCTGCATAGTCACTGTTTGGTGGAGGGTTTGTTTGGACTTGTTTTAAGAAAGTAACCTTTCTATTTACTTGAAAGGTTTTTAATAACAGTTCTGTTTAAGTACTGATAAATTGCAATTAGTTGAGGACCAAATAATGGCTTATACAAATGCTTCACAATCCTTAAGTGAAATATTTGTTTACTCTTTTTGAATAGTTTCCTTAGTAAAATGTATGCCTGGGTGCATCTTCCAGAATGGCAGATGTGACTGATGCTCAGTAAGTTGCAGGTTTGATTTTGGCTGCAAGAACCTCATTTGTCATTTCCTGTAATAGGGAAATTTAACCAGGACAGTATTATTCTTTCTGAAGAGCTGATTTGATGGGCGAGTGAAAGGACATGGCCTTTGTTTTGTCCTTCTCCTTGCTTCCTCTTGTCTGAGTAGTCCTATGTTAGTTGAACAGCCCCATCAGAGAACATGTCAAGCAGAAGTTTAGCTGTCTTGGCCAGAGCATCATTCATATTTCATACAGAGAGTTTGTTAGAGAAGCCCTCAAAAAACTGAGTACTGATTTCTATGAATAAAAATAGGAAACAGATGGCATCAATTCCAAGTGGTCAAGTGGTTTTTAACTAGTCCAGTAACTCATGTTCTCAAATGCCTACAAAATATTACAGTTTTATCTTAGCAAAGATCAAAATAACTTTAAAGCTGTTACCAGGCATACACAGCCATGTGTTCTAATACATGACAGACCAAATGTATCCTTACAGCAATGGGACTGACTTGCCAATTTCAAATTCCCCCTTGTACTCCTGCAGTGAATAATGCCTAATGACTGCTCTGGTTGGGTTTTTTTTTATTATTATTTTTATTACTACTACTGTGGACCCAGTGTTGTCTCAAACATGCTGCAGGTATTAAGAGAAGTCTGCAAGTCTGGGATCTGAGAGAGAGCCTGGTTAGGAAGCATTTCCTGAGAGGAAGGAGTAGGAAGCCTCTGGAGCCTCCCAGGTCTTAAGTGTCTGTCAGCATCTACTGCTGTTTAGATCAGTCTGCTTACTCATATGTATCTGTATTAGCTCTTAGAAGAATACAGGGAGAAGACAGACTATAGCATGCCAACACAGATGTGCACAAGCAGGCTCTGCACTGCAGCACAGTCTCTCAGACAGGTTGTATCTATGATGTCTAAGATGACTGAACCCACGGGAACTGCAGCACTGCCTAGCAGCAGGTGGAAATGTTGTGTGCCAGCTGCTGCAAACTCCAAAAACAAGCCTCAGCTGTACAATTTATTCTGAAAACTGTTTTCCAATTGTACAATTTATTCTGATGGCAGAGGAGGCCATTTGTCACATGCTGGAATAAACCTTTCAGAGTCCACACTGTGGAGTTACAGTTGAGCTAATGCTTGCCCTTGTGCAAGATGCTGACTTTGATTAGTTTGTCTGCATGACAGCTGCTTCTGCTTTCTGCAAACACTGCACACTGGTTTACAGTCTGTCTCTCTCTGGTGCCTTGCTGCTCTGCTCTGAGAGCCAAACTCTGCCAGGGGAGGGGAATGCTGCTGTGTGTGCTGGGACTCTTGGCCCCTTTTCCCTCACTGAAACTTGCCTTCCCAGGACATGGGCTTCTCTTTTGTTTCCCTGGTTTGTATGTTACATGAATGGTTGTTCTTAAAAAGTCTAACCTTTTACTTAGCTTGATTAAAAAGAATATTTTTGGCAGTGGAGATGGAAATATAAGCACACTTGAGAAATCTCTGGATCTGGTAATGGTACCCCTTCCCTGCATTCCCCATCAAAACAGCCTGGAGTTGAAGCTTCTGTGTATGAAGCTGAATGTCAAGGTCACCTCAGAAAATTATGCAAAAAGTCTGTAGCAGGGATTTTTTTTCCTTGAATTTCATCTTAGCCATTAGACTTTAATGTATCTCCTGAAACAAAGAGAGAAGGAAAGAATGTCAGCTCTCTTTTGGTAGGTAGGCGTAGGTTACAGTAGATATATCAGCAAGCCACAGTTAGTGACATTTGTGCAGAGTTTTAAGAATTAGAAATCAGTCCTACCACAGTGACAAGCAAGAGAGAGACTTGATCAAAATTTGGGATCCTGCTGCCTCTTTAAACACATCAGTGTTTAGCTTTTGATTCTTGGATGTCCCATATTCAACTAACATTGATATCTGGAGACCCTGGAGTTTGGATTCCATAATTCCTGTTGGATTTCTGTGTCTGCTTCTGAGTGTGCTCAGGATGTCTCAGCACAGCTGGTACTCTGACAATGTCATCCATCTCTTGACAGTATCCTGTGGTTAAGCACTCGCTCGTATCTTTTTCACCCACATTTTCTGCAAGGCTAAATCCAATTCCTAATCACCTGGCTCCTTCAGAAAGCTTGTCCAGAAGAAGCACTCCTTTTGTTCTGTATCTCAGTTGTAGCAGCATTTACAGAGGTTTAGAGAGTCCATAAAAAAATTCCATCTCTCTCCTGTGAAACTGGAGCAAAAATCTTCCCTGAATTTCCTTATTGTCCTGCTTATTGCAGAAAAAGGAGCAGTGGTGACGGCTTACCTCAGTGATTTCCTCCTGCCACAGGACTCTTGAACAGAGGGTTACGCCCTCCCAGAGCCAGGCAAAGCCAGTCCTCTGTGTGCAGGAGCAGTCCTCTCCTGCTGCCTGCAAATGTATAGGGGGTAGATTGTATGTATGCAATTGTAGGGACCCATCTCTCAGCTGCTTCTCCACTGGTGGGGACTGGGAATTAGAGGATCTTGTTGCCCTTCTGACTTTCCACCCTGGAAGAGAGAACAAGCAAGCCCTGCTCCTGGACAGGTGGCCCTGCAGTGCCTCAGTAAGTTCACTATCTGATTTTCCCTCTAAAATGTGTTAGGAGTTCATCTAATTGCAGAGTACCTGCACTGCTAAAGGTGTGGCTTTATCTACAAAGTTGTTTTCTTGCACACCAGAAGTCACAGGGAAAAGCAAAGGTTGGAGAGGAAGGAAAACCTGTGGCTGAGCTCTGGTGTGAGAAGCTTTTTAGGACAAACCAGCTTTGAGGCACCCTGGGCTTGCCACTTCCCCATGCCTCCAGGGTGAGGCTCTTGTTCTGCCTGTGAGGCCTGGTGAGCCGGTCCTAGCATGGTTGCATGAGACCAGCAGCTTCCCTATCCCTTCCTTCCCTGCTAGAGGTGTCCTTCACTCCTGATAGGTTACCAGGGAGGTTTTACTCCTCTTTGGATGGAAAGAACTGATCTGAGTAAGGCAGATCCTTGGAAAGACAAAGCAAAATTAATCTATTAATCATCATCCGTTTCTTTATTTATTTTGGGCATTACCTGGTTTCAGTGTTGTACAATATTTACCAAAGACGAGCAGCCAAAGTAAACCACACAAATGAAAAATTGCAAATGAAAGAGGCAGCCTCACGGCACAGCTGGTCCCATGCCTCCAAAGGCTTCAGTCATTTCAGATTAGGTGCACACTTGGCATTCTCTGGCAAATATGCTTGTCATCCTGGAAAAAAATCATCCTGGAAAAAAACTTGCCTCCATGCACAGCGACTGACAGAAAGCTGAGGCAGGTCTGGAAGGACTCTCTAGCAAGAGGAGGGATTAATGTGTCTGCTTGTTAACTCTGGCAGAGTGTGCAGTCGTCACCGTGCCAGAGTTAGGGAGAGCAATTGGAGAGGGATTATTTTATGACTGGTGGCATTCCTGGGGGATGGGGAATTTATTTGGGGCCTTCCTGCAAGGAGTAAAAAACAGAGGGGAGCACAAAGCAGTTCCTTCACAGATGGCAGGTTGTTTCGACATAAGGAGCCAAAACTGATGGAAACGTTCCCTTCTCCCTTAATCCAGTTGCAGACCTGACTCACCCTGACTGTGTTACTGGTATCAATGTTGTCCTGTTACACAGTGGGAAGTTATGAGCTCATGGATTTCATGTCCAGCAAACCAGCTTGCCAGCTCCTTGCTGAGTTCCCCCTGAAAAGGAAAGGGCTGCCCAGCCTGGAGGCAGGATTTCTCCACCTGCAGAAACAGGGAACAAGCCAAACTCATTCACAGTCTGTGCTTCATCACAAGAAGTGTGAGAAATACTTATTTTACAGAAAAGTTTAGACCACTGAACAGTAGGGGAGAAGAATCCGGCCAACCTTTACTTTATCCATCCCTTCTCCCATTACTCATTGCATTTTTGTTAGTGACTCTTGAAAAATTCTGTTCAGCTGGAAGGTCTTGCAAATATCAGAGAGGACACTGTCACAGGCAAACATGGAAACACCAGAGAGATCACAAAGAAAGATGCCTCTCAACAGAGGGTTGCACATCTCGGTATGTTCTGCCTGGCCTTTCGGTCCCAGATGTGAGCTGGGAACAAAGAGTTCAAGGAATGAATCCCAGAGAAATAAAGTACTCTAAAGAACAGATTTTAGAGAAATTTCTTGACACTATTATCATGGAACATTCAGGAAATTAATTTTAAATGATGTCATAAAAATAGCACATGAAAGAAGTGTAAATGTAACATAATTTCTATAAATAGAAAAGAATATTTATGCTGACACCAGCGTAAATTATAAGCTGTAAACAAACCAGGCAGCCAGTCTGCTGGGTAGACACTGGATAATAAGACCCAAAGAAACAAATATCTTCTGCCCACAGGTGGAAACTTCATGGTGAGTTAAGTGTTGAAGGAGTATCACCAGATTGATACAAGGTAGGAGACTGCATCTAATTTGATGATCTTTCCCATGGTAGAGCAGATGTAAGGTAGATAAATTCTATTATGGTATGGCTGTCTCTCAGCCAGCTTACTCTGATCCTTTACTTCAGACCTATGGAGATCTGGCTATGGAGCTATGTAGTTTCAGCTATGGAGATGGAATTTGGGTGTTGTTTGCTGGCTTTTTACCTATATTTTCTTTGATTTCTCTTCCTTTGACAACTCCTCAGTCCAAAAGCTGTGAAATGCAGAGCAAGTTAATTGAAAGCATGAGTTACCGTACTTTTCTGTACTTACTGAGATGTACATGAGTCTTTTTTGGCATTGCTAAAACCCTCTCTTGCATTGCCATGGCACTGCCATGCTCTTCCTGGCACGTCCATGTAACTTGGGCTGTTAGAGAGGCATTCAGCTCAAAGTTTGTAAATACAGGTATTTAACAGTTGTAGAAAATGCCTTAGTTTTGAGGTTGATTATCTGGTTTGGTGTGTTTCTTTCTGTAGATCCTGTGATAAAGACAAAAAGGCATCTGGCAGTGCAGGCACAAGTGACATGGCCTTTTCTGAATCTGTCATTACTAAACTGGTACTGTTACAGTCAAGAAAACTTACAGAAGACCAAGAAATGCAATCTGAGGATAATTTAGAAGGAAAGATTGAAATAGCTGAGTGTGTGCTTGAAAATCAGCCTGGGCTGTGTGTTTACAGTCATATTCAAATTCAGAAAGTCAGAGAATGGTCTAACATTGGAAATAACCTATTATTTGAAGATGGTTTGGTGGCTCTATCAGAAACCACACACACACTTTTAAAATACTTACTGACATCTTTTTATGATCAGGCTTTTTATTTTCAAAAAAAATTATATTTTCATGCATGTTTATGACTTGGATGAAGTCAAGCTTCTAAAAAGTTTGTTTAAAAAATTATACAGTTGCAAAAGAGGACAATAAAAACAATCCCTGCATGAGATTCACAAAGGATGTTATTTTTCCAGTGAGTGAAAAAAACTCTAAGAAACAGTACCTTAGATACTTCAGTATTTTTAAAAAATGTGGAGTTTTGATAGGCTATTAAACAGAAAAGCACCTATGCTAAAGACAGAACTTCTGAGGTCTTGAATAGCTGAGAAAAATAGATTTGGAATTGACTAGTTTTCTCTTCCTGAAATTCACTGTCATGTCTGAAATATTTTATGGTATCAGATACAGAAGGAGTCAGCAGCTGAATGCAAAGCCTGAACTACCTGTAAAAAATACATCCTGACATTATCTGTTTTGGAACAAATACAAAAATTTTGGGTTTTTTATGGTACTTGATAATGATCATATCCTGCTCAGATTCTTGCCCAACTCTTAAACACAATTTTTTTTCTATTGTATAACAAGCAGTTAAATATGTATCTCTTCATCCCAGCAAAGTGCTTTCCACCTCCATACAGGAAACAAACTCTAGCTGGGTCTGCAATGACTTGGTCCTAGTCCCAGGAATGTTTCCCTTCCATTAAAAAACCTCCAAGAAACAAAAACTCAAAACAAAACAGGAAAAATAAAGCACTTTTTTCAGCCTATTAGCACTAGATATGCATAAGTACAAAAAATGTCCATGCATTCCTCTGAATGAGGCAAGACAAGGTTTGCTGGACCTTCCCACACTGGAATGCAGCAACATGCATGTCCCTTTGCTCAGCCTCTCTTGAAGGACCTTTTACTTGGGGCTGAGCGAAGCATTTTTCCTCCTTATGGGAAATTCCGGTGCCAGGATGTTAAACCCTGACTTCCTCACAACAGCCTGCCAGTGATGACTTGCACCCGGTGGGCTGTGACAGGGTATTTTCTCTCCTGGTGAGATGAAATGAAGCAGAAGCTGTCCAAACAGTGAGCATAATAGGTCCCATTCCTCTTTCTTCCTGAGCCTGCCTCCCTGGTAGTGCAGCCTGTACTGGGAGCCTATAGCCATAGGTGTTTGTGGCTCTGTCCAAAAACCTACAAAATCCTTGTTTGGAAACAGGAATGGCACCTCTTTTTTAAAAAACTGGAAATGTGGCTTAGATGTCCAAATACCATTCTGGGCAGCCTGTAAGAAATTATCTCTGTCATATAGTCTGGGATACAGCAAAGCAAACTGAGCAAAACAAAAGAGTGAGATAGATATGGAGCAAAGAAAAAAGTCCTTCAAAACACTCCGTGAGTGGTACTTGGGAAAGCTACACAGCAGTATTTCCTGAAGATCTCTAAAAAAACTTAAGGACCAGCTTTGTACTTTGATAATGCTGAACCAGTTAACATTTTGAAAATTGTAGAAAATATTCTAAAAGAAAATATGATTTCCAGATTATGTCAGTTTTTAGTGGATGTATCCCCAGAGCAGTGAGCTGGGGGCCTATCTGCCCAAGTACATTTGGGCTGAACTCTGAGGTCCAATACCATGTGTATGTTTCAGGTTTCTGAGTCCTACAGCCTGAGTAGGCTCTCCCTCTGGCACACCTGTGGAGGTCCAGGGTTGTGAATATGGCATGAAAAAGGGCTGGTGCAGCCAAGCTGGTCTGTCAGAAAAGCTGAGGTCGGGGCTGCTCTGAGGAGCATGGGTTTGGACACCTCTCTCCATGTATGGTTCCCATTTCCACATCTTCTCTGGGAGCTGAAGATGCCCCTTTCACAGGGATTCAGGAAGCTCTGGGAGGTGCTCAAGGAGGTTGTACTCAACCAGATATACTTCCAGACAAACCTCTCCCACATGTGCATCAAGGGAGATCATCAGTTGCTGGTATCAACTTTGTATTTTGCCTTTCTCTCTGCAGCATGCCAGGAAGCCTCAAGCCAGACATGGGTCCCATTGTCCCCCCTGTATGTCCAGCATTTGTCTGTGGCTGAGCTACTCATCAGCACACTTGACTGGTGTCCAGCCCCATGCAGGCTGGGGGAACAGCAGCAATGTTTGGGGGGACCTGCTCCATGTGAGTTGTCTCAGAGTTCTCATTTTGGAGTAATAAATCTGTAGGGTGATAAGGGTATCAAAACCTGCCTTTTTTACTGTGTATTGCTGGAAAATATGTATTTGCTGTGTATCCTAGTATTCCTGTCAGAAAAAAAGATTTTTCACTGTACCTAAAGGGACAAGTAAGAAAGGAGCTGTGTTGTCCATGTAGGCTCTTTCCTGTTGATGCAGTTTCCTTGGAAGACAAGAACTCATCAAAAATACTTTGACAGAAATTACATATTTTCTCTTGTTGAGTCATGCTGTTACAATTATTCTAGAAAAATTAAACTTTCCATATCATTAAGATAAGCTTTGGTGTCTTAGCCTGCAAACTTCCCTGCAAGATACTCCTCAATTAAGGTAGCAAATCAGTGTTGTGTTTTCTCACTGAATGCTTTCAGAAAGGATATGACAAAAATAAATCCACAACTCTGCTTCCTTGGCAGAGACAGTACTGTAGGCTGGCTGCTGAATGACTAACCAGTTATATATCATTATGCCCTGCCACATCTGCAGGGTGAGGATTGCCCAGAAGAAAAACAAAGGTAATGGGTAACCTTTGCATTTAAACTTTCAGTCTGAAGTTCTAAGGGATTGAGCAGCTGGCAGGGTAGGCTTGATATGGAACACAACAAAGTTAAAATTATTTACTTTTTGTTATCATGTACCTTTTTGTTGTAGCTTGAAGATGAATACCTGAAGCCCTGCAAGACAGATTAAAGCACAGGCACCAGGAGTGCATGCAAAGAATCTGTTCCCAGGACCATGAATGGATGCCAAGCCACTCTGTTTTCAATTACATGAGTATTATACCTCCTGCTTCAAAGACTGCAATGACAGATTTGACTTTTGGCTTTTCCTTGCTATCCTTTTCTGGGGGTACTTAGGGTAAGAGTATCCTGGGTTCAGCCTGCCTGGTACTGCTGTGGCCAAGCTAACATGCTGGCATGTCCTGGTTTCCAGGGGTAAGTATGAGGAAGTAGTTTTGTGCTGTTTACAATGATTTGGAAAGTGTGCTTTCTGCTTGTGTCACAGGCTGGTCAATGGATTCATGCCTCCCTCCCTTTTCTACTGCTTCTGCTTTTTCTTTCAGGCAGGGATCTGGGCAGGGTGTTGCTGGGGTTGGGGCCCTTCTGAACTGCTCACTTGTCCTTTCTCAGCAGAAAAGCAACAGGCAGCTCTCAGTGTGGACACTGACATACAGAAGGAAAGAGAGGAAGGGGGGGATGGGCTGCAGGAGTCTTCTGTGAGAGACTGGGAACGGGAAGTGCTTAAAGAGTGCATCACACCCAGTTTGGGTACTGCTTGTGCTGCTGTTGGATAAATGGGAACATTTAAAGCAAGACAGCTTCAAAAATAATGACCACAGCTCTATCTTATCCCCAGCCACCTGCTGGTAAAGGCCTGTGTGGTGTCTTGCTTGGAACATCTGCAGTTACAAAAGCACAGGCTTGTTGCAGATGCATTTGCTTCTCTTAGGAAAATGTAATGTAGGTGAAGGCATGTGACTTGTTTTAAACAGCATAAAAGGTGAAGGTTAATCATAGCTTAAACTTGGAGGAGGAAAGAAAGCACCTACAAGATCAAGAAAGCATCTTTGTTCAAGGCTAAACATGTGGTTACTCTGGAGAAAAAGCAGTTGAAGAATATTCTCATCTAAAAAGAGAGCAGCTTTCTCCTACTTCAGAATCTTTGATTTCAAAAATTGTTTTGAGCCATGCTGAAGCTCAATTTGAAAGCTAATGCTCTGGGAGGCAGGTGATTGGTACTTTGTGTGTGGAACAGCTTGTGGAGAGCATTTTTACATCCTCAAACCTTCCTGAATCTGAATAATGTGATAAACCCTGACAATCACACCCATTTCTCGGCATTTTAAGCAGCTTGTTGAAATGGACTGCTTAGTTTGTGAACTGTGGCATGGTCACACCAGTTCTCTCTTTCTGAGAGAAACCAGAAACTTGGCCCAGTGCAGATCCATCCATGATGAGAGCTGGCTGAGCCTGGATGTTAGAAGATAGTGGTTTCTTCAGAAAAAACCAGCTGGTACCTACCTCAATTCTCCACAAATGCATGGTGATGAAGTTGTGACAGATAGAAGGGTGTGCCCATTTCACACTGAATTATGCACGTGGTCTTTTTCCCCAAAACTCTTCCCAATTAACTAAAATTTTTATTGTATCAGGGAGGTACAATTTTGAAGACAAAAATACATGGTAGCAAGTCTCATTGAACCCAGAGTTAATATTTTGAAAACTGAATTCTTCCCTATTGAAGAGCAAGAACCATTTCAGCTGAGAAGTGCTAGAGGGAAGAGGTGGCTTTGGGGAAGTGGATGACATCCTTTCGCTAAAAGACTATTTCCCTTCTCCACTCTGCCCCACAGCTGCTTTGCTATGTTTTTATTATATATTTTTAAAATCTAATATATTAATTATATTCTATTAATTATATTCTATTATATTTTCTATTTTACAATGTTATGTTTATCAACTATCCTCTGTAGTAGACAGAAAATACAAGGGTATCTCAGTCTTTCAATTTCTTTTTCTCTCAACCTAATGTGCAATGCTAATGTCAGTGCAGTGGGACTGAAGGTTGCTATGAGGTAGGCTGGTACTTCTTTGTGCAAGATAGCAGCAAAGTGTGAAAATTTCTGAACACAGGGAAAAAAAAGGTAACTGCAGTAGGAATGTTAGTGTTTGAATTTCATGGGCTTCCCTTTCAGAGTTGGTAGTCCCCTTATGCAGGCAGCAGACTTGGCTATTTGACCAACCGTGTATTGCTTCAGTCAGGTTAAAATGAATACCATCAAACCTCCTCTCTCAAAATTGCCTTTGATATTTGCAGAGAGATACTTTGCTTCAGACTGTGTCTTGTGCTTCAGACAGAATATAATTCCCATTCTTATTCGTTTTCTGTTGACAACATATGACTGTAGTGTGCTAGGAGACTAAAGGATGCTGAGTGTTTCTATAGTACTCTCCTTGACTAAACAATTTGACTCCAACATTTAATATATGTATCACTCTATATATTGATAATACTTTACAGAACTTACATAACTTGATTGTGCTGAGATGTTTTGTTTCTCCGCAGAGTGAACAACCCCCAGTGCCTACCAGACAAAAAGTATTAAAAGTAGAAATACAGGGAGGTAAATGCAGTTCTGCCTGAGAACTATTTCTGCACTTAATAGTGGAGGAAGTGATTATGAAAGAATGTCTTGCGCAAAATGTTTGCATCAGCCTTTCCAGCAATGTGAGTTGACTGACAAAAAGAAGGGACTGACACTAAATTTAATCTCTCAAAGAAGAGTTCAACCACAACCTGTTCTCATTTTTGTGTCCCCAGTCAGCAGCAACGTTAGAATTGGTTGAAATATGATTTTGAAGGGTGACCCATACAATACTGGACGATCCTGGACTCTTCAGAAGCCATGGTTTCCTCAGGGGAGCCACCACTAGGGAGAAAAGATGCAAACTGGTGTGATTCACTGGCTGCATATTTAAAGGACACTGGGAAACTTGGAACATGAAGTTTTGTTTGAAGAGAACAATATTTTCAGGCTGAAATATTTTCTCACTTCGGGACTCTCACCTCATCAGACCTGCCAAAATTTTCAGTTTTTGTTGTGCTTGCAGGTATGAGGTGACTATTCAGATGCCATGACCAGCACACGAAGAGACTGAAACACAGCATTGTGTATACACAAGGTAAGTAAGTACTTAACCTCTGCTTATTCAGGGTTTATGGGTACTGTTCATCTGGAATTGTTTATGGTTCAAACTTGGAGTGTTCTTTGGCACCTGTGCCAGGAAACACAGCCCTTCTTTACATTAAAGTCAATATTATTCTAATTACATCCACTGTTTATAGGGTGGCGGTAACATCCAATTCCCGTTGATTACTGGTGTTGTTTTACAGAAAAGTCTGATAGACTTCATTGCATATCAGCTTGTTCTGCCTTTCCAGTAAAGCACGTGAATTGCTTACACAGTGTGCAAAAGGGTGTGGCAGGAGCTCCGCTTTTAGAAGCACTGAGGCTGGTGAGACTCCATGCAGGGGACCCCCAGATCTCTTCTAGGAAAGTTTGTGACGTTGGAAACCTCAGCCCACTGGAAGGGCTGAGAGGGGGGAACAGGCTCTGTTTGGGCTTCTGCCTGCCATCATGTAGCCATACAGAATGGGCCAGCTGACACTGCAAAGGCTGTGAGTGTTTGTAATCATAGAATTACAGAATCACTTTGGTTTAAAAAGACCCTTAAGACCATTGAGTCAAACCATTAGCCAAATACTGCCAAGCCTGCCACTAAACTATGTCCCTAAGCACCATGTCTGCATGTCTTTTAAATACCTCCAGGGGTGGTGACTCCACCACTTCCTTGGCCTGTCTAGCCAGTGCTTGACTGCTCTTTCTGTGATATTTTTTTTTTTTTTTCCCTAATATCCAATCTAAACTTCCTTGTTGCAACTTGAAGCCATTTCCTCTTTTCCTATCACTTCTTATCTGGGAGAAGAGACTGACCCCCACCTGACTGCAGCCTCATTTCAGGGAGTTGTAAAGAGTGATAAAGTCCCCCTCTGAGCCTCTTTTTCCTCTAGGCTAAACAACTACAGCTCCCTCAGCTGGTTCTCCTAAGACTTTCATTCTAAACCCTTCCCCAGCTCTGTTGCCCTGCTCTGCACATACTCCAACACCTCAGTGAATGTCCTTCTCAAAGTGAGAGGCCCAAAACTGAACACAGAATTGGAGGTGTGACTTCAGCAGTGCCAGGTACAAGGGGACAATCACTGCCCTGCTCCTGTTGGTCTCACTGTTGCTGATATAGGCCAGGATGCCATTTGCCTTCTTTGCCACCTGGGCACAGCTGTCTCATGTTCAGCTCCTGTTGACCAGTGCCTCCAGATCCTTTTCTGCTGGACAGCTTTTCAGCCACTCTGACCCCAGCATTTGGTGCTGCGTGGGGTTGTTGTGACCCAAGTGCAGCACATGGTGCTTCATTTTGTTGAGTCTTATATAATTGGCCTCAGGCCATGGATCCATCCAATACAGATCCCTCTGTAGAGCCTCCTTACCCTTCAGCAGATCAACATTCCCACACAGCTTGGTGTTGTCTGCAAACTGGGTGTGCACTGAATCCCCTCATCCAGATCATTGATGGTCTATGTTCCACTACTTGGGGCTGAAACATCTAGCTGTTGCTTGTTTGCTGAGAGGAGACATAATGTAAGAGATGAAAGAGGTGAGAGCCATAGCTAATGTGCATATAAAAAACCAGGACACTAAGAATGGTCCTTTGTGGCTCTTAACAAGTGATATGTCTCTACTCCAGGGATGAGCAACACACCGTGGTAACAGGGTTGAGAAGCTCATGTAGGAGAGGAATACTGACATCACAGGATAACATTTTAAAAAAAATTAATCCTAGATTACAAGTAACATGGTGCAGGATTTCAAGAGTTTTCAGCTGCTGTTCAAAATTAATATTCAACCCTACCTTCTGTTCTTCGTTTCCTACAGCAAAATGCCCTTCCAAGCAAAACAGAAATCAAGAACTATGCACACCTGGCAAGCATTGGCCATCTACTTGGTCTTAGCTGCAAACCTCTCTGAACAGCAAGCACTGAAGCAGGCTTGTCCTTCATGCGATGCCAGTCAGCTTTGCCACTGCTCCTCCATGAGCTTGGCCTTCATTCCCCCTGGGCTCACGGCCAAAATCACAGTGTTAAACCTGGCCCACAACAGGATAAAGCGCATCCAATCCCAGGACCTGCAGCAGGCTGTGAACCTGAGAGCCCTGCAGCTGCAGTCCAACGAAATCAGCTCCATAGATGAGGACTCCTTCCAGTCCCTGGCAAAACTGGAGCTCTTGGATTTATCAAATAACAGCTTGGCTCACTTGTCCCCTGTGTGGTTTGGGCACCTTTTTTCACTCCAGCACCTCTACCTTCAAGGCAATTCCTACAGAGACCTGGGGCAGAGCTCCCCCTTTTCTAGCCTGAGGAACCTGAGCTCTCTCCACCTGGGCAGCCCGCAGCTCTCCGTGATAAGGCAAGGGAACTTTGAGGGCATTGAGTTTCTGCACAGGTTGTGGATTGATGGCAGCAATCTCAGTCAGTACGAGGAGGGAAGTTTGAAATCAATTAAGGAGATAAATCACATGATCATAAACCTAAAAGATAGTAATATATTCTCAGAAATTGTTAGGGATCTTCTGCACTCTGTCACTTGGCTGGAAGTGACAGAAATCAAATTACCACTTGAAAAAAAAAGCTTGGTGCAGAATTCTACACGTCCTTTTAGGTTACAAAAACTTACGCTTAAAGAAGCTTTCTTCACAGATCAAACGATTAGCCAAGCAATAGTGTTACTGAAGGAAATCACCTCTTTAAGACAGTTAGAGGCAATCAATTGTATGCTTGAGGGGAAAGGAATATGGAACACTGATGAAATTGCAAAGAGTGGGGAAAGTTTTGTTGAAACAATAACAATAATAAAGATAATGATTCAGAACTTTCATTTATTTTTTGACCTGGAAGGCATGGAGTCACAAATAAACAATCTAAAAAGACTCGCTATTACAAGCTCTAATGTCTTCATGGTGCCATGCAAACTTGCAAGACATTTTTCATCACTTCTGTATCTGGACTTTCATGATAATTTGCTTGTAAGTAAGCGTTTAAATGAGACAATCTGTAGAGGTTCCTGGCCTTCATTGCAAACTTTAAATCTAAGTCAGAACTCTCTAAAATCTCTGGAAGAGACTGCAAAGTATACCTCTCGTCTACCCAATCTGAATAATCTTGATATTAGCCAAAATAGTTTTGGTGAGATTCCAGATGTGTGTAAATGGCCAGAAAACCTGAAATATTTAAATCTGTCCAGCACTCAAATTCCTAAAGTAACAAGCTGCATTCCTGAAACGCTGGAAATTCTGGATGTTAGTGGAAACAACCTGAAGGAGTTTGGACTGCAGCTCCCACTTCTGAAAGAGCTGTACCTCACAAGAAACCAGCTGAAGGCCCTGCCGGGTGCTGCACCCATTCCAAACGTAGTGGCCTTGTCCGTCAGAAGAAACAAGCTGAACAGTTTCTCCAAGGAGGAGTTTGAGTCGTTCAGGAGAATGGAGCTGCTGGATGCCAGTGACAACAACTTCATCTGCTCCTGCGAGTTCCTCTCCTTCGTCCAGCACGAAGCCGGGATAGGCCAGGTGCTGGTGGGGTGGCCGGACAAGTACGTGTGTGACTCTCCGCTGGCGGTGAGAGGGGCGCAGGTTGGCGCTGTGCACCTGTCCCTGCTGGAGTGCCACAGGTCCCTGGTGGTGTCGTTGATCTGCGTGCTGGTGTTCCTGGTCATCCTGCTGCTGGTGGCCGTCGGCTACAAGTACCACGTGGTCTGGTACCTGCGGATGACGTGGGCGTGGCTGCAAGCCAAGCGGAAGCCCAAGCGCGCCCCGCCGAAGGACGTCTGCTACGACGCTTTTGTCTCCTACAGCGAGAACGACTCCGACTGGGTGGAGAACACCATGGTGCGGGAGCTGGAGCAGGCCTGCCCTCCCTTCCGGCTCTGCCTGCACAAGCGGGACTTTGTGCCTGGGAAGTGGATTGTGGACAACATCATCGACTCCATTGAGAAGAGCCACAAAACGCTTTTTGTGCTGTCCGAGCACTTTGTGCAGAGCGAGTGGTGCAAATACGAGCTGGACTTCTCACATTTCCGCCTATTTGATGAGAACAACGACGCGGCGATTCTTGTCCTCCTGGAGCCCATCCAGAGCAAAGCGATTCCCAAGAGATTCTGCAAGCTGCGGAAGATCATGAACACAAAGACTTACCTGGAGTGGCCTGCTGGGGAAGAGCAGCAGCAGATCTTTTGGGAAAACTTGAAAGGAGCCTTGAAGTCATAGAAGTTAACAGCCCCTATTTCTACATTTTTCCACAAAAGGCCGTATTACACTGTTTCTTGCTGCGTGGAATACTTTCTTTCTTATTTTTCTTTGTAACTGCAACTAGCTTTGTTGTGGATACGGATAATTGTAATTTTACCAACTGGAAAAGACCCGTTTTAGGCTTTCCAGTGTTTTGATACTCTGGTCTTTAAAAGCCCCTGACAATAACTATGATATTTGGAACCCTGTTGGACTTTAAATACATTTTACCGAGGGTGAGGTATTTCTGTACTTTTTACTCCTGTTACTATTATCCCAACTAGTTTCTAATAATGCCGTTGTAATGTGCAAATAAAATTAAAAGCCACGGGCTTCAATCAGTATTCCCCTGTGTCCATTTCTTCCTGCGAATGCTTGTTTGTCTCTTCATGATCACCACCATTTCCTTTCTACCCACCCACAGAAATAGGTGAAGCCTTCTATTTTTGGGTGTGAGACTGTGTTTCTAATGCATGGACTACTAGATGGTGTTGTAGACTGGCTCAGTTCTTAGTTTTGTTCTTCTACTTTGCAGAGCATATTTATGTAATCACTGGGCCATGCGCCTCTTACAGCTCTACTTATCTTCCTTTGTAGTCGGTGAAGGAAATCACAGGGATAAGAGGCAGTTCATCTCTCTGCTTCAGTGTGAGGTATCTCCCAGAATTACATATTGTTCTTCACTGTTTGTAAAGGTCGTCTAAACAAGCAGGTAGATGTTTATATTAAGGTAGTTAGTCCCATGCTGAGTGCTTGGATTTCTTGGGTTTTAGAGGTTCTTATGGTAACATGAAATTGTCTCTGAGGGGATTAGGTTGTGTGTTTTCTCTAACTCAACATTCTCATGTTCCACTTTGCTTGTTTTGCTGGAGTTTAAGTACAGAAGAGTCTAGAACTTGATTAAATTTTAACCATGAAATTATTTTGTAGTGAAATACTGAAACCTTGGCAGATGGGCTATTTGAAAATAGCAAAATTTGCATACATTGTCTGTTGCTATATTTATACATCTTCATCTTCCCGTATATATATGTGTGTGTGTGTATATGGACTTTTGTAAATATGTATCTATTCACACTCCTGTGTATGTGTGTTTACATGTGTCTACATGAGATAATTTCTGTAGGTGCAGCCTGCAAACACCACTTTCAGTTCTGTCTTCTTATAACAATGTTATCTCCAGGGCTAGTCCAAAGTCTGCTACAAAGCAGTTTTTCTATTAACTCTCTTGGATAAATATAGCTCATGGTTTAATTAAGGCTGAACTCCAGGTAGGTGGGGAGTGAATCATCCAAAAACAAAAACAGTGCGCTGATAAGACAAATTAGGAGAAATGTGTGCCTAGAGGTAAGAGAGGAAATAAATTTTGCCAGTCATTACAAAGAGAGGGTCAAAGAGAGATGAAGGAGAAGCCTTAGTTTTCACACAGTACATTCTTACCCTAGACCCAGACTTTTCTGTGTTGGCACATTTAAAATTACTGATAGCATTACTGTTCTTATGCCAATCAGATCACCCAGGTGGGAATTCCCCTACTTATATTTTCAAGGTTGAGAGGTGAAGAGGAAACAAAACAGCAGCGTGAGAGGAAGCTGGGCAAAGAATGATCAGCAAGAGAGAGATGAAACACAGCATAGGCTAACTGGCATGCAAGCACTGAAGCTGCAGGTGGCATCTCTGGGAATCTTTTTGGCACAGACGTGAGTTTTCAGGTAGGTGAATGCTGGAGATGCAGGGAAAGACAGTGGAGCTGCAATGCCAGAGCAAGAAGCAAATAGGGGGCCCTGAGAAGAGGCAACCTAATCTTTGCCATCAGTCCTCCTCTGCATGGGGGATTTGGGGTGCTCAAGGCTGCTGAGCAGGAGTATGGGGTGGGGAGGGATTTCTGGCTGCCAGCAGAGGTAGAGCAGGAAGGTGCAATCACAGGCATCTGGCAGGGATGCATGGCAGGCAAGCAGCAAAGGGAAGTTCTCCTGGAGAGCTGTGACATGCTGATGGGACCAATGTTCTCTGAGAAATGGGAGAGAGGAAAACTGCAAATGAAAAAGAGACAAATAGGGTCAGACTGTGCCATTTCTGCTCAGTCTCCTCATGGGAGGGTGCCTTGCATGTACTTTATCCTATTTGAATGGCATCTCACCTGGGTGTTGATGCCGACTGCCATGGGAAGGCTGGGAGTGAAGGTGGGGTGCCTTGGTTTCAGGAATTTGACCAGGAAAGGGCTCACTGAACAACAGCCTTGGGACATCAGCTGCGTCCTCACCTAACTCTGACCTGCTGCACATCCTCTGTGTCAGAAACAAGCAGAGACATGGCTGTGTGGATGTGTGGCTGTGCATACATGCTGTTAGAGCAGTGCTGGAGGTGAGAACTAGGACATGGGCAGCCCACGCACTGCCGGGTGCAGAGCAGCAGCTTTCCCCAGTCTGCTTGTGGTTTGACCTTTTCACCAAACAGTGGCTCTCCCTCTGCAGGCTCCACAGTACTGCTCAGATTTACCAGCCCATATTTGGGTTGGTGCTCCCCAAGCTAGAATCAATTTGCACGCTACTGGCATGCTTTATTTTAGCCCTTACATTAACCTTCCCCATTTGTGAGCATTTATAGAACCTCATTCTGTTGTCAGTCATGGTTTTGTTTGATAATATGTGCATATTTCCTCAAATACTTCTATTCATGTGGGCCAGGGAAAATAATCTTGAGCATGTCTGATGGCTTGGACCCTTTTTCCATAACTCAGAAACAGTTTGCATGTCTGGTTCATCACAGCACCTTATGGTATAAGGGCATCTGTGCAAGTTTATATATTTTTAGTTGCATTTCAGTTTAATTTTCTTACTGTGGCTTTTTAGTTCCCAGTACAGCAGGAAGAAGCGATTTCTTGATAAGGCAAAGATATCATGGACTGGGGCAATATTTCTGAGTGGGTGTGGAGAGACCTGAAATGACCTTGTGAGGGTCTCAAGCAGGATCATTAGACAGGAACTGGAAGGGGAAGAGAATGGATGAAAGTGAGTGAGGGTGGAAATGGGATTCCTCTGAGTGTTCAGATTACAGATGAGCAAAAAACCTGGAAAGTAAGCATTCTGAATGACCAAATGCAGTTCAGTCCTGAAGTCCCTGAATGGTTTCAGGCTGGTAAGGTGGAGAACCATTAGGAATTTCCTGTGCAACTCCTGCCCAGTTCCTTTGTGTGCTGCCAATTTTCCACCTATAAATAACCTGCCACTGATCAGGTTGCCTGTTTGTTTCATCTTCTAAAAGTAAGTATTTTGATGACAAATTTAAAAATACCACCTAAATCTGTTGCTAGTGAAACTAGCAACACTACTCCTAGATTTACTCCTTTAGCCTACAGCACTGCATTATCCAGTTATTCTTGGGATACTAAAAAGCCCTGCAAAAGAGCCTTATCTGGACAGCAGATGAGTCAAACTAGAGACAACAGGTTTTTGTTTGGGATTCATGTGGACAAATATCTGAGTATCTGAACTGTGATACTCCATTTTAAGGCAATAGGATCATTTCTCTTGGAATCATCATATCTTACACTGAGCATCCAAGACACACAATATTAATTATTCCTAAAAGATGTTCTTTCTCTCCATTGGCTTTGGAGGACATGGTGGATGACCAGTTCAGCTGTGGGTATCTACAGACAGGGAAGAGAACCTTATCCTTCAAGATCCAAGGTCTACATCAGAGACAGACAGAGATAAAAGGAAAGTAACACAAGGGGTCAAAATGTTTCTAGTCCTGCAGGTGGGAAGAGATGGAATGACTGAAAAAATTATCCATAATTTTTTCTTCCCTCCCCATATGCCCAAACCATCTCAGTCAATTCTGCCCCTTTCGGATAATCTTAAGCAGTTATGACTAAAAAGAATGCAACTGGAAGTGTGGGATTTTTCTGTATCAACTTGTATACGTGGGTCAGCTATTGAAAATAAATCAGAATATGGATTCAGAGTAGAGTAGGTCTTCTGCACGGAGTCTCAGGGGGATGACTGAGGGAGAAAGCAGTTCTCAAGGAGCCAGTCTAACCTGATTTACCTGATAGAGAGCCCACAATGATTTTGTGAACTCACTGATTGACCCCTTTGGGCATTGTTCACTCTTTCCACCCTCAGCAAGATACCTACTGAGGTACTTGGGTTTTGTGGCACGTTGGGGAAAACTACATTTTAAAAAAGCTCTTTAATCCTTGTTCCTTGTCAAGAAAGGTTATATTTCAATGTACAGTAAAGGTTTTAAAGGGAAAAGACCTCTCTTAGGCTTCAAAAATTGTTCTTCCAGCTCCTCAGAAGGATAGAGGAACTGAAGATATACTACTGGAAGTAAAGACAAGCTGGATATTGCAGGAAGCTTTTAACCCTGTTCACAGGACATTTACAGTTGGAGTAGGAAAGGCAGATAAAATGAAGAAAGGACTGAAACAAATGCATTCATTTTTGCCCTATTTTCAGAATAGAGATTAGACATATGCTTGAAGTAAGTATTACACTTGAATGTTACTATTTAGTGTGAGGTGCTGACTCTTCTTGATGTAACCAGGACTTGAAACTCGTAGAGGAGACTCCCTGTGGTAAAAAATGAATATGCAAAATAATATTCAGATTCAGAAGAAGGAGACCTGAGGCGAGATTGAAGTATGAAGGCTACTTACTAAACAGGAGGATCAGAGTAATAACTAATCTGTTTCAACTCTGAACTGTGTTAAAACAAAATATTTTAACAGTGCCTTCAACAAGACAGAACAGTAAAAATGATATTTTAGATTTATTAAAAATGTACCTTCTTCAAAACAAAATATGCATCTTATATTTGCTCTGACTGTATTTCATATTTTAGGCAATATAATGACTACGCCCACCTGGCAAGCATTGGCCATCTACTTGGTCTTAGCTGCAAACCTCTCTGAACAGCAAGCACTGAAGCAGGCTTGTCCTTCATGCGATGCCAGTCAGATTTGCAACTGCTCCTCCATGGGCTTGGCCTTCATTCCCCCTGGGCTCACGGCCAAAATCACAGTGTTAAACCTGGCCCACAACAGGATAAAGCGCATCCAATCCCAGGACCTGCAGCAGGCTGTGAACCTGAGAGCCCTGCAGCTGCAGTCCAACGAAATCAGCTCCATAGATGAGGACTCCTTCCAGTCCCTGGCAAAACTGGAGCTCTTGGACTTATCAAATAACAGCTTGGCTCACTTGTCCCCTGTGTGGTTTGGGCACCTTTTTTCACTCCAGCACCTCTACCTTCAAGGCAATTCCTACAGAGACCTGGGGCAGAGCTCCCCCTTTTCTAGCCTGAGGAACCTGAGCTCTCTCCACCTGGGCAGCCCGCAGCTCTCCGTGATAAGGCAAGGGAACTTTGAGGGCATTGAGTTTCTGCACAGGTTGTGGATTGATGGCAGCAATCTCAGTCAGTATGAGGAGGGAAGTTTGAAATCAATTAAGGAGATAAATCACATGATCATAGGCATAAGAAATGTTACTGTGTTCTCAGAAATTGTTAGGGATCTTCTGCACTCTGTCACTTGGCTGGAAGTGAGAAGAATAGCGTTTGGTATCACTGCAGAAATGCAAGCATTGAGAGTCATGTCTTCATCTTTTGTAAAGAAGCTTTCTTTTAGACAGATCTTACTAACAGATGCTACCGTGCCTGAGATTGCCAGCATTTTAGAAGACATGCCAAAATTAGCAGAGCTGGAGCTGGTAGACTGTAGACTCTTGGGAACCGGACAATGGAAAATGCAAATTCAAGTAAAGCAATCACAGACACTTAAAGTTATCACAATAGAGAAATTATCTATAGAAGAATTTTACTTGTTTACAGATCTTCAGCCAGTGGAAGGTCTACTATCTCTTTTTACAAGAATCACAGTTCGGGAAACCAAGGTTTTTTTGGTACCATGCAGAATTTCCCAACATCTTCTGTTATTAGAATATCTTGACCTTAGTGCAAATTTGCTTGGAGACCAGAGTTTAGAACATTCAGCCTGTCAGGGTGGTTGGCCATCCCTACAAACTCTAAATTTAAGTCAGAATTCACTGAGTGACTTAGAAATCACAAGTAAAAGTTTGTCTCATCTAGGAAACCTAATTGTTTTAGACATTAGCCAAAATAATTTTGGTGAGATTCCAGATGTGTGTAAATGGCCAGAAAACCTGAAATATTTAAATCTGTCCAGCACTCAAATTCCTAAAGTAACAAGCTGCATTCCTGCAACGCTGGAAGTTCTGGATGTTAGTGGAAACAACCTGAAGGAGTTTGGACTGCAGCTCCCGCTTCTGAAAGAGCTGTACCTCACAAGAAACCAGCTGAAGGCCCTGCCGGGTGCTGCACCCATTCCAAACGTAGTGGCCTTGTCCGTCAGAAGAAACAAGCTGAACAGTTTCTCCAAGGAGGAGTTTGAGTCGTTCAGGAGAATGGAGCTGCTGGATGCCAGTGACAACAACTTCATCTGCTCCTGCGAGTTCCTCTCCTTCGTCCAGCACGAAGCCGGGATAGGCCAGGTGCTGGTGGGGTGGCCGGACAAGTACGTGTGTGACTCTCCGCTGGCGGTGAGAGGGGCGCAGGTTGGCGCTGTGCACCTGTCCCTGCTGGAGTGCCACAGGTCCCTGGTGGTGTCGTTGATCTGCGTGCTGGTGTTCCTGGTCATCCTGCTGCTGGTGGCCGTCGGCTACAAGTACCACGTGGTCTGGTACCTGCGGATGACGTGGGCGTGGCTGCAAGCCAAGCGGAAGCCCAAGCGCGCCCCGCCGAAGGACGTCTGCTACGACGCTTTTGTCTCCTACAGCGAGAACGACTCCGACTGGGTGGAGAACACCATGGTGCGGGAGCTGGAGCAGGCCTGCCCTCCCTTCCGGCTCTGCCTGCACAAGCGGGACTTTGTGCCTGGGAAGTGGATTGTGGACAACATCATCGACTCCATTGAGAAGAGCCACAAAACGCTCTTTGTGCTGTCCGAGCACTTTGTGCAGAGCGAGTGGTGCAAATACGAGCTGGACTTCTCACATTTCCGCCTCTTTGATGAGAACAACGACGCGGCGATTCTTGTCCTCCTGGAGCCCATCCAGAGCAAAGCGATTCCCAAGAGATTCTGCAAGCTGCGGAAGATCATGAACACAAAGACTTACCTGGAGTGGCCTCTCGAAGAGGACCAGCAGCAGATCTTTTGGTTTAATTTGAAAATTGCTCTAAGATCATAGACACGGAAATTAAGGAACAAAAATGTAGTGAATCTAGTTTGGATTTGTTTCAGTTGCCTGATTGTCTCATTACTTATCTTCATCTCATGTACAGAGAGCTGGGCTATTGCAAATTGTAACAGTTGCTATGAGATAATTACTTTTTCTAGCCATTGTTCTGAACAGTTGTACAGGTTTGGGCTGGAATACAGTCAATTTTGTTCAGAGCTCCTTCTGTGGTGCTGTGGTTTGTATTTGTGGCCAAAAGAGTGTCCATAACACAGGGATTCTTTAGTTACTGCTCAACTGTGCTTGCACAGCATCAAGGTTTTCAAATGCACAAGCATTTTCCATTCCTCACGCTGTCCTGCTTGTGAGCAGGCAGGGGTTGTATTATAATTTGGGAGGGGACACATCCAGGAGAGCTGATTCCAGCTGACCTAAAAGATGTCCTACACATTTCGTCATGGCCCATGACTATATAATCAGCACTAAAAGTTGTGTGAAAGAAAGAGGGGATGGTTGGAGTTAACATATTTGCCTTCCCAGCTAAAAGTTCTGTGTCATGGAGTCCTGCTTTCATGGCAATGGCTAAACATTTTCATGTTGATGGAAATTAGTTCCTTCTTCTGCTTTGCTTGTGAGCACAGTTTTTACTTTACCTGTTGAACTGCCTTAATGTGAACTCCCAGGTTTTCTCACTTTTACCCTTCAGATTTTCTCCCTGGTTTCACTGAGGGGAGAGAGAGAGAGTGGATTTGTGGTGCTGAGCTGCCTTCTGAGTTTAAACAGCAATAGTTATCTGCACATGTTAATCAGCAATATCAGCAAAAGCTGTGTCATTTAAATATTTAATGATGAAAAGTTGAATAGATACACAGCTATGTAGTTTATATGTCCTCATCTCTGCAAAAGTTTCAGGACAGAACCTGCCTAGCCAAGGGTTTTTCTGTATTCTTTGTATAAACTATTTCTCATCAAATGCTATAAAAGTCAGTTTATTCAGCAAAGAATTTTGTCCTAGCTCTCCTAGTCAGTGGATCTAAGGACTGATTCTCTGTATTTCATTGTCACAGAAAGTTTAATTCCCAGATCTCCTGAAAATCATGGCTGCAAGTTTTAATGTAGAAATATGCTTTCTCACTGCATTTCTGTCTGTTGTAGCTTTTAGGTTCTATAATTTCCTTTATGAAAGACATCTATGGAAGATGATTTATGTCTAATTTCATTGTACTGAATGTGGCAATAGATGCTTCAGAACAGGGTTCAAATACCCTTCTGACTAGCACAAGCGGAGTTTAAGCTGCTCTCAGCTACAGTGTGGGAAACACAAATATATTGTCCTTGAATCCAACACTATGTTCGTCCCCTTGTTTAACAACCTTAACATAGTCATGGAAAGAGTGTTTCCTACCTTTCACTCTCTCTGTAAATGTAGTCCACAAAACCAGAGTGGGTGGAGAACATCCCACATAGGACATCGTGTTTGCTGTCAGGTGGGGTCGTGTTTTCCCGAGAAGGTTACTGGGACAAGGGTCCTAATTGGTGGAAAAATGGAACAAATGGAAGACTGTCGCCAGATTCATCCTTCAGAGCTGATGTAAAAAGAAAGGGATGTCTTTGTGATATTTTCCTTGCAGCCACAGAAAATTTTGGGTGAACTCTAATAGCTTGATTCTGGTAGGCCAGAAGGACCATGAACTTCTGGATCAGTTCAGGACTTAGGCACAACCGTTTCCAGGCACATACTGAAGTAGGTCTTAAAAACTTTCAAATGGAATCACCTACGACATTTGGCTGTACCTGTGATGAGACCATGTCCAAATTAGTGTTTTTATTACTGTTTTGATCTTGGGCATCTAATGTGGTACAAAAACCCTGTTCAAACACCTCACTGTAACTGAGTTGATTGCATTGGAAGTTTCCTCTCACTTCTGGTTACTTGTTGTGTTACTTCTTTTAGACACTCCTCTGCACAGCCAAAATGTCAGTGAGAGCAAACTATCCCTGCTATTTGCTAGTCATTGAGAGAGCTGAGGATATACCTGCTTCCACAGGTGTACACCCACAAGCAGGCAACTTTGACAGCACATTGAAAATTAACAGTTTGTTTATATGTATTTTTGCATTTATTAATGCAGGCATAACACATAATAAGAATTATTAACTTTGTTACTTTATCTAAGCTAAAAAAAGCCACCTTCTTTCTATTTATTCAAGATTTGCTCTTTCTTTCATTTACTTTGCTTTTTTCTTAAGCACATCATTTCCCATTCTTAGCATCTAGACCTTATTTTCACCTATAGATGGCTTCATACAACATCTGCTTTATTCTTATATATATTAACATAATAATAAATATAATATAATATACTATAATATAATATACTATAATATACTATACTATACTATACTATACTATAATATAATATAATATAATATAATATAATATAATATAATATAAGCAAGTGTATCTCTGATTTCTAATAACAATGTAGAGATCCTTAAAATACTGATCATGTTTAATCTGAATTCAGAAGCTACTTCTGCTATGTATTTTTTCATTCTAAGAAATCTATTTTTTTTTCCTAGCATGAGCTTCCCATTAAAACCATCAATTTATTTTAATTCTTACTTTGAGAAAATATAATATGTTTTCATAGCAAGCTGCATAGCCTCGCTGTACTGCAAAAAGAGGCAAAAGTGTTTCTATCATACCACAATTCCACCCATTGCTACTTTTTCTAGTCTTGTAAAATTAAGTACAGAATATGCATATTATTGTAGGGTGGTAAATGTCCAACACTTTGAATTCTCACCAATAATCTGCACCCTATTCTAGAACCAGTGAGCAAGTAATGCCTTGAATGATGCCTGTAACAATTGACTGCCAAACCACCAGACAGCAGAGACAGTCCAGAAGTTGTCATAAAATATTTGAGTGTTCCCATGCAATCTGTTCATAAGGAAACTGGAGAGAATATCTGCAACAATAGGTAAATCTTGGTATTTTTCTTAGTCAGAATAAAAGATACAGTATTGGGTTAAATTTTCTTAATGCTCTTAATTTTCTTTCTTTCTTTCTTCTTTTTTTTTTATTCTTTTTTTTTTTTATTTTTTTTAGAGGTAAGGTTAAAATTAAATATCCTATGGTTAAAATAGGCTCCAAGAAAATAAGCCAAACCTTGCTTGCAAAACTCAAGCAGTTTTCTACAGATACAGCAGCAGATCTTAAACTATTTTTTTACTTGCTAAAGGAAAAATCTTGTTTCTTATCTACTAAAAGGGAAAAGATAGCTTGTTCTGGAAGTGCATTACATAATTTTTTTTAAAAAAATCTGTTAAAGAACAAAATGCATTGTAAGGTCTTTCTAAAATTGTGATCTATAATGTTCCTCTCATAAAAATTAATTCTGGATGTCTTGAAATCAAGAAGGAAAATATATATGTACTTTTTCTAGCTTGTTCGGGGTCTTAGATAAGGTAAAGGCAAACAGAACTATCATCTTCCCTAAATATAATTTTTCCTTAATAATAACAGGTTTTCCATTCATTTAATGTGGCCATCTCATCCCTCTGCTGCAGATCAAAACAAGAATTAGTAAGCAATCAGGCTATGGTTTAGAAAACCCAGATGAAAAGCACACTCATTACACAGAGGGTTTGGGTTGCTTAACAACCCCTTCAAATCAGCTTTTTTAGGGCAGTCTGGGCGAGTTTTGTTCTTTTCAACAATGCACTGGCTGTGGATGAAGGATTCATGAAACCCACTATCAGGTGTATTGTTAAAGCATCTTTCAAATGCAAAAAACCTGCAGTGCTTACATCTGCAAACCTGGCCAAACCATCAGCAGATAATTTTAAAAACTGAGTGTGGACACTGCCTGGTTTTATAACCAAGCAGTTTCAAATCGCTTAATACATTTGGACTATTTGGAGTTACTGTAAAGCTCAATCCAAGGTTCTGAACATCCAGACTGATATTCATATTTTCCAGCTCACAGGGAGCCAGGATACTTTTATGAAGTGCAGAAGTGGGTGATTAGTAACATTGTTCCAATACATATTCAATACTTTTCATTTTGAGTTTCTGAAATGCAAGGTGTGGAGTTGTTTGGTATCCCTGGGTCACTGGCTCTTCTGTCAAGCTCTAGGGTGCAGGACATTGGTTGAGAAGGGTTCCATATCTGCCTTAAAACTACTTGGCAAACAGCCCCAGGAACAGCTGGAGGAAATCCTCTGCAATACACAGGAGTGGAGCCTGAATTAGCAGACCTGGGTCAGCATGCCTGGTCTAATGTCCTGCCAGGCACACCCACAAAGGCTGCACACCAAATACCTGCATGGTGGATTTTAACCTTGACCGTGATAGGATTATAGCCACTCCTGCATCAGTTTGTCAGCCAGAAATCTGCATGGCCTCAGCTAGTGTTACAGAACTGAAAAATAGTTTGTGTTCCTATTTTTACCTCTGCACAATGTTGTTTCTGAATGTGGTTTTGGTTCCTTCTTTTTCTTGGTATTTATTGTCATCATTATTTTTTTAATACAGCATAAAAGAGGAGAAAACAACGGTTTCATAATTACATGGAAAGGATGTCCATGATTATAGGACAGCTGTTAGGTATTTTCAATGATCCCTTCTTTTTTTATATCCATGAGGATTTTCTTTACACAGACTGCACAGATGCCATTGGACAAATTCCTTGTTGGTATGCCACTGATGTTGTAAAACTGTCGAGATCAAATTTACAGGAAATAAAGAAGCCAAATATTTGCTTAGTGTCAAGGATGCATAAGCACATTTCAGCTGCCATCAGAGATAAGGACAGCATGAAAATGGCTACAGTTGTCTAGGTTTACTAGTGCCAGGATTCACAGTTACCAAAGAATAATTAAAATCTTATTGCTGATGCAAGAATTTTAGCAACCATCTGCTTGATGTTAAGTAACTGGATGTAAGGTGATTATGTCAGCATAATTCCCTTATTTGAAAGGGGCAGATAGGAGCTATAAAAAGGAAAGGACAAGAAGAGTCTTTCACAGACTTTGGGGAAGGAAGAAACTTGCCTTCTTATGGCCATTAGGAAAATTGTGTCATTTCTTGTTGGAAACCCCAAATCCTCAAAGGCCTGGTGTATGTCAGTGGCTACTGCATTGAGTGCTCTCCTAATCATAAGATTGATGAGGGAGTTCAATCATTTGTCTGTGGCAAAAGAACAGCTCTTCTCAAGGAAAAGGGAAGTTAGTTTACTGCAGCAGTATCCAGTAGACCTTATTCTCATGAACCCAGGGACAAAAGAGACTCAAGAGCTCACTTCTGGTCCTTGCCAGTGGTATTGGGGGTGGAAGTCATGTAGGCAGGACAAAATTCCACAAAGTCTCTTCCCATCACTCCCATAGTACAGTACATAAAAAAGTAGTGTCATGGCAAAATCCACAGAGTCATCAGACCTTTCTGTCATAAGACCATGAGAGATTACTCATGTCAGTCTATTCTTCACCAAGCACCAGAAGTTCTTAATGCACCTAGAAATTTTACCTGGGTAGAATTTTCTTTATGTTTGTCCAGAATTTCTGCATCCCACTCAGAGCTACTGTGCTGGACCCAGCTTGAGCTGCTGTCTGACCAGAAATTCCAGGGATTCCTCAAGTAGATCAACCTCATAATACATCTGATGTAAGTCCAACACTTCTTGAAGGGGTTGCAGATATTGCAGTCCCTGTTCCTTTAATCATCTGTTCCTTTAAGTCTCAGAACTATTGCCCATACATTGTGCAGTTGATTAATCTACAAGTACATAGCTCTGATGGAAAATTCTTGGCAGAAACTTAGCAGTCCTGTGTTATCAATGCTGTTCAGTTTTATTCTGTTGAAGTGTTTTCTTTAACTTTAGCTAAATTCCCTCACCAGTGTATTTTTAAGACACAGGTACAAAATTTGTCAGTTCTTATTTAAAGGCTTTTACTTTGTGTCCTGTAGCAGCAGAAATGACAAGTCCTTTTTAATGTTGAGAAGCTCCAGTTTCATGATGTTTTGTAGCCAGGTTTCAGTCTCCCAAGACCTGTTTCACATAATACAGTCTCAGAGAGTTAACAGGGGACATCAACATTTTTGCAGACTCTATTGGGCTGTGATGTTTGGGAGTAGGGGATTAAATACCACTTGCTGCATTTTAGCAAATATTTTGCTCTGAGGAATTTATATTCAGTGGATTCTTTCACCTACAGAAACGTAACATTTCTTTGGCATGTTACACCTTATTGAGATTTGGCTGATTTTGTTGCTTCTGCAAAACAATGAAATGAATCAAATTGTTCTGTATAGTAAAACTAACTAAAGTCTCTTTCTAAAAGAAAATGTGTCAGCTTGACCTACCTGCAGCAAAGCTAAGTAGCTGTGGCTCTAAAAGTAGTTCATAACCTACTCTCAGCATTGGTGGCTGTCAAGCATATTCATACTTAAAGTGTTAGGGTGCCTGCTGCTGCGAAACAATGAAAATTAGCTCACAGTTTGAAGGAAGCAGTAGCTCACTGGAGTAAAAATCTTTGCCAATAGTGAAAAATGGAGAAGATTGGCAAGCAACATTAAGTGTGGTAGAGTAGGAAATCATGATCATCAGAAAGAATCCCAGTGTAGTTTTGATATGAATGTACTTATTTGTTTTTATCCATTATGTCAAGACTTTTGATGTCTCATCACCTTTGGGTGCATAAATGGAGGACTGAGGACTAACTCAGAAGTTAGGGGATTAAATAATTGAACATAGTGGCTGTACAAAGGTGAAGGGTTTTCTCCTGCTCTCTTCACACCACAAACATAAGTTGTAAATAGATTTAATATCAAACTTCAGGTCAGCTATGCAATAAAAAAACCCTCAAGAAGAAGGAGGACCTACATCTCCACAATGCAAAAGGGGTTTCATATGCAGAAGTGGCTGGTGAGGACAGCAGCCTAGAGCAATTTCTCTGCATACAAAGCAAAATCTATCAAATAGAAAATCATAACTATTGCCAATCCCAATTTTACCTGAAGTTACTTACCTAAAGAATTAATTAAATCCAAACACAATAAACATTAACCGTCAATCCCAATTGTATTTATGGATTGTGAGGAGCAATTTGTACACTAACATAGAAATAGAAAAAAAAAGAAAGACTGCTCAAGACCTTGAGTATTTTGTGGAGTGGCACAGAATGATGCATGTGTAGCTTCCACTGAAGTATTTATATAAATTCAACAAGTTTTACACTTCTGTATTTCTCTCTTACTTAAAGGTGAATAAAAATGTACAATATAGGAGAAAGTACAGGAATGAAACCACATCAAACCCAGTTTGTTTTGCTTCAATCTTCAAAAAAAATTGTAATTGTGAACAGATTGCTAACATAATTAAAGCTTACATTTGGAATTGTGAAGTTTGGAATTGTGAAGGAGGGAAACAAAGGACAGAACAGGACTAGAAGAGGTAGAAAATAACTGAGGTAAGTTAGACATAGCCAAGTCACTATACCATCTATGAAATTTATCTTAAAAAAGCCCCAAAAATCTAAAAAACGACAAAAGTGGGACATCCTGTGATGTTCTTCCCAAGAGAGTTTGCTCTGAAAGTGATGTAATAGTAATAACTGTGAGCATTCCTCACATGGACAGGGTTTTTCACCAGCAAAGGTTGATGGTGAAATAAAGAAAAACAACACACATAAGCTGCAGTGGGGCTGTTGGCAAAATTGAGACAGTCATTTCAAATTAATGACATCCCACGTTTCCATTGTGTGTGCTCAGGTTTGATTAACACACTGTCAAACTCTAAAAATTAGCCATAAAATGTTACTTGTACAGTATCTGACCCAGGAGTGCCTTTGACTCTAGAATGTTAGACTGCCTTGCACCCTGTAAATAATCAGTAAATCCAATGTAGTAATTGGTTATAGTAATGAGATACAACTCATCAGACCTCCCTCATATCATATGCTTAGAATCTAAATTGTCTATTGGTAGATTTATTTTTACTGGAAGAAACATTAAAGTTTGTTTTAGAACTCAAATTAGGTATGGTGACCACAAGGTTAAAGCTTTGGGAGCAAGTTTTCTGGAATCAGTGGAGGCACTTTGCCCTTTAATCCTTAGAGCTGCTCTTAGGAACTTTCAGATAGACACGTTTGGCTACGCTGTTCTGGGGGGTGCTGGGGTACATAACCACACTCATGTCGGCTTTTCCTAAAACCTCTTTCTTCAGCACAGAGTGCTGTGTCTTAAAATTTTAAATGCTTTTCCTAAATGAGATTTCATCAAACTCAATACATATATTAGCTTGAGCTGCCCACAGTGATGAAATATTCTATTTCTTTTCCAATAAGCACATATATGTCCTTTTCCAATCAGCTCATATTTGATACCCACTGAAGAGTTAAAAGCCCTGTAATGTCAGTTTTCTCTGTAGTCATGTTAATAAACCATGGATTTGGGATTGTGGAAACCTGATGATGGCCAGAGTATGTGTTTGTAGAGTTAACTCCAGGATCCTTACAGAAATGTTGCTAAAAATAAAATCCCCCAAAACTGAGTGGAGACAGATTTAAATTTTATGTTTCATTTGGTGCAGGGGGATTCTTTAAAAGAAAACAAAAAGTACAATTCACCTAGAGTAAAAGGGTATTTCTGTGGAAGATGAATCTCTTGCCTTAATCCAAATAGTAGAATTCTGAAGGAATGTGTGCTACACATTACTTCAGAAACTTCAAACCGTTTTGCCACAGATTTCAGCTGTAGGAGGACTCAATTCTTCTTCCCTAAGAAAAAAACGGAAACCCTTAAAAATAATTTCCCCAAGCCCCAGATAGCATGGAACCCTTGAACAAACTGGTATTTTACAATTCAAGTTTAAATAAATTAGGAGATAGAAACACCTGTAGGAGATAACAACAGAGCATCACTTGATCACATCAGTGTTAGGCCTTTCTCCACCCTGCAGCCCTGACTGTAGGAGGGCTCAGTCTGCTGCCTGTGACCATAAAAGTGACAGAGCTCCTTCCATGCCCTTCTGACATGCTACAGGTGAGAGTCCTCTACCCATCCCTGACTGCAGATCCTGATGTTTCCCAGCCTTCACCAGAGGCTGTCAAAGGTTTCCTGTTGCCTGCCTGCCTGGCTGCTGTCCAACACGAGCCCTCTCTGCTGTGCTTATGAACTGTGGGTTGCTTGTTTTTGTTTTCCAGTAAAGTTAAGTTTGAATTTAAGTGGTAAAGCCAAAACTGCTTGAGTACACATATTCAGTAAATTGGCTACTTTCTAATACAAAATTGTAATGGAATTTTGTTATCATGTTAGCTGGATAATTAAATGCTAATTAATTAAAAAATGGTAGCACAACCTTTTCTTGGGTGATGGCAGTTATCAGATCAATTGATATATATTACTTTCAGTAATTGCTTCAATTTTCTTTATTGATTTTTATGTCTTCCAAATTGTTAATTTTAATACTATTAGCCTCTACATGAAATGCATGAGTATTTAGTCATGTAAATGAGAGCAAAGATAGGAATCAAGTCATATAGATGCAAACCCCAGTATTGATTTATTATTAATACTGGAAGGTCACCATCTGGACAATACCATAAAGTAATACATCTGCATTGCTGCTAAATAGGAGCTTTAACATCTGGATCATATTATTCCAAATTTTCCTCATCCACTCATCATAGCAAGAGGAATTTCCTGACAAATTAGATTGCTGCCCAAAGGTAAAATGTTTTTCTCATTACCATACTTTAAACGAGCTCTAAAAGACCTAGAAGTGAAGTCAGCATCAGCGTCATAGACAACTTTCCCATTTTCTAATTATGCAGATTAAATAGGTCCTACAAGCACCAACTGAAAAACATCCATCCTCTCCTTCCCTCACAATGCTCTCCCCCACTCTGAGGAAGGAAGAATGACTATCACCAGGAAATTCAATAATAAGAGCATTATCCCACTATCCTTTCCATCTTATAGCATAAAGGTAAAAACTGTATATATAAAAAAAGTAACTGTGTAATAATTAGATTTATTGTAAGAGATTGACCTTACCATAACTTGTTAAGACAAGCTAACTGGCTCCCAAAAATCTAGTTTTTGATGTTGTTAGATTCAAATACCAAAAAACATATACATTGAAGAAAGAATAAATCAGGCTGTTTGGGGTTTTTAAGGTTTAGTTAATATGATTATATTTGACAGCACATTGAAAATTGGCAGGAATGTCTATTTTAAGTAAATCAACCAACCTTATTTTTTCTAGATTTGCCTTATTACTTAGGTAGAGAAATCGATGCTGTCATGACTATGCTGTTTCATTTTTCAACTATATTCCCAAGTAAATTCTTATTCCGCGACTGCCACATGATACAAGTTATATAATCAGTAAAACAGGCAGCCACCTATGGTACCAGACACAAGGCTTCTGTGTTTGATCTACCTTTCTATCTGAGATGTTTAAAATTAGTTATTATGCCAGTAGAGAACAACTTTGTTCCTATATATCATATTTATTTAATTTTCACCAATGGACAGCTTCCAATGGCAAGCAAATTGCATTATAAGATTCAGTAGAGTACCTGATAGTCAGAATTTCCTTTGGGAAAATACCAAGTCAGAATACTAATAAGTTTTTTCCTTCCTTCTCCATTTACTATATTAGATTTCTGCCTTTATGTTGAGAAAAATTGATAGGCTAGTCTAGGACAGGATAGAGTGTTTTTTCAAGGATGGTAATCCTCTAATATTCTTTGCTGCCACCCCACATCCCAGAGTACATAATACAGTTGCAAGCAGTTGCCTGCACCTCATTAAGTGCAAAACTTGAGAGTAAAATGGAGAAGTGAGTGTTATTTGAACACATATGCAAACCCACTGGAAGTCAGATTTTTACAAGGTGAATTAGCAGAACACAGGCTAAAATACACATGTTTGTTTTTCAAAATATGAAATAACAAAATCCTCAGAAGTAGCTGGGAAACAATAATTTTCTCTGATTTTCTTCCTTTTCATGTGGAGGTTAACCCCAAAATGTCAGTTACCACCTGGAGGAAAAAACACAGGTATCAGAATGGCCTACATTTTATTTTAGACCAAGACTTAATAGGAAAAAAAAAATCTAATTCCAATTCTTCTTCTTCTTTTTTTTTTTTTTTTTTTTTTCCCCTTTTCCTACCCCCTTCCTTTGTACTACTTTATATGTGGCCATCTGGTGAAGGGCAATCTCTTCCCTCTTGCCCAAAATTATCTACAGCTGAACCTTGGTTGCTTTGCTGCAACTTTTTTTTGCTCTGGCCTCTTTGAAATAGGAGCCTTCCCCAGCATGCCTTTTTTTTCAGGAGACGTTTTACATTCTCGATAAGCCTGGATAAGGCTCTTTTGGAAGGTACAGGCTGTTGCTGTTTCTCTTGCATCTAGTAAGTAGTTGCTGCTTTTTATTTTTGGCTCTTTTTGAGAAAGCTAATGAATGCCCTTCCCACTTAGGGCTGATTTTATGCTCCCTTTGACCTTCATTTCCTTTTTCTTTCAAAAAGAAACCAAGCTTTTCTTTTTTCACATGTTTGCAAAGCACTTTGAAGGGAAGGGTGGGAGTCAATCATTGAAATCCTTTGCTTTATTTTTCTATTAAGTAGAAATAAAGGAGTGTGCAATTCTCTCTGGGCTCTTACTATATCTGCAAATAATGTGACTATCCAGAGTAGGGATGTGTGTATGTGCAAAGACCCACCATAATCTCAGACTCAGACAGAAAGTTTTGCCAGCTGATGCTGTCTACCAAGCCATGATATGCAATAGAGGGCTGGCTACTTGCTTCATCTGGGATCTTGGAACAGAAAATGGAAAAGAAAGCAGCTTTTGATCAGATGAAAGGAGCCCTAGGTTTACCCCTCCCAGTGAAAGTAGCGTGTTCTACCTCTTCGTCTGATTTGCTTTCTGTTTTGCTCCTAAGGATGCAAACGTTGTTATGGGCAGAGGAAAGTGTTTGGTGTCTCCTCTTACAGTATTAAACACTGCTGTGTAACCTGTAAGTGAACCATACAGGCATAAACCAAGCAGGCAAAGGCTGGGTGGTAAGTAAAAAACAATCTGCAAGCAAGCAGAAGCAGAGGGATGTTTTTAATGAGTATGTGGTTGTTTTTCAAATTTTGACTTATTTCAATGTTTCTCACCAAATCAGACTAAAACTATATGCACATGAATGCAAGAATAATAATTTCCACCTGCAAGAACAGCAATACAGAAGTCTAGACCTGCCTGTACTTAGGGGAGCAGTAGATGTTTTTTTTTTTCTCTTTGTTTTCATCTCAAATGGACAATTTCCTGTATGCATTAACCAAGCTGTTTAAATCCTAAATATGACCATCATTACATTTTCTGCTTCTGAATGAGAAGGCTTCTTATCTGATACAAAAATGTATGCTAGTTATTTTTCATTTATCTCATTAATCATCCAACTTTGTTTCTTACTGTTTGTCCTATTTGCTAGCCTTTGAAATATAGGGATCAGATTTTGGCAGTTACTTCATGGGTAGAAATTTTTAACTTTAGCATTACTTTATGACATGGTTTTAAAGAAAGTAAGCTCATGCAATGAGTGTGTTAGAAAACTATACAAAAGTATCTGGATATGAAACATTAGGGAAGTCATTAGTTAAAACATAAACTTGGAAGTTTTTTTGGTGACTCTTAAATTATCTAACATGGAATAAATGCAATAAACCCTCCACTGGCAGAGACTCACGACGACCAGTGTTCATTATTATAAAGTAACTTCATACACAGATAGATGGTAGATGTGAGAAGACATTACTCTCCCAGCTAAACAGGCCATAAAGCAGAAGTGAGAAAACTCAGTGCAAAGTGAACTTCAGTTTCTGGTGATGCTATTTTTACTGAAAGAGGCTCTGCTTCAGTTCTCTTTTACTGGAGAAGGAGCCTTTGATGCTATCATGCAGCTATGCACTGGAAATTGAGGCCCCAACATGTTTCTGGTTCAGATTTTTTGTTTATTTTTAAATGCAATACAAAAGCCATCACAAAATCTTATTAAAGTGTTGTATGGTTATAGTCATTTGGGACCCTCCCTAAATTAGATTAAACATATTTAAAAATGTATTTTTCCCTGTATTGCTCATGTCACCTTGTTGGTGTGACTGGCTCCTGTAAAGAAATGTCTGGGAATGAAACTTCATTTGCTGAAGACTGAATTACACAAGTGATAGAACTGTAAGAATTGTAGGGTATAGGCAGTTTTTTTTGACAGTGGTTGATTCTCTGTAGTACACATACTTAACTTTAAATACAAGTGAGGAGGATAATGCCAAGGCAACACTGAGTGCATGCTTTTTGAACTCCCCCAGGCTTTCCCAGGCAGACAGGAACCTTTCCAATGTGTGCACTTTGAATTCAAGTGTTCTAACTCTGGTTCAATACTAGCTTTGTTCAAAATCTTTTCAATGGAAAACGTACATGGATGACATGAGTGACCTTAGTCACTTCAGTGTTGTTCTCTCTATTCTAAATGTCTGTTAAAATCAGTAAGGCAAACATTCATAGAAAAAAACATCTTAAAAAGCTGAGATGCTAACATGAACATAGAATGATTAAATCATACAGCAGACTGGTCCAGCAGAGAATTAAAGGGAACATAATGATAAAGTAGTATTGTATATGATTATACTATGAGCTCTCAGGAATTGTGTGCACTCAGGGTTAGGAGCTTGTGCTTGTAAAGGTGGAGAGTTAGTGACATGAGGCTAAAGCCCTGAATGATCTGCACCATATGTGACTTTATTTGACCTGTGTATATGATGCTGTGACAAACACTTCCTCACTTTTCCTAAGTCTGCACAAGCCAGCCTGTTTCACAATCTCTGCATTACAATTTTATGTCACAATGGAAATCCCCTAATAGACTGTCATAGATCAGGATAGTTCTAGATCTTATACTGAAATGGTTTCTGCAAATTGGATTAAGGTTTCGTGCTTTAGAGTTTTGCAGACCTGTCACATTGTGGGGTATGATGCTTCAGAATCTGAGGGGCAATTGTCAAGAGATAAAATAGTGATCATGTAAGTTACTGATATCACAGTTCAGGAAGATCAGTTAGCAAAAACTGGATTTCAATCTAGAGACGGCTTAGGACACTTAGCAGCTAATGAAAATGGAAAAACAAAGAAGCTACTTGTGCTCATACAATTCTGCCTGTGTCCATCAGCTGTGTAATCCCCATTATTTATTTAACATTCCCTTAAAACTCATAAATTGCTTTCTAAGGACTAGTCCTTTTTGAGATGCCTTACTTTTTTTTTTTTTTTAAAAAAAATAACAACTGAACTATTGAATAGGGAAGTCAGGTGTGGAAAACGTATTACTCTAGTTTTCTCAGGTTTGCAGATAAGCCAACCTGTGGTAGAGGGAAGGAAGTGAGACAAAGCACCCTGAGCCCCAGTTTCAGCACCTTAACCACAAACCAAGCTTTCTCTCTAATTAGGCATGTGCCTGAGTAACTTAATGAATAGGAGTCTTCATTCAGTAAACCCTCTGTAGCAATACTTCATCTAGATAAGGATAGTGACTTTTTTCTCCTATGCAGTCCAATATTAGACAGTTTGAAATCTCTGAGTATTTTCTTTAAAAATTTGAACCTACTAAAGGCTGACAACAGCATCAATGCACATACACAGAAAATAAAACACATTTTATGTTTTTCTTCCTATTTAAAGCTGTTCTCCACCTGACTAAAAGCCATGGCTTGCTGCTTTCCACAGAGGCTTGGTTGTCTGGCCAGATGAAACCCCTGAGGATTGTGTCCTGACTCCCACCTGTAAACTGAGAAGGATGTTATCTTAAGCAAGACAGCTCCAAAACAGCTCTTTCTGACAAGCCATTCACATTGTAGGACCAACAGTGGCTTTGTTTCTACTGAACAAGCATAATCTGGGCAACAGCCAAGGCTGCAATACCCAAAGTAAATGGAAACTCAGAAGAGGGCTTAAAGGCCTGTTTCTGCTTCCTTCTATATAAAGTGAGAAGTGTAAGGGATATTTCTCTTCCTTCTAGAGTTAATAAAAATTTCCTTGAGCCCCTAAGGAAAGAGGGGATTGTCTTTGAGCTATAAATCAGGCTCTCTTCATATCTGAGTAAGCTTCTGTGTTAGATCAGAGTCTCATGTTCTTGTAGTTAAGAATCTTGTTCTTCATCCGAGCTTGACTTAAATTAACCTGGATGTTAATTTCCCTCTGACTCGGTGCCTTCTGGGCCTACATTTCAGTAGTCAGCAGCACCTCCTTGCTTACAGATCTGTGTGTGCATCGACTGCACCTCGACTACAACTTGAGATCAAGCTGAAGAGACTGACATGCAGTGTCTCCATTCCTGGAAGGGAGCTGCAACATTCCGTGTGACGCCTGCCTTGGACTGAGCTGCAGATCCAGACCTTGTGTCATGGTGGCCGATGGGCAGCAGCTTCTTTGTTCAGGCACAGGCAGTGTTAATCCAGTTGGGATCCAGATTTGAGCAAGCAACCAGGCAGAAGCCAGAAACCATTCTTTGTTGCTATTAGTTATTATCTCATGTTAGCCAAAGTTTGCATCCAATTGAAACTTTTGACTGTGCAGAAATCTGGATATGGGTTTTAAGCACGTGGCTCATTTCTTGATGTTACACTTGCAAGGACAGGAAGCATTACATTTATTGCATTTTAAGGATAACATTGTACTACAGCAGCAATCTCCATAATGAGCACTGTAAAGCCGCTCCTTATTTTGTTTTTCTGAGGAACTGATTAAACAGACATAGTAGAAATTCCAGTACAGTTTTTCAAGGAAAGAAAATTCCTTATTAAATATGCTTCTGTGAACAAAATGTTAAATGTTTCTGGTATTGCCATAAATAAAGATACAATTTGATTATCAAAATATTTGTAAGCAATATTTATATTAACTTACTTCCATTGTTCCTCTGCTGATAATAAAGCACTTTCCTGAAATGCACTCAAAACTAATACTATAGCTTCACATTGAACTGCAGCCTGATGAGGGTTTTCTTCCCTTCACCCTCACCACCCTCTTTGTCCTGTGAGTTGCTGGATATTTTGCTAAGTTCCCTCTGCCCCTCTTGTATGGGAAGGGCTTAGGGACTTGTTTGGAATAGTGGTCATGCAATTCCTTCAGAATGACTGACCAACTGGGATAATGGGATATTCTAGAGACCTACAGTTATAGCATGACTTCCACCTAAAGGGACCTTAGCAGTTATCTGGACTAGCACAAAACAGAGTAAGGACATCAGGTTGCTCAGGGCTGAGTCCAGCTGAATTATTAAAATCTTCATGGATGGGTATTTCACTGCCTCTCCAGGCCTCCTGTGGCACCAAATTCTGTTGCTTCAATACATGGGGGCAAAATCACTGCAATAAAATTAACAAGCAGAGGTTTAAATGAAGTGTCTTCTAGGCTTAATCAAAAATATTTGGGTCTGATCTTTCAGATGCTTTAATCCAGCAACTGCACTGGTATACTATAAATCCTGTGGTATAGCTCACACAGAAAGAGGCTGAAAAGTTGACTTTGAGTATCAATGAAGTCTAAAGACAGTACTTCTGCTTCCAAACTGAGTTAGAGAAGGTTATTATCAAAGATGGCCTTTGGTTCTACTTTTTTCTCCCAAAACTTCCAATTCTGTAAGTGTCTTTAAATTTTCCCTAGAAATTATAAAACTGAAGGGGAAATTTTTTTTTTTCTTATTTTTACAAATATTTATTGTTGGGGTTTTTTTTTTGTTTTTTTTTTGTTTTTTCAGTTTCAATGTCCATATGTGGTGGTGGCTGTCATGGTTAATAAGAATTGAAGTGTGCCCCTTTTAGCTGCTTTTTGCCATATATATCTTAGTCCTCTGGGTGATGTGCCCTTGAGTTTTGCTCCTGAGTACTGAAGGATATGCTACAGTTTTACCATCTGCCTTAAAGAACTGCAGGGCATGTTCTACTCATCTAAAGGAGAAGAAGGGAATCTGAGTCACCACTCACTTGGGGAAGAGATGTACATTCTTAGAAGGATTTAAGTATCAAAAGATACAACTTCATCTAGTAGGAACTTCAAAGCCATCCAGATGTCCCACTGCCATTCTGCTTTCTCAGCTCTTTTTGCTGTTTTTGTCAGAAAAAGTGTAAGGTAAGAAGCTCCTGATCTCATGTCTTTTGAAGGTCATGAGGATCAAATTGAGGGAACAAGGGTAAGGAAAACATTCACTAAACTTCTGCAGAGTCAAGAAAAGATGTTGACAAGTCAGCAAATATGATAAAACAGACTTGCTTTTGGAGTTCAAATGTATGGTAATGTATCTTTACAAAAATACTGGATTTCACATCCGCAAACTCTAATCTCATTAGAGCTGAATTAAATTACAACAATTACATTATATAGCTCCAAGTAGAGACTTGTTTCAATTCACACTGCATAATTTATTTGTTTACCAGCTAGCAAGTGATAAAAGACTTACAAATTCTGAAAGCGCATTCATGTCTTGCTAATTAAATCTGATGTCTATTGTCACTGTGCAATAAAGCTGGAAATTGCTTGGGATAGTTTAGATCCCACTTTACTGAGCATTGCACACCAAAATTTGACTCTGTAGCAAGCTAGGGACCAGCTGAGAGTTAGCTTAACCCAGTTAACTGGGTCTTAATAAAATTAGTTGTATTTCAAAGACAGCAGCTCATTTGCTAGTATTTAATGGTATTGTATACTCCTTTCCAGCTTATTAAAGTGAGGAAGTGATAGAAAATGCTGACTTTTTTTGTTGTTTATGTAGTTTGTTGTTGTGTTTTTTTAACCCTACACATTTTGATAATGATATCTTTTCTTCATGTATCAGCCTATTTGTGACAGAATTTAGATGTGACAGTGAATATTTTATTTGATCTCCAAGAAAATAATGGATCCTGGATGCAGCAGGGATCTGTTCCATCAGCATGCAACGGATGATCAGTGAATGTATGGCCATGTGCATGACTTGCCCTCACCAGTGTCCACTCAGTAGTGCCAAACTGATCTGGAAAAAAAGTATTTGCTGTAAATGCTAGACTCTCCTGTAAACAGTGTCTGTCAGCAGCAGACTCAGATAAAGACTAAGATACCCTTTGTGCAGTCAGAGCCTCTCTTCTGGTGGCTGAGTAAAAACTATTCGCTAATGAGGTGTGAATTAACGTTACCCAAAAATTGTGCCTGGGCTTTTTGATACTACTACAATTGTAATGAAGAATGATAGTGATTAATAGAGTTATTATGCACAGAGCTGCACAGAGAGCTGCCATCTCACCCTTGCCAGCTGCTGTAAAGTTCTGTGAAAGCTGTATTAGGTCAGGAAATAGTTGAAAGTCTCTTGGAGGGTCCATTCTCCAAGAGCAAAGGAAAAGTTCATAGAGGAAAAGGGAGGGCCTGACAGTCCCCAGGAGTGAGCTGGTAGGAGAGTGGCCAGTCCTGTTGGGCTGGCTAGGAAGGATGGGTGATGCTGAGCCAGTGGGCTGAGAGCAGGAGCACCCCTTTAGGAGCAGGAGCACTGGGTTTTTCTTTAGAGATGCAGGCTTGTCTCTGCCTCTTCTTGCAGATGCCTGGGGTGCATCTGGCCTCCTCCAGGACCCGTGCTCCCTCCCAGCCTGTGGGACACTAGGGCTGAACATGTGGCTTCTCATCACACAGTCAGCACCACCTCTTAGCCATGCACCTGCATATGCACACAGCCTGCACACACATTTTCCCTTTCTTTCTACAGTGTTTTAAGAAAGAGGAGTAGGCAGCCAAAATGGCACTGGGTAATAGAGGAATGTTGCTACAAAAACCAGCAGCACCCAAGCTCAGTCTGTGCACGCTGTATCTTGTAGCACTTACCAAACAAGAGAGTCTGAGTACTTGGTAGAAATCTAATCAAAAGCAAGGAGCTGTGTAAGATAGCCTAAGCCAAATTTAAATTGTGTGCAATTAACATCAGGGGCTCTGTTTTTCCATCCCAATCTCTTGATGACCAGGCAGCCCTGTAAGTTGTAATCTTTAACACACCAATCAACAGAACGCAACAAACACTTTAAATTTTATTCTTTGAGCTTTTCTCTGAAGAATGCTCTTCTGGACTTGTCTCTTTTCATAAACCTGATATGCTTCAAAGGCTTGCTTTAGCCTTACAAGACAACAACTTTTTCTGACTGACTAGGCTGGATTCTGGGGCTCCTAGGAAGTGAAAAATAATGGATTGTTTTTTCTTCTTGGAACTTTTGTGGCAATGTTGGAGTTACTGAAGCTCTAGGCCGGGTCTGTCAAATAACTTTGTCAAATTCTCAGTGTGATTACTACAAAACAATACTGTACCAGAAAAGAAAACTTATTAGGAAAATAATAGTAATTAGTTTATTTTTTATCTCATGATGCATACAATTTACCAAAAAAATAAAATAACATAAAAATATTCACTGGATACATTTATGGTCAAAGAATAAAGCAATACAGATAAGGCAAGATGGAGATCAGCTGGTTTCGCTATAAGCTCAAATTACTGAAATTTTTTTCCCTCTACAGGCAATAAAATTTTGTTTTTCTTATTATCTTATAAAATGCAAAAATGGGACTTCTTTTTGCAAAAGCTGAAAGGCTATTGCTTTTAGTTGTCATTTGCACTGGTTAAAATTAAAAGTGCAAATTTCTGTGCACTGAAACATGCAGACAAACACACTGCTCTGTACATTGTCTATTTTATGTCCAGTTTCTGGATATTGTCAGATAAAAGAAGAACACTTTTAGCTTGTGAAGGTGTTCTTAAAAAGCAGCAAAACACACCAGACAATAAATAGTAAGTTAATCTGCCAAAAAGCAGGACATTAAAATGTGTTTTCCCCTCATACCTGCAAAATTTAATGAAGCAAGCCTCTTCAAATAATGAAAATTCAAGAGCCAATCCCCTTGTTTCCCCAGTGATGTGACTGGTTTAGGAAGAGAAAATTTTCTGTAATAACAACATATTTTCTCTTAGTGATTTTTAATTTTTTAGATACTAGGCTTCTCTGTTTCATTTTTGTTGTTGTTTGAAAAAGGAAATCCAAAAATGTGCATTTTATAAAATGAAAGCAGGTGAGATATTTGTCATCCCAGAACCCCAGAATCTGTGCACCCCTAAATTGTTCTGAAAGACTGTTTGTGGACCATGCTAAATGCAGCACATGCAGCCTTATCTTCCACACCACCGCTATTTGGCACCTCTCCCACTGTAGAAATAGGAGGTGGTGGTCACAGAGAAGTAACATTAACTTTTCCTCTGGTGGTGTTTATTTTTTCTAAGGCACCACTGAATTGGAAGATGGTGATGGAGAGTGCTGGAAGGGCCAATGGACAGCATGGCCACTGGGACCATGATGCCATGGCCTTGCAAACTTAAAATCTGGTAACTGAAGAGGCACAGAGCTGCCATTCAGGGAAGCTCAGGAAGGAGCAGGAGGGAAGAAGCTGAAGCTGGATGATAAGGTGCTGGACTAAATAATGAAGATAACAGAGCTGGAGGATAACAGGTGTATTTCAGCCAGAGTTTGGCAAAGAAATGAGTGATACACATGTACCCTTAATGGGGCTGATACCTGGTGCAGATCTGCCTGAAAGGCATGGCTAGTTCTCTAAGGCCTTTATGCCTGCTCAGCTGGTGGTTCAACATCCTGTGTCTGTCACCTCAGTATATAAACCCCTGGTGCTGCTATCACTTGCTGAAATGCAGCGTTGCTCTTGCTGAAGTCAACAGAGTGAAGCAATGTGGCTGCAAAAGCCTCTGTGGTGCGGGCATGGAGCAGCCAACCCATGGCGCACTGGGGAGGCAGCTGCTGAGCAGCCTGGTGTGTGTGCAAAGCAGCTTCCCCA